AGAATGTATCTCGGCGTTTCCATGTAGGGTAAAACGCAAAGCCTTGTGTCAATGTACATGTCTGTGACTATACGAAAAATATTGTGACTTGCGGCGATAAACAAACTGTTGAACACAATACACATTTCGTGAGTTCCTCAGAGTCCCCTTGAGAGGCAAGTGTCATACCACCACCACACACGGAAAACCTGCCGGAAGACTCTATTGACACTCGCATTAGCCGTTCAGCCGCAACGATACGTTACGGCTGAACGACGGAAACGTGATGGTCCCTCATGAGCTCGACCCAAATTGGGAACAAAACGCGCACCCTGAGGGTGCACCAGGTGCCCGCCAGCGCTCAGTAGTAGTGTAAAAGATGGCAACAGCACATCGTTTGGTGTTTGAGGAGGAGTGGCTGCGTCAGCAATGTTTTCTGAGAAACATGGGTGACGTAGAGGCATCGTTATTTGAAGTGTCACGTTTCAGTCGCACCCCATTTACGAATATGGTAAACAATGGGAGTAGCAGGACTTGCCTCTACGTCGCGTCCTATTTCCTGAGGCGTATTTAAAAATAGTGGTCTGAATTTTCCAATAATGTTTGATCATACTTTTTTTTAGCTTTCTTTCAGTTTGAGATGGGCTTGTTTATCATTACAATCACATAAGCACACACAAGTAAGGAGGGCGGCTGGGGCAGTGTACAGTGGCATCAGCACTCTTCATCTTATACCTACTTGTTCTACCTGTTGAAGATTCCGGGGGTGATGACCCTGCGGTCCGGTCTCTGACCAAGCTTCCTGGTTGCTGGTCTGATCTATCAGGCTGTTTGATGCGGCTGCTCACAGCTTGATGTATGAGTCACAGCTTTGTTGATCTGGTATCCTTTGAAGATACTTGTTGAGTTCTCTTTTGAACACTGCGAGAGTTATGTTATGCCCCGTATGTGTTGGGGAAGAGTGCTGAAAAGTCTTGGACCTTTGATGTTGATCGAGTTCTCTCTCAACGTGCCTATTGCACCTCTGCTCTCAGTGGCAGAGGTGCATGCCGCTTTGTACATGGCAGGATGTGCAAAGCGACGTTTGCACATCCTGCCCTGCCTGTTGGTCTCACGTGGCCCTATTTCTGCGTGCAGATTTGGAACCAGTCCTTCTAATATTTTCCAAGTGTAGATTTTTTTGTATCTCTCCCGCCTGCCCTCCAGGGAATACAGATATACAAATTTTAGGCAGTCCTAATAATTTAGATGTTTTATTGAGTAGATTCTAGTGGTAAAAGATCTTTGAACGTTCTCCAGGTTCTTTGCACGTTCAAGCTGTGAGCAGCCGCAACACATCTTGATGTATCACAAAAATAGGTGTCATGTCATCCCTGATTGGCATGACGTGACAGATGCAACTGCAACATAGGACCTTGAATTAAGTATTAGAATATCACCATATGACTGGGATTTCAGAAGAAGAGCACCAGGTGCATATTGTCCAGCAGGGGCCCTGTGTTATATTGTCCAGCAGGGGCCCTGTGTTATATTGTCCAGCAGAGGCCCTGTGTTATATTGTCCAGCAGGGGCCCTGTGTTATATTGTCCAGCAGGGGCCCTGTGTTATATTGTCCAGTAGAGGCCCTGTGTTATATTGTCCAGCAGAGGCCCTGTGTTATATTGTCCAGCAGAGGCCCTGTGTTATATTGTCCAGCAGGGGCCCTGTGTTATATTGTCCAGTAGAGACCCTGTGTTATATTGTCCAGCAGGGGCCCTGTGTTATATTGTCCAGCAGGGGCCCTGTGTTATATTGTCCAGCAGGGGCCCTGTGTTATATTGTCCAGTAGAGGCCCTGTGTTATATTGTCCAGTAGAGGCCCTGTGTTATATTGTCCAGCAGAGGCCCTGGGTTATATTGTCCAGCAGGGGTCCTGTGTTATATTGTCCAGCAGGGGCCCTGTGTTATATTGTCCAGTAGAGGCCCTGTGTTATATTGTCCAGCAGGGGCCCTGTGTTATATTGTCCAGCAGGGTTAATTGTTTAATAATTGGAAACAAAGCCGCCAAAGATTGAGAAAAGATGTTCAGGTTCGTAAGTGCTTGCGTAACTGCTTCGTGAATCTGGCCCCAGATTATTTCTCGAGTTTACGTAGTATACTGAAAAGTATTTATGGAAGTATTGTGTATTCATTTAGAGTATTCTCTTATATGTTCTGAGACAAGTATGCCACCATTTTAATACAATATACTAGGCGTCAAGTGCACTAGTTTTTTGTTATTAAAAAAATAGAATAAGTAAAATAATAAAATAAGGTAAACCAAATCCCTAGCCAAAACATACAGCCTCACAAACCACCCAGAACTTGGGCAGATTGAATAAAAGTATTGAACAATCAAAGTTCACAATAATAATGACCTAACATAAATCATAAGTCACTTTAAACAACAACAAACAGGAGACAATCTGTACAGAGCCATACACACTCGTACGGTGCTCTAGTTACATAACTACAAAACATAGCATCATATAAAAAGCATCACATTAAATGCTGAATAAAAACGTATTTAAAAAAAAGCATCACATTAAAATGCTAAAAATAACATTGTGTAACAAGCACAGAAGACATGTGCAGACCAAACACACAAGTATAAGAAAGTACACAAACCAGCGTTGCTTCCATACACAACGCGGTAATATATACATTAAGTATCTTCTTACACATCCATACATAAAGCCTTAACAACAGCAATAATAATAATTATTAATTTATTTAATTTAGCTGCTTTTCCCTTGTAAGAAACAGATGAATTGTAGCATATATAATATAGTAAACCACATTCCAATCGACACACACAGCCTGACATAATACCCAGAACCTGGTGACAAATATATACTCATTGAACATTCGAAATAACATAACCAGTCGGCACACCAATAAAGCCTCCCTGAGCGCTCACAAAAACAGGAAATTTCGCATTAATATTGACACCTGATAAAGGACAATCAGTACCTGAGGAAAACAAGTCAATGTGAACCCAAGACTGGTACACAAACAAAAGCCAACGAAGGGGAAACTATTAGACACACCACACTTCAGAACCGTACACAGTCGTACGTTTCCCAGGCACATTACTGCACATCACAGCACAACATAAAAAAAAAACATTCAGGAACAAACACACAAGATGCGTACAAACCAAACACATATATTTAAGAACTCACTCCAAACAATGATGTTTTGCTAGATCTCGGCACACAGTAATGTTCACAATAGTAACTGATTTGTACAGTATCTACGTTATCAGGTGAGAGTCGTGTGTGTAAAAAAAATTCACTTAATAAACATGAGATTTTGCGGTTGGATTAACGAGCATTTGGCCTTAGTTGATGAGGACGGGCTTGTTGCCCTCTGGGGGGGGGGGGAAGGTGTATCGACCACTGGGCCACCACCCCCAGAGGGCTGGTGACGTGACAGATGCAACTGCAACATAGGACCTTGAATTGACAATTAGAATATCGCCACATGACTGGGATTTCAGAAAAAGAGCACCAGGTGCATATTGTCCAGCAGGGGCCCTGTGTTATATTGTCCAGCAGAAGCCCTGTGTTATATTGTCGACTGGTCTAAAACCATCACTAGTTCATCCCTGGCGGTTTGGTATTTATCTCTTTGAGTTTCAGTGATTCCTTCTCTGTCAGTGGAAGAGTTTTAGATTTGGTCTTAGAAGCAAGGAGCTTGAGGGGTAAAAAACGAAACCTTTCCTGTGAGTTTAAGTTAGTTTATTTAATAAATATCAATTTACACTAGAATATATATATACATAATACTGTCCCTCTGGAAACCTAAATAACATGCAGAAGTTCAAACCTAAAATCTAAAACCCTCTGAAAACCTAAATTTTAACATTCTTTTCGTTCAAACAGAACTTTTCTCAAATATAAATTAGTATTATTATATATTAGCATATTGTGCATAATTTGACACTGGTTAGGTTAGTTGTTTAGGTTCTGTTGCCAATTATTCGTATTTGTAGTACGTGGGTGAAACATTTACAGCGTTGTGGTTCGAACAAAATTCGTCAGTGAAGCATTTGTTCCGGAAGTGTTCGAACGAAATCAGTTGTGAGTCGTGTGTAAACCGTTTTTCATTCATAAACAGGGATGTTTGGCGGGTGCATGGAATGGATTTTGATTCTTGTTTATGAGGACGGGCTGAACTGACGAATGCGTGTTTGGTGTCGACCGCTGATTGAATGGATCGAGTACTTCGTGGGATTGTCTGCGCACCCCGTCCTCCAAACAAAGACCCAAAAGTGATTCCATGCACCCGCCAAACCCACTGTTTATGAATGAAAAATGGTTTACACACGACTCACAACTGATTTCGTTCGAACACTTTCGGAACAAGTGCTTCACTGACGAATATTGTACGAACCACAATGCTGTAAATGCTTCACCCACGTACTACAAATATATCAGCCCGTCCTCCAAACAAAGATCCAAAAGTGATTCCGTGCAGCCGCCAAACCCCCTGTTTATGAATGAAAAGCAGTTTACACACGACTCACAACTGCTGACGTTCGAACATATCCGGAACAAGTGCTTCACTGACGAATTTTGTTCGAATCACAACGCTATAAATGCTTCACCCACGTACTACAAATACAAATAATTGCCAACAGAACCTAAACACCTAACCTAACCTATCTTATGCCTATATATACACAATATGCTAATATATTATAATATTAATTTATAGTTGAGAAAATTCCTGTTTTGAATGAACAGCATGTTAAAATTTATGAATGCGTCTGTGGGGGTCGACCGTTGGATAGAATGGATTTGAGTTGAGGACGGGTTGGTCTTCGAGTGACACTCGTTCAAGGACTCGGCTATCCCCCTTTCTTGATTATAAGTGCAATGTTTGCCGTCTAAAATTCCATTGGCATTTCTCTCTTTGGTGGCCCCCTTGAGAATCCAAGCGTGTGTATGTAATCCATAAGTGCAATGGGATGAGAGGGAAAAAGATAGAGATACACAATAATGTTCAACAACAGTATATATCTATCTAGACAGACTTAAGAACGAGGCGAGCAGAACTAATCACTGCTACATTTATTGCAAGATTTCCTGCAGGTGGTGGAAACGAAACTATTCTTTTCGCACCAGTTTTCTCGTGCCCATTTCCAGCACGCACTGTGGTCGTCGACGCACTTCTTGGGCGTGGGCGTGTCCACCTGGTTGGGTTTGTTGTTGCTAAGCCGGCACTGGTACAATCGATTGACGCCCTCCACGTCCATCTGAGAAGCGCCAGGAATAGTTGCATTAGTTCACAGTAAAGGCAACAAAGGAACTAGTCTTTGAATACTTTTTAAGAACCAATTAATCCATCCAAAACCCGCTTTGTCTTCTCTAGAGGAACCCTTTCAATTCACCCCAAGTGGAAGCAACCCAGCCGGCTCTAAAGAAAATAATTCAACCCAGATCAGTGGGACTCTCAGCCTGCTTCAGAAGAAGCGAGCCCCCAAAATTAACCCACCTGTGAGAGCCCGCGGCGCTGACCAATGTGGACGCCCGCCAACTTGGGTACCAGCGTGGGCTTGGAGGGATCACGAGCGAATGCATTTGGGCCGTAATGCATGACGGAGGTGTAGTCGTAAGACAACCCCAGGTTTGTTGTCACCCTGTTCGACTTCTGCAGATGAGAGAACGAAGTTATAACCGGGGTCATGTGATGTTACATTTACTGAATCGTTCAAATGACACATATACGTCTTCGAAGCAATCGTCGGTACGGGCACCTTGGATAAAACACCTTGGATAAAACAGAGACCCCTTCGAGTACGTCGCATGACTTACCATTTCGAAATTGAAGGTCATATTGGGCAGGACGTTGATCCAGTTGACCCAGACGTGGAGGTCGCGGTCAGGGCGAGCCTGCTCGTGCCAGAAGCCCAGGGCGTGGAGGAACTCGTGAAGGACGATGCCGTGGTATACACAACCCGCTCCCAGGGAGACCACTTGCCACCGCCCCTGGTGACCCACCTCGCTCGAGCACCTGGAAAACATGGCTCCGTCAGCACATAATAATAATATTTTGTATTTATTTATTTATATATACACGAATTCTAACATTCTTGTACAACAACCTGTCCTCGACTTAAGTCCATTACATCCAGCGGTCGACCCCACAGACGCATTCATAAATTGTAACATATCTTTCAAAACGGGAATTTTCTCAAATATAAATTAATATTATAGTATATTAGCATATTGTGTAAATAAAGGCATAAGTTAGGTTAGGTTAGGTGTTTAGGATCTGTTGGCGATTATTTGTATTTGTAGTACGTGGGTGAAGCATTTACTTCGAACAAAATTCGTCAGTGAAGCACTTGTCCCGGAAGTGTTCGAACGAAATCAGTTGTGAGTCGTGTGTAAACCGTTTTTCATTTATAAACAGCTGGGGGGTTTGGCGGGTGCATGGAATCACTTTTGGGTCCTTTGAGGACGGGCTGCATACAGCCACTAGCACGCATAACGGACAAGTCCTTAATCCCAATTTTCTCCGGAATACGAGCCGCCAAATCGTTTAACAACCAGGTACCCATTCACTGCTGGGTGAACAGAGGCTACAGTTAAGGATTGGCGCCAAGTAAATCCTCCCCGGCCGGGATACGAACTCAGGTTAGGATACGAACCCAGGTCAAAGCGCTCGGGAAACACCAGGGGAGTGAGTTACCATTTCGCCACGGGGACTGATTATAATTCATTGTGTCGGGGGAGACAGGCAGGCAGATGTGTTTACACACGTTAGGTATATATCGACAGCAGTACCAGCAGAGGCAGCACCACCAACAGAGGCAGCACCACCAGCAGAGGCAGCACCACCAGCAGAGGCAGCACCACCAACAGAGGCAGCACCACCAACAGAGGCAGCACCACCAACAGAGGCAGCACCACCAGCAGAGGCAGCACCACCAACAGAGGCAGCACCACCAACAGAGGCAGCACCACCAACAGAGGCAGCACCACCAGCAGAGGCAGCACCACCAACAGAGGCAGCACCACCAACAGAGGCGGCAGCATCAATCAGCTGGACGGCTGTTAAATGTCATACCCATGTATAAGAAGGACGATTTTCAGAAGCACAAAACTACAGGCTTATATCGTTGACCAGTACACTGTAAGGCCCTTAAATTAATCCTGAAGTTAATTTATCCTGTAAGGCTACATTAATCGGGGGGAGAGACTACTGGAACACATAAAACTGACAACGATTCAGACGAAGCTTCAGCATAGGTACTCAGAAGGCGTGTCTATCCGAATTCTATAGCAAGACAATCACTCACAGGAATGAGAAGTAGGCCCTCACTGCATTTTCATGGTTTGCAAAAAGCACTCGACATTGTTTAACACTGTAGGCTACTACTGCACAGGCTTGAGGAACAATCTGTGGTAAATGTCAGTGTACCTGGGTGAGGACTACTCATCCAGCAGGAAGGAGAGAGTTGATGGGAGACAGAAGAGACCACACTGTATGGGGTAACAGAGTACCACAAGGATCAGTACCTGGACCCTAGAGGGGATGGTGGGGGTGTCAGATATGTCAGGGACAGTTCTGACAGTGTCGGAGCCTCCATGTCAACGTTGGCCAATTACAATTTAAACAATCGTTGGCCATTACAATTTAAAAAATTAAGCAAATGAAGTGTGATAATACTTAGAAGGGACTAAGGTGGCCACATGAAGTGTACAAAATAATTTGAAAACAGTTGAGTAAAAAAAAAAAAGTTCTGGAAATAGACAAATCTCCAAGTATATTCCCCAAGACATATTAACGAAATAACATCAGCAGCACATGTAAAGCTGTTGAATGCTCTTGTTTTCTACAGACACCCGGAAAATGAAGATTTCAAGACACTTAACGTTAACTATTTCACTCCAACTAGCATGTGAAAAAGCTAGCGGGAAATCCCCCTCTGAAAATACACAAAACATAACTAGAGAAAAGTCCAAAGATTTGCTATACAAGACTGTTCCATGAACAGCGTGCAACGGCTGGGAGACCTGGAGCTCACCACTATGGACATGAGAATACTATTCAAATAACCGAAATGTAAAGCATGCACTTGGGTAGCAGGAGAGGATATTGACGGGAACGAAAAATTCGGATGAATATAAGGAACGTCGGAAAAACACTTCTTCTGTGTGCTACATAATCTTCCCCTATTTGGCGCCTTCTTTTGATAGTTACTTACTTCTGTGTAAGAGAACTGAGTAAGTGAAATGATTTCAAGAGGAATGTAGTTAAGTAGGCTATAGATAACGGGAGACTCACCCATTGCCTTTGAGGATGTGAACGTAGCCGAGGTGGTGAGGCTGTCTGGGGATGAAGCGTATACATGTGTGTCTAGCCAAGTCAACAATGGCGCCAGCTATCACGTTACGCTCCGCGCCAGCTGCATGGAATGAAGAAGATTGGTTAGTCTGGATAAAACATACAATCAACATAATTTAGCAGGTAAAAAGCCAAACCGACATTAACCCTTAAATTGCGCAATACATATATAGCTGAGGTAAGTAACTGTCGCGAAACTACGCACCATAGCTATGTATGGCTGGGAGTACCACGTAAGATTTAAGCTAGTTGCGAATGATGCGGCGATTCAGTATGATGTTGAGAATGATGTTGCTTAATACTCCTCCTTGCAAATGTTGGCATACACGGCAAGTTCTTTCGTAGCTTTAGTTCAGTTTACTTTTCATCACATGACCACAGACACAGAAGTACATTAACATGTCCTCGACAACACAATACAATTACCAAGCTGCTACACAATAGTTAAATCATAAAGCCACTATATCATGGAAGTTCTCAGTAAGTCACAAGCTCCCACAGTTAGTGTTCGACGTCCTCTCAGTTCACTTCTCTGTAGATAATAACAGAAGAGAAAATGTCTGAAGAGGTGTAATCTTAACACGAGGTTCAATGATAATCACACATTGTCCAGTCGCAGCTGCTCCCGAGTGTCTCTCGGGGCGAGTGACTTCCTTCTCCTTGTCTTCCCTGTCTGGAAGCGTCTTCCCTGACTGGTCTTGATGACAGTGTATGTCTGGGGACACGAGCCTTTTCTCTATACCTGCGGCTGACGGCTTTCTCCTGCAAAAGGATTAACTCCTCCTACTGAAGGCCTCCTCCTACTGAAGGCCTCCTCATGCTGAAGGCCTCCTCATGCTGAAGGCCTTCTCATGCTGAAGGCTTACTCTGAAAGAAGATAATTGATTTGCACATAAACTAAAAAAAATGTAACTTACAGAAGTTGTCTGAAATAACGTAAGGGACGACGCCATTAGGCCACTTCTTGTGAGGGTCGCTCTCAGCGCTGGCCTGGGCGTCCGAAGACCCCTGGTGGAGAAACAACAAATTATTTACCTTTAGTTAGAAGTGAAACTTTAATTCTGGGCTTACATTATACTCGTCTCTCGGAGCTAGTGAGTGCAGCTGACCTTTGGGTAAGTAACTTTATAGTCGAATATTATCAATTGTTGCCTACTTGAAAATAAAATGCTTGAACACAACATGTGAACATTTGATGCCTTGAGAAGTTCAAGTGGCCAAAGTAAGTCCCAGCCAAGTGCTCAGTCCTAGTCAAGTACTCACAACCAAACCCAGCAAAGTGCTGACATCGGAACCTAACTTAAAATATCCTAACCTCACGCTCACATCCAGTACCAGATGTTACACTACCAGATACCACTCCGTGCTCATTTGGGTGTCCGCAGCTAGACGCATAAGAGAAAGCTTGAAAATTAAAGCCCGCAAATATGCATATTAAATTCTAGTATCATTACAAGATAAAGACTAAATAAAGAGAGACTCCTATGAGTCGCCTGACATTTCTTTGTCAACAAAAAACATTTGTTTCTCGGTGACAGAAAAAAAACATTTGTTTCTCGGTGACAAAAAAAAAACATTTGTTTCTCGGTGACAGAAAAAAAAACATTTGTTTCTCGGTGACAAAAAAAAAACATTTGTTTCTCGGTGTTTTTCTTGTTGACAAAAAGTATTTGTTTCTCAAAAAGCATTTGTTTTTTAATGGTCGAAAGAGATGTAAATTACTGTAAAAATATGTAAATTAATGTAAAAGAGATTGCATTACTGTATGTACATGTACAATAGCGTCTTTTGAGAGGATAGTTTACCAGATGTGCCTGAGGGGCCACTATCCCTTGTGGCCTCGACGAGGACAGCAAGCCGGCGGCTTGTCGAAGGCCTCCCCTCCCCTCCCACTTGCCTTGATGATTTCAGTTACCTAGTGAGACGATGATGAGTGTCTATTGATATAGTTTCTGATGAAAGAGATAGTGTATCATTTTATATGTTTTCTGTCCGAATGTCGAAGAGAGACAAGGTAAGTATTTCAGTTGTTTTTTTACATGTATACAATCCGTGTACAGGTACCGTATTTACATTATATGCATGTATGTATGGATGTATGTATAGATGACTGACTTGTGTTTACAGACTTATATACATATATGAATTGCTATTTTAGAGCTATTGCTTGTATACATATTCTCTAATATATTCATTTACTAGACTGTTATCTGTTTATTGAGTCTATTGAAGTAATTTAATTTCTTAAGCTGATATAATTTGGTTAACCTTGTTCTTGCATCTTAGTTTTCATGATAACTTAGGATAACCCGTGATAGATGAGTCATTCTTTAGACTAGGCTAATAATATTCTCTTCACAATTGCGAGTTAATATTAAGTTGTTTATGACTGTTGAACTGTTTGGGCACTTTTATTAAGAGAATCAGTGTTGAAATAATAGTACTTATTAGCAAGCCTTGTTAGTGATGTGGCCTGGTAATATACATACCAGGTATATACATACATACCATTACGATTATATAGCACTTGGAAGGGATCAGGATGAGGATTTGAGATGGGACGGAGGAAAGGAAAGGTGCCGAACCACTTATGGACGGTCGAGGGATTGAACACCGGCCTGCATGATGCGAGACCCGTCGCTCTACCGTCCACCCCAAGTGGCAAGGCAGACTTAACAATAAATAGCAAAACTTTAACACTCGTTTGAGAGCCTCCGACTATTTACAGAGTTTTCTGCCTTAACTGCAGCTCTGATTTCTTGTCCCAGGATACCTACTGTATCTACAAGGAGGAGAAACTAGTAGATACCTACTGTATCCACTATTATTATACCGAGAGACGAGGGCTCACCTGCATGATCTGGTAGAAGTGGTCCGGGGAGGGCAGCACAATGTCTCCCTGGAAGTACCCGGAGGCGGCGATGGGGTCCGGGGAACCCATAGCGCCCTGCTTGGGGGATCCGACAGCGGGTAGGTGGGTTCCATCCTTGTCAAGTGACGCCAGGCGGTGCGATGCCGAGTCCATCTCCTCCTTTGACAGCTGTGGCCCCAGGATGTCGTTACTCGGCTGCAGGAAAAAAGTTTCCACCCCCTGGTAAGGCTCATATCACAGCACGAGGTGTTAATATATGCGAGTTGAGAACAATAAGACAATCTTCGATATTAATATTATTTCACCTGTTTCTGCTATGATGATCAACGCTTACGTCAGTAAATATAGAACCGACGACGTTTGATGTGGATTGAGGACTACTATAAAGAGGAAATTTTGGCAATTCAAAAAGAGTTGGAGACAGAGCAATTGAAAAGCCGGAGAGGAGAATAACTGTGTTACAATCACATATAGCCATGGAGGAAGAGGTAGACATAGCCAGGTAGGGAGAGGTAGACATAGCCACTGAAAGAGTAAACAGGATGTGGAGAGACGGGAAGACTTGATTGAGGTAAGCGGAGGAGCAAATTCGAATTATTTACCTAGTATGTGAACATTAAGAAGACATTATGGCTAGTGAGAGAAACTAGTAGATAATGTTATGAACCCAGGTAACACCTAGTGAGGTGAGTCTACCAGGTGAGAGTTATTCAACCCACCTGACTAGAGATTAGGAGTCAGGGAAAGGATGGTAATTAAATAAACGTTAGTGTATTATGACTAAATAGAGACAAGCAGAGGATGAGCATCTTATAAAAGCTACATGAAATCTAACTTCTTTAAGATGATAGATGTCGACATTTTGTGACGACATGGCGCAGATGGAGGTCGTAACGCGGTACTTGAGTTGCCTCAGTCGTACGTACGTACGACTGAGTACGTACGTCGTTGTCTCCTGGGAAGTGAGTCTACAGTATCCACAAGAAGGATGAACTAATGGAGACAATAGGTAATGCAACTGTGACACAGAATGATGAGTGTCACGAAGAGAAAAAATTGCACAGAAAGAATACAATTGTAATTCAGAAATTAATTGAAGAATTTATGGAGTTTAAGAATTTCAATTAAATTGAAGAATTGAAGATTAACTAAAGAATTTCTGGCCGCTTCGTGTGGACCGCCTTCCGCTGTCCAGCGTGCCTCTCACCTCACCTCTCAGGAACTATGGGTTCCAAGGACGAGACACGGCAGTTTGAATGGCTAGAACTCTAAGATATATTGAGAAGTCTGGATTCTGAATTACTGACAAAGAAAGTTGAGGTTTATCTCACCGGCTTGGCCTTATATAAGGTCCTGGCACTCTCAGTATATTAGAAAAGTAATAGAGGCAGACATGTTTTAGTCCTGTTTTCCAAGACAGAGACAGCTACATACATATTAGAACACAAACATTTTCTACAAGGAACGTTTCCAACTATTACAACATATTCACTGAGAAATACACCACGAAGCAGGGACAAGAGTACAATATATGAAGAGATTTGGTGAAGGCGGTAACTTGTTACTCACAATCTCTTAATCCAGTGAGCAGTCTTCCATCCTCAACTCCTTCCACCCACCTCCCCCTTAACCCTATTCTGCTCCTTACTGCTACTACTGTTGTTCTGGCCCATGCCCCCCTCTCCCCTCTCTCTCCCTGCACAACATCCTCCCATTTGCCTAATCTGTGACTCTAGCTCCCCCTTTGATTTTCTACCCCCTCACTGCACCTAACGTAATACCTACTGACACAGGTGATGTATACTGACACATGATACATACTGACACATGTGAGACTCACCGACACACGTGTTGTGGTCGACAAATTTTAGCCTAGTCGCACCCAAATTTGTAGGTGGAATGGTCTTGGGTTCCGGACAGACATAGGATGATCGGGGTAAGCCTAGGTTAAATGCTTTAAGAAATACCAGCCTGAAACCATGCCCCTACCTGCGGTTTTTATGAACTAGCTTGAGGTCTGCAATGAAATATGGGATGTGATGTCCGTAGACTACAACGCTTACACGGCCAAGGTGAACTTTAAAAAAAAAAGTGAACTTTCAGGAAAGAAATTACTTGCTCCCAACGATCTGAAAGCACTAGTATAAAAAACTATGATTTGTTCAGATCTGAAACCTACATATATGGTCAGTACACAACGTCGACCAGACTGTGCGACACAGTGGTTGCCAGGATCAGGTTGGGTTACCGTTACCTGTGGCAGGTGGCTACAGGTGACGGATCTCCCAATCCTGAGCACTCCAGGTGCAAACTCTGTGAGCAGGAACTGCGGCATGAACTCCCACACTCCATCACCGAATTCCCAGTTATTAGACCTTTCAGACCCGTTGGCATGAGGTACCTGGAGCTTTGCAATTACTTTATTCACTCTCGTGTTCTTGAAGATATCCTCATATTTCACCCAAAATTTGCCAGTGCCGGCTACTAAACATTTGGCCCTGTATGACTAATCATCCTGCGAGATAGAGACTCGGTATCACTGCTACCTTATTCACTCTTGTGTTAATGATATCCTCATAATGCTCCTCAGAGTCTGCCAGTGCAGACTACTTATCACATGCCTCTGTATGACTAACCATCCTGTGTGATGGGGATTTTTAGCACCACGTAGCTAGCTTTTTGGCACACTGTTCTCCGCTTCATTGAGTCTAGGGTAGCTGCATAAATGCAGATGTACCTAATTTATGAAAAAATGAAATGAATTCATTCGGGTTAGAGTGATAAAAATTGTGAGTTTTGAAGATGTTTAGTGATGAAAGTAGCTAGAAAAATTAGCATTAACATTTTAATGGTGAAAGTTCAACACCGGGCAACAAAAATCATTCCTGAACTAAGCCGACTTTCATACCAGGAACGGTTGAGGGCCACAGGGCTAACAACACTGCAAACCCGGCATGACAGGGCGGATGTCATCAAAACTTTTAAAATAATGAACAATATGGAGGATGTTGATCTAGAAAACTTCTTCAAAAGGTTAAATTTAACAAAAATAATGAACAACTGTTTCAAGCTCAACATGCCACAATGTAGGACAAACATTTATCTCTTGAAAACAGGAGATAGTTTTTCACCCACAGGGTTATACACCCTTGGAACCGCCTACCCGCCGGAGTCGTAAATGACAAAACTGCTGAATTTTAAAATCCAGGTTGAAAAAAACCATCATGACCTTTGACACGCCACCGACTTAATGTCCTCGTCGAGACCACTAGAGTGTAAGTGACCCTCAGGTAAATTCAGGTAAATACACAGCTGTAACTCACGTCATTCCGCTCGCCGAAGTGGATGTTGGGTAGGGGAGTGTCCGCAGCAGTCAGCCAGGCCAGGGACACCACAGCCGTCATCCACCAAACTATCCTCTGGAACACCTGTGTTGTCATCCGTCAGCGACCCGATAAACACAGCTGACCTCGATGGCTGACCACACACGGAATCCGCTGTTTAGGCTCGCAAGCTTATGTAAGGGGGGAGGGCGATGATTTTCCTGCTCTTCCTTCTGCTTCTACTTCAACCTGGATGGTTGTTCGTTCTCCTCAAAGCTGGTCGAATGTGGCTGCAAGTGTGAGCCTGGCAGGGTCGAGTCTGACTCTGCTGGGCTGAGGCTCCAGTATAAATACCTCCATTGCCAGCAAATCTAGGAAAGGCGGGATGTGTGACGCTAACCGTACTATTTGTTGTAGCTGCAGGCGCTGTCTTGACCGTGTGGTGTGGCGCGGTTGGTGGGTGGGCGGCCAGCCTCCAGGCGCGGGTTGAGATGGACAGATGGGGAAAAAAATAGGGAAGATCAGCGTCGCTTCCTTCCAACTTTCGTTTCCTAACAAAAACAATTGAATTCACAAATCCCCAACATCAATTATGTCGAGAAAGATAGAGAGGAAGCGATGGAAAATGATCACATTAGGAAAAACATGAATATAAAAAAAAACATTAATTATCCCTGGAAGGCGGAATGTGACGTCAGAGATTTAAATTACATGTTATACAATCATGTAAAAACATTTGTATCGTCTTATGACGTCACCATTACTTGGCCTCTTGGATCTGGATTCACAAGGCCTAAAACATCTGTTTTTGTATGTGTTGCATAATATAGAATTTAGTCGCAATTTATTCGCCAAATTTGGTGTTACCTTCGTGTTAGAGACTAGCATGAACCAGCACCACGCTAGAGTGACAATGCAATCACATACACATATGCAATGTTTAGATATGCAAATTCACTCACACGCAGCGCGCGTGCACACACACACTTGCACCCACGTACTTCTTGACCCCCACCCACTCCCCGACTCCCACCCACTCCTTGACCCCCACACACTCCCTGACCCCCACCCACCCCCTGACTCCCATCCACTCCCTGACATTGAGATCTCTGGGAATAGTGTGTCTAGGAAGAGCTTGGAGGTTTGATACAGGAATGCCGACGGAATTACGAACAAAGCAGAGGAAATAAATGAAAGAGTTAGTGAATATGATCCTGATTTGATCGCAATAGTGGAAACGATAATCGAAAATTATCGAAAATGTATAGAAAATGAACGGTATGATCTCTGATGCAATATTCTCAGGGTGAATTCCAAGTGATAAGGAAAGAAAGACAACAAAGGCAGGGAGGAGAAGTTGCATTCCTAGTATAACGGGAGTGGAAGTTCGAAGCTCTCAGGAGTGAAAACGCATACACAGACCCCATCATTGGGACACTGACAGCAGGTGGACAAACACTTGTGGTCCTGGCAATTTACAACCCCCCCCCCCCCCCTTCCCCCACCAAACAACAGAAAACCCAGGCAGGAATATGATGACAACAACAAAGCATACATAGAGACATTACAGACAGCAGCACCCCCTCCCCATCCGGCCCGTTGGCGTCGTGAGGGGGCTTGGTTGACGGCTGCCGGAGTGTGATGCTCCGTTGGGCAGTCCTCTGTCCTTTTCTGGCCTTGCACTCCTGCTGCTGTCTTCTCCAATTGTGCCGGATCGCTTTTCCTTTTCCTTATGTTTCGTTTTTCTCCCCCCTCTTCTCCTATCTGCTTGTCGTTTCCTGCCGACCTTTTGCTTGTTTTGGATTCTTTCTTTGGACTTCTTCTATTTTGACGCCCGGGTGCTTGAGGAGGCATACTCTTGCACCCGTAGAACTGTAGTACCCAACGTCTCGAGCGAGGGAAACCTTTTATTGTCAATCCCCCTTTCGTCGCTGAACCCGATCTCGACGGACTGACGGTTCTTAAGGTGGCGTTTGTGGGGCGTATACTCACGACGCACCCCTAGGGGGCCCCGGCATGATCGGCGATAGCTTCCTGTTGGGTGTCCTGCCTCTAATTGTGGCTCCATGGTGGGTATGGGGGCACATTCGTGGGTGAATTTGTCACTTTTCGTCTCTATGTCGTTGAATGTTTCCGTTGTACCCTCTCAGGCTCGTGGGGTGGGCGACCAAGCCCCCGAGTCGGCCTGTATTGGAAGACCAGGCTCTGTAGCTCCCGCTGCGTTGGGCCCCGACCTTGCTCCTCCTTTGACCGTCCTGACTTCTTCCCCCAGCTCCCCTCCCTCCTCTGTGGTTGGGTCGAGCCTCCAGCCCCCGGTGGTGACCACTTCGTCCCCTGGTGTGGCTAAGTCTTTCGTTGTGACTACTGCGCCTTTTGACCCCTCTCTCTCTAGGGGTTCTCAACGCCGTTCGCGCCCCAACCGCACTCGCTCGATTCCTTCTCGTGCTGATGCGTATCAGGCCTTGTTTGGTCCTGCTTCATGGGCCAAATACTTTGATCTCCTCCCTCTTGATTCTGCGCCTCCTGACGATTTCTCCCTCCATCGGCATCTTGTAGATTCCGTGGATGCGTCTGTTACTTTCAACCCCACTCGTCTCGGTACACGTGTCGTTGCTGCTCCTTCTCAGGATGCGGCTTCCCGCTTGGCTGCCTTATCTTGCCTTGGCGAGATCCCTGTTCGGGTCTCCAAGAACGTTCAGATGAATGCCAGTGTTGGCACTATTCTCCTCCCACCCCATGTTGCAACCGGTGTTCGGAATCTGCAGGATTGCCACGATGATATTCGGCATATCCTTGATGCCCAAGGCCATTCTGTCCTCCAGGTTGACTCGTTTACTCGTCCCCCTCGTGGTAGTCGCCGTCAACCCCTCCGGGTTGTGAAGATTACCTTTGATGGTAGGACCCTTCCACCCTCTGTCATTCTTGCTGGTGCCAGGTGCTCTGTCCAGGAGTACATTCCTTCTCCTCGACTCTGCAGCAAGTGCTGGAGGTTTGGGCATGGTGCCCTCCGCTGCTCCGGGACTGTCTCTCTCTGTCCTTTGTGTGGTGGCAAAGGTCACTGTAAGTACCAGAAACAAACACCCACACCCCACACACGCACAGACAATGACACCCACCTGTGCACGTAGGCACAAGGGAAACAACGCGCACAACACAAACATAAACCAACCACACGAATCACTCATACTTCTCTGGGTACTGCTGAGCCGGAAACCGTAAGCAGTAAGCCTCCCAAATTAGTAGTTCGTCGTCAGTACGCGTACAACCAAGAGCCGCAACAGGCCGGGGCATCGAATCCGGCATGCCAAGGATGAAACGCTGCACCCACGGAACCCAGATGGTAGAAGGGCACCAGTGAACAGTCCGCATCAGGACATCAACCTGAAAACTCAGAGCAGGTCCAGTTCCGTCGATCACTTCTCCGGTCGGGAGGATGAAAGGGAGGGGTTGCTCCCTAGGAGGCCGGTTACAGGGCCGCACACTTGCAAGCACACCGGCCTGCCCACCAGGGCACGCACTTCGTTTGCCGTCGGGCACCACACCAAGCCCCGCGGAGGGTGGCTCCGCAGGCGCTCCAGTGCCCCCACCAACTGGAACAGGTGCAGAGGCCCCCCTTCGCACATCCTTCGACAACACCACCACCAGGTTGCGATCACCAGGGGCAACCGCCCACTGAGGGGAGCCACCAGCAGGAGGCACAGTGTCCTACGCAGAAGGCACCACAGGAGGCAACACATCGTCGTCCACAGCATCGTCATCCACCGCATCACGTTCCTCAGCCCACGTCCGGCGAGGCGACGCAGCCCGAGCCGAACGACGGCGCTTAACAAGAGGCTGCTGACCGTCGGAACTGTCACCCCCAGCAAGCGGTGTCCCAGAAGAACCAGCGGCAGGCGGCCCCAAGGCCGGGGCAGCACGATCACGCAGAACAGTAGTCTCAACAACGTTGGGCAAAAATCCACTACCATGCATGGAGACCGGAAATGGAGAAGGAAGAGACACAGCAGGCGGAAGGGTAGACAGCACACGTGAGGTATCCAGCGGGGACGACAGAACCAGCGCAGGAGAAGAATTACGTGGGAACGAGGAAACCACCAGAGGTGTCAAGGTAGAGGTAGAAGGCAGAGAGTCTTAACCACCACCACCCCGACAGCCCCGGGAAGCACACGCCCGTTGTCAGGAGAAGCGGGCAGCACCCAACGTCTCCACGGAAGCAACCGGCTGCGGATGCACCTCCGCAACCACCGAACTACGAAGATCTGAAGCAGGAGCCCCCAGGTCCCCAGAGCTCACCATTGGGGCAGACATACCAGGGCCAGACAGAGCAGGGCCAGATGGAACGCCTGCCGGAACCGCCGCAGGAACAACACCAGGCACCAGGACAGAGCGCGGAACCGCCGAGGAAACCCCACGCACAGACAAGCAGGGAAAGTCATCCTCCAGGAAAACCGAAGGATCCTCAGCACGAGGAGCGTCACAGCTGGCCGCCACGTGGCCCTCAGCGGCACACCGGAAACAGGTTCGTGTCTGACTCTGATAAAATATATGCAGAGAGAGCCCACGATATGAAACCCTGGAAGGAATAGGGTTTGCGACGCGCATGACGAGCGTACGAGCGCCCAGACGGACCCCTTTCAGCCGGACGGCACTCAAAGTGGTGAATTGGTGCTTCACCACTACCCCATACCGCGTAAACACCGACATAAGCTCTGCCTCAGGGAAAGTCACCGGCACACCGTGAACACTCACAAATGTCAAGGCCCCCAGGGATCCAAGATCTCCACAGTCACAGTCGAAGCATGAATAGGAAGCGAGCATGCATCCCAGCGTGCCACAAACTCCTGGTAAAGCAGCGACGTGGCAAACAACACTGCCACACGAGTAGGCGAGAGCTTCTCCAGCCCCAGCAGATCAGAGACGTCAACACGGAGCCCGTCCAACAACGCAATCTCCTCAATGGGCCAGTCCACATCACCAGAAAAATCCAGTCTCACAGTATCAACCCGCCGAACACGGGTATCACCAGCAACAGTCATACCGCCGTCTGGATCCCCGGCTAGCGGGTGCACCGCACCTCAAACTGCTCCCACCCCCACGCAACACCAGGCGGCAACTGGCAGGTCAGGCGAGCACGTCCTAACCCCCTGGTGGCCAACGAGGCAATCCCTTTCTGGAAGAAGTGGATGAGGAGGAATTGTGTTGGTGTATAGACTGCTAGAGTTATACCTATGAACAAATCAAACTATGAAACTAGCTCACTACATATGTTAGTTGCTAAGCTTAGAGGCTGGTCCAAGGTAATTAAGAGCAAGAATAGAATGCAATTGAGGAAATGAATGAATTAAGTTTACAGCCTAGTAATGTTAGTTTACCGCTCTACCGGTCTCTCAAGTGTTACCCGTAATCCATTTTCTATATTGTTGTTAAGCTAATATCACATTTTGAACAATCACCATGTCTTGTAGACCTCTCTGCTTCAGAGATAAACCTTCATAACGATAGCAGTAACCGGCCTAGTTAGGTTAGCCTTAACAATGAACCTTGTGATCAACCCGTCCTCTTAAAATTACATCACTTTTCGCTCGTTTGCCTATATGGTAAAAAATGGACGTAATTTGAAATGAAATCGGCTCACGAATGTAACGTACTGTACTGTTTTGAGTCAGTAAGTTAGGAGAGGAAACTTTCAATTATCGGATTTCATAGCGTTTTGAAACCTTAGAACTTTTTGCCCTCCTAATGTACCAAAGGACCCTTTTTGTTTTGGAAACAAAAAATCTGAAATTTATTTTAAATTATTATTATTCATTTTCAAATTGCGCCCATTTTCGGCCATATGGGTTAGCGGTCAAATTCAGACGTAATTTGTAAGAGAACAGGTTGGCAACACTGGACACTACCACTGGAGACGGCTGGCTGTGCGTGTCTGCCCCTCAAAAAGAGCCAAGTTTCCCCTTTTAATCTTTGTTCATAGACAGTCCACATTACTCTCATAGTCATCGAGCGCAATCCAATAAGTTATGTTAATGTAATGGGTTCGAAGCGGCGACCAGTGAGATATTATAACAAGTATATGATAAGTCACATAGAAGTTTAGTCATTTTTTAAATTATCAGGGGAAAGCGCCAAGCCATTAAGACTTAATAGCACTTGGAAGGGGTCAGGATAAGGATTTGGGATGGGACGGGGGGAAGAAATGGTGCCCAACCACTTAGACGGTCAGGGATTGAACGCAGACCTGCATGAAGCGAGACCATCGCTCTACCGTCTAGTCAAAGTGGCTGGGTAGAGGTATAATTGCCATTTGGAAATTTAATCAGTAGGGGAAACATTATTTTCAAACTATAAGTTTTGGACCTGTTTCCCTGACGAGTATTATAATATGTTAATGGTGCAAGCAGCATGTTTGTGATTGTGAACATTTTTAATATCATGTAGAAATGGAAAATAAATACAACATTTTGTATTTGTATTAATATTTTTATTATATATAAAGAGTTTCACCAAGATGTTATCCATAATAACATATCTCTAGACAACCATATTCTGATAATGTCAACTAATCTTGCTTATGATTATTATCATACTAGATGTACCCGGCCATGCGATGTTGAGCCACAGCAACGATTTTGAACAAACGAACATTTACATTTTTATTTATATAGATGGGGGGGCCAAGCTAAATTAAGGATAAAATTCGTAATAGTCCTCCCCCAGGATGCAGCTATAAGATGAAGTCTCCCAGGACACAGCTAAACGTTGAAGCGTCTCAGGACCCACCAAGGAGAAGAGACCCCAGGTTGAACCTGTTGAAGATGAAGTCTCCCCAGAATGCAGCTAGAAGCTATAGTTCCCACTGGCCGCAGGTAGAAGATGACGTCCCCCTGGCCGCAGGTTGAAGATATAGTCCCTCAGGCCGCAGGTAGAAGATGACGTTCCCCTAGCCGCAGGTAGAAGATATAGTCCCTCAGGCCGCAGGTAGAAGATGACGTTCCCCTAGCCGCAGGTAGAAGATGACGTCCCCCTGGCCGCAGGTTGAAGATAACGTCCCAATGGCCGCAGGTTGAAGATAACGTCCCAGTGGCCGCAGGTAGAAAATATACATATATTCCTCAAAATGATCCTAGAGTTTAGTTTTCTTCGCTCTACTTCACAGCTAAGTGACTAAGATACAGCATACTTTCCCCTTACTGCACTTTCCCTTGGGGTCCTGGATCGGGACATGCCGGCAGTCCCGGAAGAAACGACACACGCCTCCACGAGCCTGGCAGTCTGTCACGGTGTCCGGAACTGTGGAAAGAAGGCGGCAAATGCGGTAAGCAAGGTGGGTTCATAGCATGCCTGAGAGAAAAAGAAGCAGGTGGGGGACGTACAAATGCATTGCCTTTTATCAGGATTGCACTTCCAGGTAACATCATTGACTGTATAAACAAAATAAGGAAGCGTTTGAGGTCCTTAGGAGAAGCATGAGGGGAAGGGAGAGAGGCGATGGAATAGTTTGTTGTAACATTTACAAAGTAAATAGCAGCCGTAGGGGAAGCCATTTAGAGCCGTACTAAACAAGAGCAGTACAGTCAGAACTTGGGGGTTACCATTTCGAACGGCCTTTTGTTCTCGGAATAATGTAAAGACTTATAATTATATTTCAATCATCGAACTCACGGCCATAGCAGCATTCAGCGCCCAGATTCTGCTGGGAAGGACACAGGCCCTTCTGCGGGTGGAGGAGCCCAGCAGGGCAAGCGGACTCCCGCACACATAGCCCACCCTCGGCCGAGCACGGGTCCTCAGGCAAGAACTGTTGACAGAGAACAAAAAAATGGTTGGCCGATGCGAACAAACAATGGTGTTGAAAGATCAAAAACTAGGGAAAACGAGTAATATGGAGCTCTGAGTATAGACAACATGGAGGTGGAACGGAAGGTCAAGGAAGGGGAAAAAAATGAGACCTCACGGTATAGTGTAAACTGGTAACATAAACAAGTTAAGTAAAGGAAACTATTCTATAACCTAAAAGGATACATAAAACGAGAAAGAAGCAAACGACGCAAAAATTTAAAAACCGTGAAGTTAGTGGTCTCAAAACGGAAAATGGGTTTAAAGTTGCTGAGGAACAGAAATTGAGAAATAAAGATGAACAAGACAAAGACGATCCAGTGGAAGCTTACAAAATAAAAAAGGATTTTCATGATGTTGATGAAGAAAGCTGTTCAAGTGTTGTTTAAGGCGAAGAATACAATTATACCTGACCCTGGTGCAGGGTTTGTAATGGTGATCACTGGTGCAGGGTTTATAATAGTGATCACTGTTCTTGGGCCATGCATTCAACAAGGTAAACCCCCTTAAGAGGCCTTCAATCACTTCTCCATTCCCGGTGTGCCCCGGATGACGTCGTAATCAGCTGATTGAGTAAACATTGCCTTGGAGTTTGAGAAACGCTATTTACCTTCCTCCTTGCACACAAGCACAGGCAGCAGACAGACAGGCATACACACAACAGACAGACAGACAGGAATATAGGCAGCAGATAGGCCTACAGGAAGCAAACAGAAATGCAAAGAAGCAGAAAGATATAACCAGGCGGGATGGCAGGCAGACAACAGGTAAAGATACAACCATACAGGCAACAGACGGGCAGAAATACAAACATACAGTCAGAAATACAAACATACAGTCAGAAATACAAACATACAGGCAGAGAATACAAAGCGAGCGAGATAATGCTAGAGGGAAGAGAAAGCCGCGGGTCCACACTACCACACGAGAGCTACCCGAACTAATGCGAATCTCTCTTGTCTTACCTCCTCTGCCACAGCGACCTCGCCAGCTCCGTAACCTGTCATCAAGGACACACAAGTTATAATTTATACCAGTTACCGCTACAAGTTATAATTTATAAGAGTTATCGCTACAAGTCGCACTTTTGAGCCAGCGTACAACATAGACAAGGCCATAACTAGGGCGCATAACTCTACACAGTATTCTACACAACTGTATTCACTACTGTCAGCTCTACACCTTCACGTATACTGTCAGCTCTACACCTTCACGTATACGATCAGCTCTACACCTTCATGTATACTGTCAGATCTACACCTTCATGTATACTGTCAGAGATGTACACTGAGGGAGACCATTGGCAGTGTTGCCACACTTACCGACTTGGGCGGAGAGAGTCGGGGAGGCAGCGCCGAGCAGCAGCGTCACCAACACACACAACTGGACCCTCATCTCGTGCGTGCTGAGGATTGAAATTGAAATTGAAATAAGTTTATTGATGTAAAATACACACAACTTGATGAGGTAGCTCAAGCTATTCTCACCCCGTTCAGTACATCGTGCTAATACATACATAGACACACATCACGAACAATAAACATATTACCAAACATTCTGAGAGATAAACATCTACATTTCCTCCTTTACACAAGTAGTATGGTACCAGACGTACACACAAATACTTTTATGACTGAGGTATACTGTATAGACAATTTGCAAGAGATATGCAGATAATTCAACAAAAAATTAGTCTTGTTGCAAAATTCTTATATCTCTCAAGAATATCATCAACCTTTCCGTTGTGACACATCCAGGCTATTTGTTCAGGAACAGTCCTTATCTCAGTGTTTCTATATACGTTAATCAACGGACAATCAAGAACATAATGGTGCTGAGGATAGAACGCCACGAGTGAACATGCTGAGGATAGAACGCCACGAGTGAACGTGCTGAGGATAGAACGCCACTAGTGAACGTGCTGAGGATAGAACGCCACTAGTGAACGTGCTGAGGATAGAACGCCACGAGTGAACGTGCTGCCGTTATGACTGGGGAACCAACAACACATAAGCGATGACCTTGACCACATTTCCACAGCTGCTGAAGCCTAGTTATTGCTCGACTTAACAATTACTTCACTACACTTGCTAATTATAATTATATAATTCATTATATTAATAATAACAATACTCACTAAGAATTAAAATCCCTGGAAAGAAGCATCAAGTGGAGCCGAGAGGAACTGTCACGTTGCTGGGTGAAACTTTGAGAGGAATTAGTGAGCCATGAGCTGGCTCCTCCTGTATATATAATGCCTGGGCGAGAAGGTTGCCACCAGTCGCTAGATCCGCCACGTTAAATCAAATTAAATCACACCAAATGTTTATTCAGGTAAAAGATACATACATACAAGATGAGTTACAAACATAATGTTGGATTTCAAGATTTCAAGAGGTAGTACATACAATGCCTAAAGCCTCTAATACGCACAGCGTTTCGGGCAAGCGAAACATATTAATATATTTATATTTATAATAATAAATATTTATTAATATTATTTATTAAAATTTATATTTATTAATATACAAATAATCGCCAACAGAACCTAAACACCTAACCTAACCAAAGCTATGCCTATATATACACAATATGCTAATATATTATAATATTAATTTATTATTGAGAACACTTCCGTTCTGAATGAACAGCATATAAAAATTTATGAATGCGTTGTGGGGTCGACCCCTGGATGTAATGGACTTGAGTCGAAGACGGGTTGTCAATCGTTAACTGTAGCCTCTGTTCACCCTAGCAGTGAATGGTTGTTAAACGATTTTGCGGGTCGTATTCTCTGGAAAATTAGTATTAAGGACCTGCCCGAAACGTTATGCGTTACGGGCAGGTCCTTACCTAGTGCCTATACAAGAATGTTAGAACTCTTGTGTGTATATATGTGTGTGTATATATATATATATATATATATATATATCTATATATATATATATATATATATATATATATAAAATCTATATATATATATATATATATATATATATATATATATATATATATATATCTATCTTGAGGTTATCTTGAGATGATTTCGGGGCTTTAGTGTCCCCGCGGCCCGGTCCTCGACCAGGCCTCCACCCCCAGGAAGCAGCCCGTGACAGCTGACTAACACCCAGGTACCTATTTTACTGCTAGGTAACAGGGGCATAGGGTGAAAGAAACTTTGCCCATTGTTTCTCGCCGGCGCCTTGGATCGAACCCAGGACCACAGGATCACAAGTCCAGTGTGCTGTCCGACCGGCGCCCCCTATATATATATATATATATAACTGAAAACTCACACCCCAGAAGTGACTCGAACCCATACTCCCACAACTGGTATGTACAGGGACGCCTTAATCCGCTTGACCATCACGACCGGACATAAGGAAGTGATAGCCGAGGCTATATGAACCACTTCCCCGCCGGCACTCGGATGGTAATCTTGGGCATAGCATTTTATCAAATCACCTCATTCTTTGGGGCACACGTGAGGAACACAAATGCAAACAAGCGTGAGTTTGGTGTGAGTTTTCAGTTGTATATAGTCCTGGGGACCATTCAGGCTTGTTTGCATATATATATATATATATATATATATATATATATATATATATATATATATATATATATATGTATGTATGTATATATAATATAATATATACAAAAAACCTGTGTGGGTGTGTACATACGGCACTGTTAGTCTTCCATCTGGCATCCACCCAAAATGTTTTCCTATTCCTTGACGTCACGCAAAACAGTCAGGTTCGTGTTACTCTTCAGTTTCCAGGAGCGAGGCGTTAGGATATTTGTACGTCGAGGGCTGCTGTCATGCTAGTTGCCGCGGCCTCGAGATGTCTGGGAGTGAGAGTATGGCTCACTTCCTCCTTGTCGGGGATAAGAACCTGTCAGGATGTCCACGTAGCCAAAGGCGAGGCTGTCCCCAAGGGTCAGATAACGATGCAAGTTAATAACAGTCAAATCGCACACTATTATAGTTACAGTTTAAACTATGTTTGTCTGTCATACATACAAATATACATATGCGTAAAAACACATTTGAAGAGTTAGAGAATGATGAACGCGTTTTCGGCTCAATTGGCCTACATCAGAGCAAAATAAAGTGGCTGAGCAAGCGAGAGATTGACTCTATCTTGTTTTGATGAAGGCGAATTGAGCCGATAAGGCGTTCAGCATTCTCTAATTCTTAGAACGTGTTTTTTCCGCATACTTAAATCGGTGTTTTTGTGATCGTTGTTGCATACATATATATACACACACACATATATATATATATATTAGTATATTTTGGTAGCAGTCTTTCCTGTAGACATATATTATTAAATATGACCGAAAAAGTAAGATTAATAATTCTAACACAAATTTTCTCGATCTTTCTTACGTTTCTTTTCACTGTTAATGGTAATTCAAAAATCAATTCTCCAAAATTCATTTTTATTTCTAGTCTGACGCGACACTTGAGCGCGTTTCGTAAAACTTATTACATTTTCAAAGACTTTAGTTTACACACACACACACAACTTTAACTGAATAGACCTTAAACATCTTCGAGTTTTATATACCTACATTTGGGTGAGGTGACATGTTACAATAGTTTTGGATGAGGTGAAAATAAACTTTTTACACAAAACAGAACACGAAACAATGGGTATTAAAGGTAGGTAACTGCAGAAGGCCTATTTTTATTGGCCCATATTTCTTGATGCTTCTATATTGGAGCGGAGTCTTGAAGTGGGTAGAATATAGTTGTGCATTAATTGGCTGTTGATTGCTGGTGTTGACTTCTTGATGTGTAGTGCCTCGCAGACGTCAAGCCGCCTGCTATCGCTGTATCTATCGATGAAAAATTTCTGTGTTGTTTGCTAAGATTTCTCTGGTGATGGTTTGGTTGTGGGAAGAGACTATATGTTCCTTAATGGAGCCCTGTTGCTTATGCATCGTTAAACGCCTGGAAAGAGATGTTGTTGTGTTGCCTATATACTGAGTTTTTTGAGGCTTACAGTCCCCAAGAGGGCATTTGAAGGCTTAGACGACGTTGGTCTCTTTTAAAGCGTTCTGCTTTATGAAGGTCGACCTCAAGCGTGGTGCGGAACGACGACGCAACTGCAACCTCACAAGGGAGGAGAGGGACGCCCTATCAACGCTGAAAGGACGCACGGATATTGTGATAAAGCCGGCGGACAAGGGAGGTACTGTCGTCGCCTGGAGAAAGGACAACTACAGAAAAGAGATGAAGAGGCACCTGGCAGACACTGCAGCCTACAAACAGATACACAACCAGGATGAGGCGCTTAGAAACGCCCAAACAAGGAGTAAAAGGATAGTCCTCAAGCTGTTCGAAAACAAGACTGGGGACGGGAAAGGAGGACTCATGCAGTTCTTCACCGATGGCTTTGAAATTTTGGCACAACGTTTCATTCGAATACGCGCTTGTTTTTATACACCTACTATATAGATGCCACACCTGTGACAGGTAAAAACATGTTTTTTTAAATAGCGCCATCTGTTGCACATAGGGGCAACATTCGCAATACTAAATATGTTACAATTCCATTTCAATGTTTCCGATTGCATTGATAAATTTAATTTTCATAGATTTCGATTTATTTTCATTTTCATTTAATTATTTTGTGTAACATTGAATTAAACTGTGTTGTTTACCATACTGTTCATTTCGTGAGTATAAGTATAAATGCCACACCTGTGACAGGTGAAAGTATGCATTAAAAAAAACACCATATGTTACATGTAAGAGCAACACACACTATACTAAATATGTTACGATTCCATTTCACTGTTTCCGATTGCATTGATAAATTGAATTTTCATAGATTTCTATTCATTTTAATTTTGATTTAAATATTTTGTGACATTGCATTGGAATTAAGCTGTGTTGTTAACCATACCGTTCATTTCGTGAGTATAGTTTTTTTTTAATTATTTTTATTTAGTTTTTTTAACTGTTCTTCTAATTTTTCGTTGATGGGAACATCTGATCATTTGATGTTCCCAATTTTCTGATGTGAACATTAGATCTTTTGGAACTGCATTGGACGAGAGAGTGGGGAGGACATGGGGAAGGGAGTCGGGGATGGTGGGGAGAACGAAGGGACGAGGGTGGGGGGTAATGTTGGGGAGGACGAGGGTATGGGGGAGTTGGGGATAGTGTGGACGTGGGGACGGGGGAATGGAGAATGGTGGGGAGGACAAGGGAACAGGGGAGCGGAGGATGGTGGGGATTAGGAGGGGACAGGGGACAGGGGAATGGTAGGGAGGGCGAGGGGATGGGGGAGTGAGAGATGGTGGGGAGGATGAGGGTTGGTGAAGTGGATAATGGTGGGGGAGGACGAGGTGACGGTGGAGTGGGGAATGGTGGGAAGGACACGGGGACGGGGGAGGGGAGAATGGTGGGGAGGACTTGGGGACAGGGGAAGGTTGCTGTGGCTCAGCAACGCGTGGCCGGATATGACAGTATGTGGATATACTGACCTTCCATGACGTCATGTGTTGATACTGACCTTCCATGACGTCACGTGTTGATACTGACCATCCATGACGTCATGTGTTGATACTGACCTTCCATGACGTCATGTGTTGATACTGACCTTCCATGACGTCATGTGTTGATACTGACCTTCCATGACGTCATGTGTTGATACTGACCTTCCATGACGTCACGTGTTGATACTGACCATCCATGACGTCACATGTTGATACTGACCATCCATGACGCCACGTGTTGATACTGACCATCCATGACATCCCGTGCCTGTACTGGGCCAGATAACACGCGATGGAACAAGTAATTGGTTGTCAACTGGATGTAGAGGATGACACCATGGAGGATAGTGATATAGAAATGTCTGTGCAGAGGGCATCTCCACCCTCTTCAGTAAGGTATGATAGAAAGGGTAAGGGTAGTGTGAAGGCTGGGGGTGTGAAGACTATGGATGTGAAGGCTGGGGGTGTGAAGATTATGGATGTGAAGGCTGGTTCTGTAACCAGTCATGTGAAGAAACGTGGAAAAAAATTTACTCGGAGTATTGATCTGGTACGTATGAAGGACTGCGCCGCTAAATTATAAGTCTCTGAAAAAATTGAGCAGGTTGTTGCCGTTGAAGTTCACCGTGAACAAGGCCCCGCAGAGTCACCGAAACGTAGCGAGGGCACAGTACAACAGGTGAGTGAGGATCATGGTAAAGAGAACAGTGATAGGGCATGGTGGGATCTTGTGCAACATGAACAGAATCGAGACGCGAGTGCAAATATCAAACTTAGATTTCGAAAAGGGAAAGATGGCACTAAGATAGTGTTAAGTGAGATAATGATGGATAAAGAGTAATTTTGGTTTCTCTAAAAATTACATTCGGGAAGCCTATTAATTTTAATTGTGCTACTTTGAACATTAATGGGCTCAATTGTAGAAATAAACAGTTGCAGATGTTATAATTGTTTAAATATCATAATTTGGATGTACTTTTCGTGCAACACAATGTACAAGATGTTTTAAGAAGCTTGATGTGCTTCTTGATTTCTTTGAAATATTAATAAATCCAACGATCTTGTTGAAAGGTGGTACGATAATATTGATTGCTAAGCGAGCCCACATCAAGGTTCTTAATACTGAAATGGATGATAATGGTAATGTTTTATATGCGAGGATTTCCTTTTTTGACACAATAATTCCTCTGCTTAATGTGTATGCTCCCTCTGGCACCCGCAGGAAGAAAGAGAGGGAGGACTTGTTCTCTAACGAGTTATTGTATTTTTTCAGAAATGATACACGTAAAGTTATTTTTGGTGGCGACTTTAAATGTCACTTCTGTGAGAGATTGTATCATTCAGTCGAACGCATGTGTATCTCCTGCTTTAATTACACTTTTGAAATGTATTAGTCTCAAGGATGCAAGTAGCATTAACGGAGGTGTATATGAATACACATATGTTCACCAGAATTATGGTTCTAGGCTTGACAGAATATATATATGCACTCATTACATGATAAAATTAGTTCTTGCAGTACTGTTCCGGTTAGCTGTTCAGATCACTGTATGGTTGTGGTGAAGCTTGTTATTGACGATCAGGTTAAAGTGGGGACAGGATCATGGAAGCTCAGTTGCAGTCTGTTGCAGAGTAGAGATGTAATTGATAATTTTCAAGTATTGTGGGAACATCTGGTTGGGCAAAAACATAAGTTCAGATGTCTGGTGGGACATGTGTAAAGTTGCATGCAAAAGTTTCTTCGTGAAAGTATCCAAACGAAATGCTGCTGAAAAATATGGTCTGCTAAACTTATTCCAACACAGACTAAAACAACTTTATGTAAAGGTCAATATGGGATTAGACAAGTATGAAGAAATTACCATTTTAAAAGACAAAATTAACAAATTGAGGGATGAAATATCTGAAGGAGTCAATTTTCGCCTCCAGATTAATGATAGGATGTATGGTGAAAAACTCTCTCCTTATTTGTTAAGTAAAGTCAAGAATAACAAGGGTACAGCACTTGTGACTAGTATTATAGCAGGTGATGGGACGGATATGATGAATGCGGATGGGATTGTATGTTATGTTCTGAGTGAATTAGAGAAATTGTAAAAAAAAGTGAACGTAGACCAAGGTATGCGGGAGTATTTCCTTGGAAAATGTACACGGGTTTTAACCCAGGATGACAACACGTCATTATTGGCAGATGTAGATAGCCAGGAAGTGTGGAGTGTGGTCAAGAGTTTAAAGAAAGGTAAATCACCTGGCTGTGATGGGTTCCAGGCGGAATTTTATTTCTATCTATGGGATATCATTGGTAAAGACTTTGTACAAGTGGTGCAGTATAGCATACAGCACAGGAAGCTTAGCATATCGCAATCTCATGGGATTATTAAGATGATACCTAAAACGGGTGATTTGCATATTCTAACGAACTGGCGGCCACTTTCCTTACTAAACCAGGATTATAAAATAGTATCGAAACTGTTGGCAAATAGACTTAGGATTGCAATGGATAAAATTATATCAAAAGAACAGTTTTGTGGTGTGCCTGGAAGATCTATAATCAATTGTAATAATGTAATTAGGGATGTTGTGTATTATGTGTCTGAGAATAATGTTCCTTCCTCCATGATAAACCTCAGTAGTGTAAAAGGAGACAGATGGAGAATTGATTTTCAGAAACGGTTGGGCACTTCCATGCCGACTCGACTCCCGGGGGCCAGATCGTGAAAATCTTTTTCAAGCAGTTGGGTCTGGGCGCGCACCTGGCTGGGTGGGGTGGTGGTCCATTCCCCCCCCAGGGGTACCAAGGGCCCACCACCCAGGATGTACCTGAGGAACTGGTGCCCTATCCTAACCTGTTTTTTCTCGTGCTTTTAAGATGAGTCTAAGGCATCAAGAAGGGGGTCCCCTACTTATGGGAGGTACCGAGGATGAATGTTCAATAGATGAAAACCAAAAAATACACTGGTGAAAGGCATATAAACGTTTTTGGAGTATTTTAATGGCATGAGCAAAAATTCACGATTTGGCCCAGGGGTGTTACGAGAGTACTACGGTATCAATTTGGGGGCCCTTACTTTTGAATGGATCAGAGGGTGAATGTTCAATAGATTCAAACCAAGAAACACAGTTGAAAGCGAATATAGAAGTTTTTGGAGTACTTTAATGAGGCTATGACTGAATAGTACAGGGAGCCCTTGGGCACAGCTCCATTTTCTGTAATGGTCAGAGGTGAGCGGTGAGAACGGGGCGCGATTTTTTGACCAATCAGGAGCCGAGTAGAAAAATTCTCTTTCTGTCTCGGGGTCATGGGCCAATCGGGTGAAATTTTCCTTATTTGTCATGGGGGTGTCACGTGACATGACGTCGGCAATAGGGACCCCCTACCTATGATTACCCCAGTGGGGTCAAGCATAGAAGGGGGGGTCAAGATTCCTTACAAAGACCAAGTTGGATATATAGGTGTAGTAAGCCTTATCTTGAATTTGCATGATACTGTGGGGTACATTGACATGAAGGGCGAGTCATAGAACAGGATCTGCATGTGAGATGGGTCATATTAGGGTTTTAAAGAAGTTAAGATAGCTTTAAAGAGTCCTGTGTGTGCTTGAATGTGGGTAAATGTTCAGTCAATAATTCTCGTGTTTTGAATCTGAATGAGGGGTCCTAGTTTACGTTCTAGTCGTAAAATTAGTTCCTTAGTATATTTGCTATGGAAAATGAGCTTTCAGTACTCTATATAATTTGAAATGAGGTCAAGAAAGACATGTTTATGTGCGAGAAGAGTCAGGTTGGAAACTGTTTATTCCAGTCATCCCCCCTTGACTTTGCTCCGTTTTCTGTAGCTAAAGTAAAGATTCCATTTTCTGTGGCATTCAGTTGATTACTGGTGAAAAAGGCATGCTTGCCTTTGTATAGTTCTAACCTGTTTATAGATTTTATAGATATATTTTTCGGGCCTCAAATTAGATTTTAATATGAAAAATAGCATCAAATGTATGTCTATCTTTTGTAATAAACGTTACAAGCATTAACAATACCTGTGATATTTCATAGAATACGAAAAGAAGTTTAAATAGTGGGGCCTCAGCCATATTGTGTTGGGTTTGACACTCCAAACATTAATTTGACACTCGTAGATATACTATAAAGGAAAGTAGTTGAGTGGTTTAAGCAATGTAATATGTACTAGACATCTGTTCATATTAAATTGAATTTTTTAACATCAAAATAGTTTGCAGCAAAATAGTTTTGAGGTGAGTACTGAAGACGGCTGGCTGTGTGTGTCTGCTCCTCAAAAAGATCTAAGTTTCCCCTTCTCAATCTTTGTTCATAGACAGTCCACATTTCTCACATAAGTCATCGAGCGCGATCCAGTAAAGTTATGTAAATGTAATTGGGTTCGAAGCAGCGACCAGTGAGATATTATAACCAGATTATGACAAGTCACATAGAAGTTCAGTAGCCATTTGGAAATTTACCCGGTAGGCAAAACATTATTTTAAATCTATAAGTTTTGGACCTGTTTCCCTGACGAGTATTATAATATGTTAATGGTGCAAGCAGGATTTTTGTGATTGTGAAAAATTTCATATCATTCAGAAATGGAAAATAAGTACATTTTTGTATTTGTATTAATATTTTTATTATGTATTAAGAGTGTCAACTAGATGTAATCTTTATTAACATATTTCTAGACAACCTTATTTTGATAATGTCAACTAATCTTGCTAATTTTTATTATTAAATGGGGGCCAAGCTAAATTAAGGATAAAATTCCTAATAGTCCTTCCCCAAGGACACAGCTATAAGATGAAGTCTCCCAGGACGCAGCTAAAAGTTGAAGCGTATCAGGACCCACCAAGGATATGAGAACTCCCCAGGATGCATATTGAAGATGAAGTCTCCCTGGACGCAGCTAGAAGATATAGACCCCCAGGCCACAGGTAGAAGATCACGTCCCCCTGGCCACAGGTAGATCACGTCTCCCCCTGGCCGCAGGTAGAAGATGACTTCCCAATGGCCGCAGGTAGAAGATATACATTTTTCTTCAAAATGATCCGAGAGTTCTCTAGTTTTCTTCGCTCTTTTTCACAGCTAAACGACAAAGATGCAGCATACTTCCCCCTTACGGCACTTTCCCTTGGGGTCCCTCGGGCCGTTGCCGCACACCTCGATGGGATTACACTCGCCTCCTTTAGACCCGCATTTTCTTGTGGTGTCCGGAACTGTGGAAAGAAGGCGGCACATGCGGTGAGTAAGGTGAGTTCATAGCATGTAGGAGAGGAAATGAAGAAGCAGATGGGAGACCAACAAATGCATTGCCTTTTATCAGGCATGCACTTCCAGGTAACATCATTGACATTATAAACAACATAAAGAAGAGCTTGAGGCCCTTAGGAGAAGCATGAGAGAAAGGGAAAGAGTTTGTTGTAACATTTACAAAGTAAATAGCAGCCGTAGGCAGGCCATTTAGAGCCGTACTAAACAGTAACAGAGAGAGCAGTACAGTTAGAGCTTGGGGGTTACAATTTCGAACGGGCTTTTGTTCTCGGAATAAATTCAAGCCATATAATTACATTTTAATCATCGTACTCACGGTCAAGGCAGCATTCAACGCCCAGCTTGTGCTGCGATCGACACAGGCCCTTCTTCGGGTGGAGGAGCCCAGCAGGACAAGCGGACTCCCGCACACATGACCCACCATGGTGCGAGCACGGGTCCACAGGCGAGAACTGTTGACAGAACAAAAAATGGTGTTGAGAGATCAACAAGCAGAGAAAACGAGTAATTTGGAAGGGAAAGGGGGGGGGACTAAAAATATATATATATATATATATATATATATATATATATATATATATATATATATATATATATATATATATATATATATATATATATATATATATGCCTATACTTGCATAAACCACAAGTGAAGATTAACAATCTTTGGACAACACCCACCAGTGGGACTCGAACCCAGAAAGCACAACTACCTTCCAGTAGCTGCCATAACTAGTAGAGAACATGGAGGTGGAACAGAAGGTCAAGGAAGGGGAGAAAAATGAGACCTTGCGGTATAGTATAAACTGGTAACATAAGCAAGTTAAGTAAAGGAAACTATTCTATAACCTAAAAGGATACATAAAACGAGAAAGAAGCAAACGACGCAAAAATTTAAAAACCGTGAAGTTAGTGGTCTCAAAACAGAAAATGGGTTTAAAGTTGTTGAGGAATAGAAATTGAGAAATAAAGATGAACAAGACAAAGACAATCCAGTGGAAGCTTACAAAATAAAAAAGGATTTTCATGTTGTTGATGAAGAAAGCTGTTCAAGTGTTGTTTAAGGCGAAGAATACAATTATACCTGACCCTGGTGCAGGGTTTGTAATGGTTATCACTAGTGCAGGGTTTATAATAGTGATCACTGTTCTTGGGCCATACATTCAACAAGGTAAACACCCTTAAGAGGCCTTCAATCACTTCTCCATTCCCGGTGTGCCGCGGATGACGTCGTAATCAGCTGATTGAGTAAACATTGCCTTGGAGTTTGAGAAACGCTGTTCACCTTCCTCCTTGCACACAAGCACAACAAGCAGACAGACAGGAATATAGGCAGCAGACAGGCCTACAGGAAGCAGGCAAGAATACAAAGAAGCAGAAAAATATAGGCAGACACAGACAGGCAACAGATAAAAATACAAACATCCAGGCAACAGAGAGGTAGAAATATAAACATACAGGCAACGGACAAGTAGAAATATAAATAGACAGGCAGACAGACAAGCAGAAATACAAATATATAGGCAACAGACAGGCAGAAATAAAAACATACAGGCAACAGACTGGCAGAAATACAAACATACAGGCAGAAATAAAAACATACAGTCAGAAATACAAACATACAGGCAGAGAAGACAAAGCGAGAGAGATAATGCTAGAGGGAAGAGAAAGTCGCGTGTCCACACTACCACACAAGAGCTACCCGAACTAATGCGAATCTCTTTTGTCTTACCGCCAGTGCCCCAGTGATCTCGCCAGCTCCGTAACCTGTCATCAAAGACACACAAATTATAATTTATACCAGTTATTGCTACAAGTTTTAATGTATGAGTTATCGCTACATGTTGCAATTTTGAGCCACCGTCCCCACTCCATTGTGTCTCCTTGTTATGGTGAGGGGGCTCACGTACACCTCACTGGGACTGGTGAGGGTTGCCTCCGCCGTCTTTCCTGTCCCTCTTTGGGAGTTGTACATGCGAATGAACACAATCGTAGGGTCCTTGTGAGCCCACTAGAGGGGTCGCCCGTGAGGGGCTGCCCTAAGTGGATGGCTGGGTGTCCAGGCTGGGGCGAAAGGGAGAATGAGGTCTTTGCACCAGTGTAGAAGAATGGACGAAGCAGGAGGACTCCCCTGTTAAAAAGGGGGAGCACCGCTGGAGACGATGCACCCCTTCCTGCATTGGCCCGTGTGCGGCTTTCCTGGCTGCCCTGATTGGGGGTATCCCTTGGTTCTAGGCCCCAGACCTTTTTAAAATACATGACACATGGATACTGACACGACCTCTCTTACCCAGGCTCATGGGGTGGGCGACCAGGCCCCTGAGTCGGACTGTGATGAAAGACTGGGCTCTATAGCCCCCGCTACATTGGGCCCAGACCAGACTACTCCCCCTCCCCCCTGCTCCCCCTCCCCCCCTGCTCCCCTCTCTTATCTGTGTTGTGGTCGAGCCCCAAGCCCCCAGTGGTGACTACCTCATCCCCTGGCACGGCTCCGTCTCTCATTGTAACTACTGCACCTTTTAACCCCCTCTCTCTGGAGGTTCTCAACGCCGTCCCCACCACAGCCGCACTTGCACGATCCCTTCCCATACTAATACGTACCACGCTTTGTTTGGTCCTGCTATGTGGGTTAAATACTTTGATCTCAACCATCTGGATTCTACACATCCTGATGATTTCTCCCTCCATAAACACCTTGTTGATTCGGTAGATGGCTGTTACTTTTATCCCCACCCCTTGGTACATGTGTCGTCGCTGCTCCTTCTCAGGATGCACCTACCCATTTAGCTGCATTGTCCTGCATTGGGGAGATCCATGTTTGTCTCCAAAAACGCTCGGTTAAATGCCAGTGTTGGCACTGTTCTCCTCCTGCACCATGTTGCAACTGGTGTTAGGGACCTACAAGACTGTCACGAGGGTATTAAACATATCCTCGAAGCCCAAAGCTATTTTATCCTCCAGGTGGACACGTTCACTCTACCCTCTCGTGGTCATCACCATCAGCCCCTTCGTCTCAACTCTTTCACTGGCATATCTTATGCTCGTGAGTTGCGTTCTACCTCTCCTCATCCTTCCCACCTTACTCAGTCTCACAACCGTTTCCAGGCCTTAGACCCGAACACGCCCACCGCCTCCTCCCCTGTTCCTTTACGTTCTGTCCGGAAGGATCCCCCTCCTGGTTTTCCTTATGGAGTTTCCCTCCCCCTTCCTACCCAGTCTACCATGTCTCCTGTGTCTTCTTTCCCATCTTCCCCCGATCCTTCTTCCTAATGCTCCCCCCAGTCTCTTAGCCCTCCACGCCACCTGTCTGTCCAGGCTGTTGTCCATCTTCCTCCCAGTAATCTTCATGTTGTTCACTCCCGTTCTTCTTTTGTTGAGACAATTGAGTCTGTCGCCCAGTACGTTGTTGCTGGAAAACCTGTCTCTTTGAGTCTGAAAGGTGTTGGCCTGGCCCCTCTCCTTCCTACTCCACGGCGGGTAAAAAGGTATCGCTTTCTTCCTCTCCCCCACCTCTGACTCCATCACTCCGTTCCCTCCCATTTCGGTGGTCGGGCTCCCTGTCCCAGCTATGGAGGTTTCTTTACCCCCCGATTCTCACTCGGTTGCTGCTCTTGTTGAGGTGCACTCCATGGTTTCTGCCCCCTCCCCTCCTGCTGTCGCTGACTGCCCCTCTCGGTTGTCTCCTCCTCCAGACCCCGTCCGTCAGCCTCTGGTCTGTCCTCTCGCTCCCTTCACTTCATCCTTACTATTCACCATCTGTGATAATCTCTCCGACCTCTCCATGGTGCCTCTCCCTCGTGCCCTCCTCCTTTTTACATGACACCGCCTTCGACGCTGCCCTCCGCTCTATTCCTCGCTCTGCCCCATGCATCACGTGGAAATGAATTCCCTGGTGGAATTATCTCCTGTAAAGATATTCTTTATCCCAACATTTACCCAGTTATTCATTTCTCCATCCTTAACATTAGCAGGGTTCTTGGTCTTCTGTTACTGGTTACAAACTGAGTACTCTTAAGAGTAGTGTGTCCCTGTGGTCTTCCTCCTACCACCGTAACTGGCGATGGGAAACGGCTCTGGCAAGGTTGCGTATTGGCCATACACGCTTAACTCACGGACACTTAATGGAGCGTGACACCCTGCTCCTAATTGTCCAAACTGCATTGTCCCTCTAACAGTCGTGCATATCCTTGTTGAATGTCCTGACTTCCAGGACGAGCATGTGCCTTGCTTTCCGACCCTCCCTCGAGGTCACTTGTCCCTCGATGGAATTCATGGTGAATCGGATACTTTTGATATCTTTCGCCTTATGCGTTTCTGTTCTCATATTGCCATCCTTAGTGATATTTAATAATCCCTATGATTATTCCTCACATTTGATGGTGCTACATAGACTTCCTGCTTAGTGCCTTCTTTTGATAATTACTTACTTGGGCGTCAAGGTGACACAGATGCAGCAGCCAAACTATATATATATATATATATATATATATATATATATATATATATATATATATATATATATATATATATATAATGTCGTACCTAGTAGCCAGAACGCACTTCTCAGCCTACTATGCAAGGCCCAATTTGCCTAATAAGCCAAGTTTTCATGAATTAATTGTTTTTCGACTACCTAACCTACCTAACCTAACCTAACCTAACTTTTTCGGCTACCTAACCTAACCTAACCTATAAAGATAGGTTAGGTTAGGTTAGGTAGGGTTGGTTAGGTTCGGTCATATATCTACGTTAATTTTAACTCCAATAAAAAAAAATTGACCTCATACATAATGAAATAGGTAGCTTTATCATTTCATAAGAAAAAAATTAGAGAAAATATATTAATTCAGGAAAACTTGGCTTATTAGGCAAATCGGGCCTTGCATAGTAGGCCGAGAAGTGCATTCTGTCTACTAGGTACGACATATATATATATATATATATATATATATATATATATGTCGTACCTAATAGCCAGAACGCACTTCTCAGCCTACTATTCAAGGCCCGATTTGCCTAATAAGCCAAGTTTTCATGAATAATGTTTTTTCGTCTACCTAACCTACCTAACCTAACCTAACCTAGCTTTTTTTGGCTACCTAACCTAACCTTACCTATAAATATAGGTTAGGTTAGGTTAGGTAGGGTTGGTTAGGTTCGGTCATATATCTACGTTAATTTTAACTCCAATAAAAAAATTGACCTCATACATAGAGAAAAGGGTTGCTTTATCATTTCATAAGAAAAAATTATAGTAAATATATTAATTCAGGAAAACTTGGCTTATTAGGCAAATCGGGCCTTGAATAATAGGCTGAGAAGTGAGTTCTGGCTACTAGGTACGACATATATATATATATATATATATATATATATATATATATATATATATATGTCGTACCTAATAGCCAGAACGCACTTCTCAGCCTACTATGCAAGGCTCGATTTGCCTAATAAGCCAAGTTTTCATGAAATGTTTTTTCGACTACCTAACCTACCTAACCTAACCTAACTTTTTCGACTACCTAACCTAACCTAACCTATAAGATAGGTTAGGTTAGTAGGGTTGGTTAGGTTCGGTCATATATCTACGTTAATTTTAACTCCAATAAATTAAATTGACCTCATACATAATGAAATGGGTAGCTTTATCGTTTCATAAGAAAAAAATTAGAGAAAATATATTAATTCAGGAAAACTTGGCTTATTAGGCAAATCGGGCCTTACATAGTAGGCTGATATATATATATATATATATATATATATATATATATATATATATAATATATATATATATATATATATATATATATAATATATATATATATATCAGCCTACTATGTAAGGCCCGATTTGCCTAATAAGCCAAGTTTTCCTGAATTAATATATTTACTATAATTTTTTCTTATGAAATGATAAAGCTACCCTTTTCACTATGTATGAGGTCAATTTTTTTTTTATTGGAGTTAAAATTGACGTAGATATATGACCGAACCTAACCAACCCTACCTAACCTAACCTAACCTATATATATAGGTAAGGTTAGGTTAGGTAGCCAAAAAAAGCTAGGTTACGTTAGGTTAGGTAGGTTAGGCAGACGAAAAAACATTAATTCATGAAAACTTGGCTTATTAGGCAAATCGGGCCTTGCATAGTAGGCTGAGAAGTGATTTCTGGCTACTAGGTACGACATATATATATATATATATATATATATATATATATATATATATATATATATATATATATATATATATATATGTCGTACCTAATAGCCAGAACGCATTTCTCAGCTACTATTCAAGGCCCGATTTGCCTAATAAGCCAAGTTTTCATGAATTAATGTTTTTTCGTCTACCTAACCTACCTAACCTAACCTAACCTAGCTTTTTTTGGCTACCTAACCTAACCTTACCTATAAATATAGGTTAGGTTAGGTTAGGTAGGGTTGGTTAGGTTCGGTCATATCTCTACGTTAATTTTAACTCCAATAAAAAAAATTGACCTCATACATAGAGAAAAGGGTAGCTTTATCATTTCATAAGAAAAAAATTATAGTAAATATATTAATTCAGGAAAACTTGGCTTATTAGGCAAATCGGGCCTTGAATAGTAGGCTGAGAAGTGAGTTCTGGCTACTAGGTACGACATATATATATATATATATATTATATATATATATATATATATATGTCGTACCTAGTAGCCAGAACTCACTTCTCAGCCTACTATTCAAGGCCCGATTTGCCTAATAAGCCAAGTTTTCCTGAATTAATATATTTACTATAATTTTTTTCTTATGAAATGATAAAGCTACCCTTTTCTCTATGTATGAGGTCAATTTTTTTATTGGAGTTAAAATTAACGTAGATATATGACCGAACCTAACCAACCCTACCTAACCTAACCTAACCTATATTTATAGGTAAGGTTAGGTTAGGTAGCCAAAAAAGCTAGGTTAGGTTAGGTTAGGTAGGTTAGGTAGACGAAAAAAACATTAATTCATGAAAACTTGGCTTATTAGGCAAATCGGGCCTTGAATAGTAGGCTGAGAAATGCGTTCTGGCTATTAGGTACGACATATATATATATATATATGGTCGTACCTAGTAGCCAGAACTCACTTCTCAGCCTACTACGCAATGCCCGATTTGCCTAATAAGCCTAGTTTTCATGAATTAATGTTTTTTAGACTACCTAACCTACCTAACCTAACCTAACCTAACGTTTTCGGCTACCTAACCTAACCTAACCTATAAAGATAGGTTAGGTTAGGTTAGGTAGGGTTGGTTAGGTTCGGTCATATATCTACGTTAATTTTAACTCTAATAAAAAAAATTGACCTCATACATAATGAAATGGGTAGCTTTATCATTTAATAAGAAAAAAATTAGAGAAAATATATTAATTCAGTAAAACTTGGCTTATTAGGCAAATCGGGCCCTGCATAGTAGCTGAGAAGTGAGTTCTGGCTACTAGGTACGACATATATATATATATATATATATATATATATATATATATATATATATGTCGTACCTAGTAGCCAGAACTCACTTCTCAGCCTACTATGCAAGGCCCGATTTGCCTAATAAGCCAAGTTTTCATGAATTAATGTTTTTTCGTCTGCCTAACCTACCTAACCTAACGTAACCTAGCTTTTTTTGGCTACCTAACCTAACCTTACCTATATATATAGGTTAGGTTAGGTTAGGTAGGGTTGGTTAGGTTCGGTCATATATCTACGTCAATTTTAACTCCAATAAAAAAAAATTGACCTCATACATAGTGAAAAGGGTAGCTTTATCATTTCATAAGAAAAAAATTATAGTAAATATATTAATTCAGGAAAACTTGGCTTATTAGGCAAATCGGGCCTTGAATAGTAGGCTGAGAAGTGAGTTCTGGCTACTAGGTACGACATAATATATATATTATATATTATATATATATATATATATATATTATATATATATAATATATATATATATATTATATAATAATATATATATTATATATATATATATATATATATATATATAGATATATATATATATATATATATTATATATAATGTCGTACCTAATAGCCAGAACGCATTTCTCAGCCTACTATTCAAGGCCCGATTTGCCTAATAAGCCAAGTTTTCATGAATTAATGTTTTTTCGTCTACCTAATGTCCATCTTCCTCCCAGTAATCTTCTTGTTCACTCCCGTTCTTCTTCTGTTGAGACAATTGATTCAGTCGCCCAGTACATTTTTGCTGGAAAACCTGTCTCTTTGAGTCTGAAAGGTGTTGGCCTGGCTCCTCTCCTTCCTACTCCACGGCGGGTAAAAAGGTATCGCTTTCTTCCTCTCCCCCACCTCTGACTCCATCACTCCGTTCCCTCCCATTTCGGTGGTCGGGCTCCCTGTCCCAGCTATGGAGGTTTCTTTACCCCCCGATTCTCACTCGGTTGCTGCTCTTGTTGAGGTGCACTCCATGGTTTCTGCCCCCTCCCCTCCTGCTGTCGCTGACTGCCCCTCTCGGTTGTCTCCTCCTCCTCCAGACCCCGTCCGTCAGCCTCTGGTCTGTCCTCTCGCTCCCTTCACTTCATCCTTACTATTCACCATCTGTGATAATCTCTCCGACCTCTCCATGGTGCCTCTCCCTCGTGCCCTCCTCCTTTTTACATGACACCGCCTTCGACGCTGCCCTCCGCTCTATTCCTCGCTCTGCCCCATGCATCACGTGGAAATGAATTCCCTGGTGGAATTATCTCCTGTAAAGATATTCTTTATCCCAACATTTACCCAGTTATTCATTTCTCCATCCTTAACATTAGCAGGGTTCTTGGTCTTCTGTTACTGGTTACAAACTGAGTACTCTTAAGAGTAGTGTGTCCCTGTGGTCTTCCTCCTACCACCGTAACTGGCGATGGGAAACGGCTCTGGCAAGGTTGCGTATTGGCCATACACGCTTAACTCACGGACACTTAATGGAGCGTGACACCCTGCTCCTAATTGTCCAAACTGCATTGTCCCTCTAACAGTCGTGCATATCCTTGTTGAATGTCCTGACTTCCAGGACGAGCATGTGCCTTGCTTTCCGACCCTCCCTCGAGGTCACTTGTCCCTCGATGGAATTCATGGTGAATCGGATACTTTTGATATCTTTCGCCTTATGCGTTTCTGTTCTCATATTGCCATCCTTAGTGATATTTAATAATCCCTATGATTATTCCTCACATTTGATGGTGCTACATAGACTTCCTGCTTAGTGCCTTCTTTTGATAATTACTTACTTGGGCGTCAAGGTGACACAGATGCAGCAGCCAAACTATATATATATATATATATATATATATATATATATATATATATATATATATATATATATATATATATATATATATGTCGTACCTAATAGCCAGAACGCACTTCTCAGCCTACTATGCAAGGCTCGATTTGCCTAATAAGCCAAGTTTTCATGAAATAATGTTTTTTCGACTACCTAACCTACCTAACCTAACCTAACCTAACTTTTTCGACTGCCTAACCTAACCTAACCTATAAAGATAGGTTAGGTTAGGTTAGGTAGGGTTGGTTAGGTTCGGTCATATATCTACGTTAATTTTAACTCCAATAAATTAAATTGACCTCATACATAATGAAATGGGTAGCTTTATCATTTCATAAGAAAAAAATTAGAGAAAATATATTAATTCAGGAAAACTTGGCTTATTAGGCAAATCGGGCCTTACATAGTAGGCTGAGAAGTGCGTTCTGCCTACTAGGTACGACATATATATATATATATATATATATATATATATATATATATATATATATATATATAAATGACCCTCGACCTCAAAAAAGAGGATATGCAGCACCCGGGGGAGCTTTGCCGGGCTCTACACCTTCATGTATACTATCAGAGTTCTACACCGTCATGTATACTATCAGCTCTACATCTTCATGTATACTGTCAGCTCTACACGTCATGTCACTGTAGATCTACCTTCTGTCAGCTCTACACCTTCATGTATACTGTCAGCTCTACACCGTCATGTATACTGTCAGATCTACACCTTCATGTATACTGTCAGCTCTACACCGTCATGTATACTGTCAGATCTACACCTTCATGTATACTGTCAGATCTACACCTTCATGTATACTGACAGCTCTACACCTTCATGTATACTGACAGCTCTACACCTTCATGTATACTGTCAGCTCTACACCGTCATGTATACTGTCAGATCTACACCTTCATGTATACTGACAGCTCTACACCGTCATGTATACTGTCAGATCTACACCTTCATGTATACTGACAGCTCTACACCTTCATGTATACTGACAGCTCTACACTTTCATGTATACTGACAGCTCTACACCTTCATGTATACTGTCAGCTCTACACCTTCATGTATACTGACAGCTCTACACCGTCATGTATACTGACAGCTCTACACCTTCATGTATACTGACAGATCTACACCTTCATGTATACTGTCAGAGCTCTACACTGAGGGAGACCACTGGCAGTGTTGCCACACTTACCGACTTGGGCGGAGAGAGTCGGGGAGGCAGCGCCGAGCAGCAGCGTCACCAACACACACAACTGGACCCTCATCTCCTGCGTGCTGAGGATAGAACGCCATGAGTGAACGTGCTGAGGATAGAACGCCACGAGTGAACGTGCTGCCGCTATGACTGAGGAGTCAACAACACATAAGTGATGACTTTAACCACATTTCCATTGCTGCTGAAGCCTAGTTATTGCTCGATTTAAAATTACTTCACTACACTTGCTAATTATAATTATATAATTGATTATATTAATAATAACAATACTCACTAAGCCTGAGAAGTCCTGGAAAGAAGCAGCAGGTGGAGCTGAGAGGAACTGTCACGTTGCTGGGTGAAACTTTGAGAGGAATTAGTGAGCCACGAGCTGGCTCCTCCTGTATATATGAGGCTGGACGGGTAGGTTGCCACCATTTGCTACATCCTCCATGTTGATTGATATATTTTATTTATTTTTATTTATAAATATACAAGAAGTTACATTTCGTTTATGAGAGTACATAGTATGATGTGTTTACATTCTTGTAAAGCCACAAGTACGCACAGCGTTTCGGGCAGGTCCTTAATCAAACAGATTTAAGGACCAGATTTAAGGATTTATCTGTTTAAGTAGGTAATTTCTAGCAAAAGTTATAAATTTTAACAGGTACATTGTAAGAAAATTTGACAAAGATTAGTAGGCACATTAATAGCTTTGATTGATTGCTTGATTGATAATATGACAGATTAGTAGGCACATTAAGCACAATGATAGCACATATAAGATGACAGCAATGTTTTATAGTAAAGTTATATGGCTTAGGTACATATGTGGGGAGATTGGGTAGCACGCAATATTTGTTCAATATAACAACCATGATATAAGATGATATCAATGATTATAATAGTAAAGTTATATAGCTTAGGTACATATATAGGGAGATTGGGTAGCACGCAATTTTTACAGATAACAACCGTGATATAACAGATACCGTGATTATAATAGATAAAGATATATGGATAAGGTCGCATATATAGTGAGCGGGTAGCACAAAACTTGGTACCGTGAAACTAGATACAGATACAGAGGTATAAACTCGCTCTCTCTGAGCGAGTTTAAAGCACTCTAGGAAACTCTGAAGATCTCTCTCTCTCTCTCTCTCTCTCTCTCTCTCTCTCTCTCTCTCTCTCTCTCTCTCTCTCTCTCTCTCTCTCTCTCTCATCTCTCTCTCTCTCTCTCTCTCTCTCTCTCCCTCCCAAGTACCTATTTACTGCTAGGTAACGGGGCATCAGGGTTAAGGAAACTGCCCATCTGTCTCCGCGGGTGCGGGGATCGAACCCCGGTTCCTAGGACAACGAGTCTAGAGCGCTATCTACTCACCCACCAAGCCCTCTCCCCACCCTCCGCATGTATACGTGCGCAGGTGCGTAGGGGAGGAGGAGGAGGAGGGAAGGTTGGAATCTCCAAGCGATACGACGTCAACTTCCCCAGAAGACAAGCGACCAATACGCACCTTCACAACAATCATTACAATGCCAGGTATTCTAAGTGTTTATAAACTTAAATAGACATGCATTATAATACCAAAAATATAAAAGTTTTGTAAATACACATTTAACCAAGCACGGGGCCACAAGCTGCTATGAACAACCTGCGAGTAACAACTTGACGAACAAAACGGAGCAACAGACAAGAGAGAGAGTGGAAGCAAGAGGAGATACCACGCAGGTGGAAGCCCAGTGATGTTGTGAACACTGCTCCCACCTGCGTGTTATCTGGCCCAGTACAGACACGGGATGTCATGGAAGGTTTGTATAAGCACATGACGTCGTGGAAGTTCAGTATAAGTACAAGACATCAGGGATGGTCAGCATACTCACATGACGTCATGAAAGGTCAAGTATAAGAGTACATGACGTCATGGAAGATCCTGACGTCAAGGTCAGGATTGACATTACAATTCAGAGTTTTAAATATAACCACACATGAGTACACATGAGAGGATGTGCAGTGACTTAATATCTAACATATTGAGAGATTTGAGTAAGGGTACCGAGTGCTGTTGGGCCAGAGTTAGATATTGTTCTAATAGATGCTTCGTGCTGGGTAATTAGAGGACGTAAATGATTTTGGGTAGTAGAACCCCAAGCACAAATACCATAGTTGAGGTAAGGATAGATGAAAGAGTAATAGAGCGTCACCAGGGCAGGGCGAGGTACATAATATCTGATCTTAGAAAGAATGCCAACAGTTTTAGAAACTTTTTTTTGCTATATTTAGAATGTGTCCCTGGAAATTTAGCTTGTTATCAATGAGGACACCAAGGAATTTACCATCAACTTTACTACTGATTTGTAAATTGTTTATTCTTAGATTAATTTCATTTGAGGATTTATTACCAAACAAAATATAGAAAGTTTTGTCAATGTCAAGGGTGAGTTTGTTAGCAGTTAGCCAAAGATGGACTTTATTTAGTTCAGTATTCACAGTGGCATTTAGACAAGAGGGTCAGGACTGGAGAAAATGAAAGTTGTGTCATTAACAAATAAGATTGGTTTGAGGTGTTGAGAGGCATTTGGAAGGTCATTAAAGTAGATGAAAAAGAGGAGAGGGCCAAGTATGCTGCCCTTGGAACATCGTTAGTGCTTTTATTGGGTCTGAAACCATATTGGCAAGAACTAAGTATATTGAGTTTGGCTAGATAAGAGTAAAGCTGCTTGTAGATTAGCTTTTCAAATATTTTTGAGAAGGTTGGCAGAATTGATATAGGTCTGTAATTGTTGACATCAGTGAGATCACCACATTTATGGACTGGGGTTACTCTCGCTTTTTTTTTTTAGAATATCCGGAAAGGTTTGGAGTTCAAGTGATTTGTTGAAGAGCAATGCAATGGTAGGAGCTAGAAATCTGGAGGCTTTTTTGTAAATTAGAGATGGTATCTCAGCAAGGGCACTTGACTTAGTTTTAAGGGAAAGAATTACCTCATTAACATCAGAGGAGTTAGCGGGAGTTAGGTACAGAGACTCTGGATAGTTACCTGTAAGGTAGTCTTTAATATTAGTGAGTGAGGATGGAATATCATGAGCAAGGGAGGTCCCAATGGATGAAAAGAACCTATTGAATTCAATAGCAGTGTTTGAGGCCGTAAGCACACCATCGTCATTGGATAGGAGAATTGGTTATTTATTCAAAATCTTTTTTGATCCTAATATTTGGGAGATAATGTTCCATGTTTTCTTAATGTTGCCCTTAATTTTGGTAAATTTCTTTTCGTAGTATGTTGTTTTGGCTCTTCTAATTATTTTAGACAGCATGGATGAGTAAATCTTTGAAAATTCTTTGGAGACGACTCCTAACCTATACTTCTTCTCAAGGTCATGTTTTTTATTAATAGATTTAAGTATACCCTTTGTAAGCCATGGAGTGTTTAACCTTTTATTTGTAACTTGTTTCGTTAGCATTGGACAATGGGAGTTATAAATGTTCAGAGTTTTCTGAATAAATGTTTGCACTGCTAGATTGGTGTTCACTGACACATAATTCAGCCTCCCAGTTGATATTAGCAGCAGCAGCAATAAAGTTGCTTATAGAAGTTTCATTGTGCAGCCTAAAGCTTATCTTCCTTGTCTCTAGAGGCGGTTTATTAATGTTGGTTAGGAGAAATGAGGGGTAATGGTCTGTGGTCCTATCAATGATTATCCCTGAAGTACGTTAAGCGGTTATGTTAGTCCAGATGTGGTCAAGAGCAGAGGCAGTACTATCAGTGATTCTAGTAGGTCTAGTGATTAAGGGTATGAGGAAGCAGGAATTCATACAGTTGAGGAAACTAACAGCAGGAGGGTTATCAAGCTCGCAGAGGTCAATATTAAAGTCCCCTGCGATAATTAGATGGTTTTTGTTCAATCTGTTATCTAGTATTAGATTTCTAAGGTTAGAGTTGAATTCGGACACATCAGTGTTAGGAATTCTATAGACTTCTCCCACAGTCAGGACAGACTCAGCACCCTTGACTCTGAAACAGGCAAAGATATACTCTCCACAAGGGTCTCTAATTTTAATTACTTTTAAGCATGTCAGTTCTTGGTGGTAGTAAAGAGCATTACCACCACCTCTCTGAATTGGTCGACAGTTGTGAATTGCTGAGTAGTTTGGCATGTTAAAGAGTTGAGTAGTATCGTCTTTTAACTACGTTTCAGTAAGTATAACAAAAGAGAATTTGTTGTCAACAGTTTGAATCAAGGCACTAACATCATCAACGTGTTTGCTTAGAGATCTTACATTCAAGTTAATTACAGAGATATTGTGATTATGTGTTAATACATTGTTTACATCATGTGCTGTATAATATCTGCAATTTTGATCATTAAATCATTTTGACAAATGATTGACTTTGATCAAAAAGATCATTTTGACACTATCAACTATCAAAACCTTCTTCTTAAATTACATCATTATGGAGTCAGAGGACGCTCCCTGCAATACCTCAAATCTTACCTTACTGACAGGCTCCAGTATGTTTCTGTGAATAATTCAATTTCTCCCACCCTACCCATCAACATTGGTGTTCCTCAGGGCAGCATACTTGGCCCTCTCCTCTTTCTCATCTACATTAATGACCTTCCAAATGCCTCCCAACACCTCAAACCAATTCTATTTGCTGACGACACAACCTTCATTTACTCCAGTCCTGACCCCCTTGCTCTAAATGCCACAGTAAATACTGAGCTAAATAAAGTCCATCTTTGGCTAACTGCCAACAAACTCACTCTTAACATTGACAAAACTTTCTGTATTCTGTTTGGCAATAAATCCTCTAATCAAATAAATCTCAGCATAAACAATACCCAAATTTGTAACAAAATAGATGTCAAATTCCTTGGCGTTCTCATTGACCACAAGCTGAATTTCCAGGGACTCATTCTAAATATATAAAAAAAAGTTTAAAAAACTGTTGGCATTCTTTCTAAGATCAGATATTATATGTACCTCGCCCTGCCCTGGTGACGCTCTATTACTCCCTCATCTATCCATATCTCAACTATGGTATTTGTGCTTGGGGTTCTACTACCAAAAATCATTTACGTCCTCTAATTACTCAACACAAAGCTGCTATTAGGACAATATCCAACTCTGGTCCCAGACATCACTCGGTACCCCAACTCAAATCTCTGAATATGTTAGATATTAAGTCACTGCACATTCTCTCATGTGTATTATACATATATAAAACGCTGAACTGTAATGCTAATCCTGACCTCAAAAGCTTCATAGAAGGTTGTAACAGAACCCATGAGCACCACACAAGAAACAAATACAGTTTTGATATTCCAAGAGTACGACTTAATCAAACTAGAAATGCTCTACAAATCAAGGGACCCAGAATGTGGAATGACCTTTCCAATCATGTTAAAAACTGTACCTCTCTCAACCAATTTCAGATAAAAACTAAGTACTACCTAATTAACTCAATGTAATCCTACCTCACCCCCAAAATGTCAACCCATGTCTTCTATTTTAAACAATGCTGTTTTGTTGACCAAATTGTATTTTTGTTTTTTTTCTGCTATATATGTTCCCCCCCCCCCTTTTTCCATTTTTTTTTTTTCAACACAATTTATACTTTAATCTCAATTAGTATTAAGTTTTAGTCTTAGTGTTTTTCCTGCCCGAAACACTTTGCGTAATAGTGGCTTTAGGCATTGTATGTACTAGCTCTATCTATAAATCTATCAACTTTTGTATCTTACCTTGTATGTATGTACTTTACCTGAATAAAAATTTGTATTTGAATAAAGAAATTTGAAAGTGTAAATTAACTCTGTCAGCTGAACTATTCGCATACTTTGCGTCATTATATAATGGAATGTGAAAAAATCGCGGAATTTAGAGATAACACCATCAATATTGGCCAAGAAATGTGTAAGTACTTTATTCATAATGATGTGCTGCCTGAAATCTTAGCGAAGTATCCAAAATTTGCTTACTGTAAGTAATGCATGCACATGACTGTGAAGCTGCCGCCCAGTTGGGTGGGTGTGGAGCAAGACTGTAAAGTCTTGATACTGTGCGACTCATCATAGATGTAAAGTGCCTTGCATAGTGACTGTTGTGAGCCTTATTTTTTGAATCACTTGTGACACAAAAGATTATTGATGTGTGTATTTGTGTGGGTGATTAAATATGTATGTGTATGTACATATGTATACGTATGTATATGTACATGTATGCATGAGTATGTGTACATGTATATATAACATTAATAATTTTGTAACTAGCGTCAAAAGATTGTTATTTGCTTAGCTAAACGAACTAGAGGGTTCAGTTTCTGAACCGATTATGTGCCTATGTAATCCTTTAAACCACCGCCCACGGGATGGTATGGGGATGCATAATAAAGAAAGAAATTGAATTGCCGCACGCCCACACCGTTGAACATTATGTATTAGAGTGTCAACTTATTGATAACTATAGAAATAAGGACATAAGTAGTGTACCACATCAAATTGTTTTGGTGTGTTACACACACAGATTACACTAACGTAATGCATCAAATGAACGAATCCACAAGGGCCGTGACGAGGATTCGAACCTGTGCATGCGTCCGGGAGAATCCCGGATGCGTTTTGCAGTGTTGCGACTGCGGAGGGGGCGAACAGAGGTCGCCGAGTCCGTGGGCACGTTTTTAAGAACCCCGCTCGGTGCGCGCGCAACTTAGGCGGTTAGACTCAACTTTTAGTAATACGTTTCCTTCCCACAGAAACTTCACCGCTCTGTGAAAGCAGTGTCTATGTCTTAAAGAGTTGAGAGCATTTAAGGATGATAAGGAGTCACTTACAATTAATGTATCAAGTTTGAAGACTTGTACACATTTCAGTGCAAGGAGCAAGACAAACAGCTCGGTATATGAAGGGCAGAGGTCCAGTTGTTTATACGGACTCCCCACTCAAAGTATAAGTCATCGCCCATGGACAGGACAACTACACTTCCAGCTGCACCCGTGTGGCGGTGTAGAGACGGTCTTGTATTGTGATTTGTGTTTTTGTATTCACTGAATTTGTGCGCCCCTTGAGGGACTTGATGTAGAGGAGGGGTAGAAATAGCCTAAGCTACTCTATCGCTTTGAGATGTATTTTTTTTGCTTGTCTCAATAAACATAGTTGAACTTGAACTCATTAGAAATTGTAAACATTTTACCTGCAGAAGTCTTTCTCACTTTTATCTTTTATGATAAGCCACTTTATTTACTAGTGCCTTTACAAGATTACAACGGGGTGAGAATAGCTTGAGCTACCTCATCCCTTTGTGTGTATTTTACCTCAATAAACTTATTTCAATTTCAATTTACAAGATTGTAAATACCATGCTATGTATCCTCACAAACCCAATGTACCTTCTTGTATATAAATAAATAAATAAATAAATAAAATAAATAAATAAATAAATAATATATTTCGAACCTGAATCTAATCCTGCCAGAAACACTATGCGTGTTAGTAGTTTTGCAAGTTAATTTAGTTTAGTTCATTTATTATGCACCCCATACCCATCTTGTGGGCGGTAGTGGAAAGGGTTACAGAGGCACATAATGGGCTCAGGGACTGAACCCCACAATTCATTTAGCTAAGCAAGTTACAATCTTGATGAGCTAGTTACAAAATTCAATATAAGTCGTCACATCAACAATGGGTTCGAGATCGACCTCAAGTACAGGTTCTAAATTAAGCAACTGACATATGTGGAGAGCTAGTGTCAAAATTTATATGTCCTGCACATCGCTCCCCATCCAGTGGGCAGCGGTGGATAGGTTACAATCACTTATAGTTACTACGTACGGTTAGCAAACTGGGGATATTTGGCTAAAATTTCTGGTAGCAGATCATTTTGAATGAAATATTGACACATCGCTGGAACATTGGTTATTGAATTGTCTCTAAATTCACGTATCTTTTCGTACTCCATCACATAGTGACGGCCGGAGGGTGTGCGAATAATTTTGTTGACACAGTTTACATTTGGTCAGGTCTACATCAGCAGATAATGAGAATTCCCAGAGATACTTGTAACCGAGTCTAAGCCGAGCAATAGTAACATCTAGAAGTCTGCTGATTTTATTGGATGATCCATAGATGTGTGGCTCCTCTTGCATGATAGTATGATGATAGATGGAATTAGTTTTGCAAGAATGTAAAAAATACCAATCTTCTGGAAACCCACAAACCCATTGTACCTTCTTATAAATAAAAAACGTAATCATATAATTATAATTACAATTATAATATCCATTCGAATATGATGTATATACGATGAGCGTGAAATGTTAAAGCCGCGGGAAAACGATCCGAACACCGGGCAGCGATCAGCTGGTCCTCGGGCGCCCAGTTGGCCTCTGTCCGCCCTCGCTATCATCTTGTTTATTTTGTTATTTACCTGTAAATATACGACTTTGGGGCAGCTAGCCGAGCAACATTTTCCATTTTCCATATACCTGCGAGGTGGTCCGAGGCGTGAGAGGTGCATGGTAGGTGCTATAACGGTACAGTTTGCTTTTTGTGTCGCATTTTCAAAAAAGGGGGGGTTTCTATGCACATTATTTTTTGAGTTTCTTTCTGTATATTTTGGCGAATTGTACTAGTTTTTGTTTTGTTTTATTATTTAAATACCACCATTTACCAGCTGTCTGGAGAATTTTTTATTCCAGAGTTTCGGATCACTTGTGTATGATATTTAATTCGAATGTCAACAATAACAAAGGTTAAAGGGCTTTTGTTGACATGGATATTGTAATTAAAGTGCCATTATTGGCTAAGTAAAAAAGAGCCGTAGAGCAATAACTGATGAAAATAATAAATAAGACTTAATGGTAATGCTAGTGAGGGTATACACATTTTGTCCACTACACCATTCATGTACTTAATGATAATTAATGTCACTATGTTAATTAGGGGGGGGGGAATGTTGACAAGCTGCTGGCTTCCTGTCCTCGTCTGGGCCGCTAGTGTATTAGTGGCCTGCAGTTAAATTCAGGTAAATTTAATTACTTTTTTTAATAACAAGCATAGGTATACTACCCTATTCTATATGAAAGGTATATATATTCTATATATATATATATATATAGAATTTTATATAATATTATAACTAGATCAGAAACTAGCTATATAAGTTTATCTAATATCCCCATCTGACAGGATGGCCAATCATACATGGAATCAGGAGAGAACATGAAATGTAGGCTGATGAACTATTAGCCTCCACTAGCACACTCTGGGCAGGTTATCTTGTGTTGATTTCGGGGCTTTAGTGTCCCCATGGCCCGGTCCTCGACCAGGCCTCCACCCCGAGCCCTGCCCCAGGAAGCAGCCCGTGACAGCTGACTAACTTCCAGGTACCTATTTACTGCTAGGTAACAAGGGCATAGGGTGAAAGAAAATCTGCCCATTGTTTCTCGCCGGCGCCCGGGATCAAACCCAGGACCACAGGATCACGTGTCCAGCGTGCTGTCCGCTCGGCTGGCCGGCTATTGTGGGTACAGCACAAGAACATCTTCCAATATTCCTGAGTGTATGAACAGAGCTCAAAGTACCTCATACCATTTGGTCTGAAGTCACTGATAACGGCAATTACCGACATAGTGTTGGAGAGCATATCCCAGCTCTTGTTCACATAGTTTACAATTGGAATGTTCACCATTGGAGGGATTCATTACCTGCAGTCACCTGTTATAGATGTCGATATCCCAAAATAATTCTGGCAATTACAATGTCACACTGTCTAGTGGATGTTTTATGCTGCCCCGTACATATAATTCCCGGTTCTGGACATATCATAGCTCTTTATACTCGTACCTTCTGGCCATTGAGTGCCAGTGACTACTCTGCCATCCCTAATTTCCTGAAATAGTCTCCGTGGTGTAGTGGTAAGACACTCGCCTGGCGTTCTGCGAGCGCTATGTCATGGGTTTGTATCCTGGCCGGGGAGGATTTACTGGGCGCAATTCCTTAACTGTAGCCTCTGTTTAACGCAACAGTAAAATGTGTATTTGGATGAAAAAACGATTCTTCGCGGCAGGGGATCGTATTCCAGGGACCTGCCCGAAACGCTACGCGTACTAGTGGCTGTACAAGAATGTAACAACTCTTGTATATATCTCAAAAAAAAAAAAAAAAAAAAAAAAAAAAAAATACTGTGAGATTGGAATGCCCATATCCCACCCAATTTCAGGCTTATCACATGCAGTTTTCTTTGTTTTTTGTTTTATTTTTTACTTAAATATACAAGAGTTGTTAGTTTTGTAAAACCACTAGCACACATGGCAATTTGGGCAGGTCCTTAATAATCCTAATTTTCCTTGGAATATGACCCAACCAAATTGTTTAACCACCAGGTACCCATTCACTGCTGGGGGGTCCGTCTAATTACCACAAGCTACCACAAGCTACCACAAGCTACCACAAGCTACCACAAGCTTCACAAAGCTTCCTGGCAATACGTTAGTAATGAATAAATATATATATATATTATATTCTGCTCGAAACGCTGCGCGTACTAGTGGCTTTACAAGACTGTAATTACCATATTATGTATCCTCACATTCCCAATGTACCTTCTTGTATATGCATAAATAAATAAATAAATATATGATATGATAGGTTAGGCTGACCTAACCTAACTCAACCAAACCAAACCGACGCTTGGATCGTCGACTTGATTTGGCGTCACCAGCTCTTTATTTTCGTCTAATTTCTTTATCAAAAGATACTTTTTCAGATTAAAATTATGTTTTTTCGTGTTGTACATTCAGCACCAACATTATAATGAGTAAATATATCATATTTATTCATTACTAACGTATTGCCAGGAAGCTTTGTGAAGCTTGTGTAGCTTGCGGTAATTAAACGGACCGCTGCTGGGTAAATAGAGGCTACAGTTAAGGATTGGCACCTTTCAGTTAATCCTCTCCAGCCAGGATATGAACCCAGGCCAAAGCGCTCGCGAAGTGCCGGGTGAGTGTTTTACCACTGTGCCATGGGGACAGAGGCAGTTTTAGCTGCCTTGTGCATGGCATCAAGCTAGATAACAGCCATGCGAGATGGTATCCATATAAATGAGACTCTGAAACTCTTGCTTTGTTGTTTATAATAGATGTTTTATAATAGATTTTACAACATTCCTAGTATCCATTTTGCATGTTGGGTTTTAAGTGTTTGAAGAGCTGACTTTGAATCGCAGCCAACATCTTTCCATTATATTTTAGGCCGCATTCACTCGTTTAGGTGATGGTGTAATAATAATAATAATAATAATAATAATAATAATAATAATAATAATAATAATAATAATAATAATAATAAAAAAAATAAATAATAATTGTTTACAAGTGTACATATAATTCATACTGGGGGGGGAGGGGGAAGGCAGCCAGTACTCGCCTAGTTGTGCTTGTGGGAGGTTGAGCTTTAGCTCATTGGTCCCAGTCTCAACTATCAATCTACTGGTGTACAGATTCCTGAGCTTCTCAAGCTCTCTCTCATATCTTCATTTGAAACTATGCATAAGAGTCAACCTCCACCACATCACTTCCTAGTGATGTGGTGGAATGATGTCATTCCATTTACTAACTACACTGACATTGAAAAAGTTCTTTCTAATGTCTCTGTGGCTCATTTAGGTACTCATCTTCCACCTATGTCCTCGTGTGTGTGTACCACCCATGTTAAATAATCCATCATTGTCTACCCTGTCAATTCCCCTAAGAATTATGAATGTGATGATCATGTCTCCACAAGCTCTTGTCTTCCAGTGACATGAGGTGCAGTTCACACAGCCTTTCCTCATAACTCATGCCTCTTAGTTCTTGGACTAGCCTAGTGGCATACCTCTGAACTTTTTCCAGCTTCATCTTGTGCTTGACAAGGTGGGGGCAAGAAATATTGTAATACTTTCAATATGACAATTTAAGTTGCTGTACTCATAATAGCAGTCTTTTGATTTTATTCACTTGGTTCCTTTGATATGAAATGCTGGGCAATCTGTTAAAACATTCCTTCTTGTTTAGTGAATTTGAAGTTTTAGGTGGAAAAATTTGCTATTTTCAGAGCGACACATTCCTCTATTTAGGACATTTCTGTAGTTTCTTGGGTGTTTATATTTACAAGTTCCATTAGCTCTTCTTGATAGTCCATATTTGCATACACCCCATGCATAATATTGGCAGAGTCCTGGTTTATGCTTCGTTGGGTTGTGTTGGTTTATCCGCAGTACACTTTGTGTCGGCTCTTTGATGGAAGATGTAGGTTAAGGTCTTTCAGATTCTTGTTATTGTTCTGTCACTTCCTTAACTGCTTCTAATATTACTGTCTCTATGGCTATTTGTGCATAGGGTTAGCTTGATATCCTCCTTGCTTTTTCCTATATCTTGTGTAACCTCCTTCATCTTTTCTGATGAAATCTCTTTTTACCTGTTGAATTTCCTTGTCTAACCTATTGTATTCACTAACATCTGGCTTGGATTTAACTTCAAGAGTCTTCAATACTCTATTTTCTTCCTACAGGACTTTTCCTTTAGTTTCCCAGTGATTCTTATCTTTGTATAATTCCTTCATTTTACCTTTTATGGATGTAACTTTAAATTTTCATTACTGCTGGTCAAATTCTTTATTTTATCCACGTGATTACTTACAGTGATCTCTAGTTTTGCCAACCTGTCATGAAGACCATTCCTACTAATATTTTTTCTTGGTCAAAAACCATCAAAATTAATCTCTTCTATTTTGTCCTTCCTCTTGCTGGCAGCCATCTTTGTTTTGGTGACCATGTGCTCCCACACCATTTCCTTAAAAAAAAAAAAAATACAATTTCTGCATTGTTATTGTAACTTGTTTAGATTCTTTCTGTTTTGGCAGATATTCATACACATTTATGCACTGCTTCACTCTGCTGTGTCTTGTTTATCCCACCCAAAATCTTGATAACACTGGAGCTCCCCAGCTCTCACCCCTCCCACCGCACCACCACCGCCACTTTTTTTTATTTCAATTTTTTATATATTTATATATACAAGAGCTCTTACATTCTTGTACAGCCGTTAGCATGCATAGCATATTGGGCAAGTCCTTAATCTTAATTTTCACACACGTAGTCCCTTAGGACTACAAACCCTGAGCGCTGTGCACCCTAAATCACTTAGTGATACAACCAATCATGTCTTCGTTCTACAATGGACGAGGATAGATTGTCTGGATTAACTTTGCTCCCATTGAAAGACAGTTGACTACTGAGGTGGATTATTATAATCATAGATAACTTTGCAGGGGCCTTGGCAAAAGAGGCTTTTGTAGTTGCTTTGTACATTTTTCATATTGCTTTGTTTTCCATTTTAGTTTTACATTTGATATGTAAAATAATTAAATAACATGCATGTTTCTATTATTTCCCATTTTGTACAGTATTTATGAGCTTACTGTAAAACATTTTTATTGTTTTGATTTTAAATACAAAATAACAATTGTGTACTTGCTTTAAAACTGTATCCTTCTCATATTTTGATTTAAATACAAAATAAAAGGCATAAAGAAATTAAAATTATTTGTGCCGTTATGCCCTTTTATGTTCTTACTTCCCTTAAGTTTAGAACCTGGCTATGCCACTGCCTCTACCCCTTTAAATTTTTTTTTTTACTTGGTGTAACAATTAATTTTATTGTTTGCAGCTAGGAAAATGACTCTAAAGAGGAAGTTATGTGAGATGAACGATGTAGACTGGGATAGAACGGAGGAGGCAGGCAGCAATATTTCCTTACAGTCCTCTATGGATACTGAAGGCTCTCCATATTATGCTATGGAGAACAGTCAAGAGGAAGCTATTGACGATCCCGCTGCTAATTCCGTAGGAGACCAAAGTGTGAGTATATATTTGCGCTCTTGAATTGTTGCAAGTACTGTGTTGATTTTTTATAGTAAATCTATAGTTTCAATAGTGAAACTTTAATTTTTCACTGTTAAATCTGTAGGCTAAGTTACGGGCACAGTATTGAGTTTATAATATAAAACTTGGGCAGATTTATTAATGCTGTACTTTTTGTAATAGAAACTACAGTAACGATTACTTTACAATAACTGTTTGTAATGATCAGAAGGCTTGATAACCCATGGGCTTCCAAAGAAATATTGTCCCATCAGTTCTGATTAAGTAATCTTAATTTAAGGTAAAATGTAAGAATACTCAGGAAGAGGAACTGTGATTATCAAGATACAGTACAGTACAGTATTTAATTTATCTCGGAGGAAATGAAAGTGTTTTTACTTGCACTCTAGTCATGTACCATAATTGGGGGCTAAAGAGGGCAAGCCACAGAATGCCATATCAAGCTAGAAAAGCTAACTTTAAGTTTATCAACATAGACTACAGAGACTAGTGAGTCGGCCGAGCCGAAGAAGAAGCCCACCAAGAAAAAGAAAATATCGGCTGCAATGGTGCAGCAACAGATGAGCTTAAATTGTGAGTGGAACATGTGTTCAGCCGTGTATAAGAAGATGGAGCAGTTTGTGTCGCATGTTGCCGATCATCTTGCTGCAGAAACAGGTGTGTTCGTTGTAAAATATGATGCATTATTCTATAATGTGATGCGCAATTATTCTATAATATGATATATTATTCTATAAATTTTTTTTATAGAATAATACATCATATGTTACCACATTATATTGCATCAATACATCACCACGTTAGCGCAATGTGGCTAATGCAATGTTAGCCAGATTGTGTTATATAACGCAATGTGGCTAACACTGTTTTGGGTTTTTTACTTTTTAAATATTGGCTATGGAAGGAGTCTTTGTATAAGCTAATAAAACCTTGGGACTCCATATGGTAAACTGGTGTTGAATGTAATAAATTCTTGATACTTAAACATGGAAAAAAATTACGAACTTAAATGGAATATAGGATGCAAGATGCAATCTGATTTCCTCAAAGAAGGAAAAACGACGTGTAAAAGATGTGGTGGTAATGTTGGACGATCAAATATCATGTCAACTAGGAGAGTTATAGGGTATATTATGAGGAACTTTAAATCCATGGATTCCACCACAATGCTCCTACTTTCAGAACATTTTGTATTTTCCCATGTTGAATACTGCTTGGTACATGCATCCACTTGCAAAGCAGGAGAGGTTTCAGAGACAAATTCAGAAAACATGTATGGCATGTATAAACATGGTAAAGCATGTAAATTATTAGGTCTGTCTCAAAGAACTCAATATATATACTTTCTGGAAAGGAGATAAGAGGTATAACATTGGGTAATCGGAATAAATTCAAGTTTGAGTTTTTAAATGCCGAACTCTAATAAAAATTCGGAGTACTGTATATAGATTTCTGCTGAACAAAAGTCACAATAAATTCAAATTTGTTTATTTTTGGACATTGGAGGTAACTTGAATAGGGGTAGGCTGCATATAATTTGGATTATGGAGTGTAGACACTACCTACCTGTTGTTGGTTCTGGGGATCAATGTCCCCCAAATTCAGTCTCTGACCACACCTGGAAGGCTGCATTCCAAATACGTACAACTAAATATAATGTATTGGAGTGACAGATGGTAAGAAACACACACTATAACCAGTGAAGAGGTAGATGCCATTGGCACACTTGGGAGACAACTATACGAATACCAGAAGTCCACGGCCCTTCGATCTCATGATCTTGTCAAATATAAGTAAAAATATGTGCAGTCATAATTTTGTGTACAACATGCACATACACGAACCACGCCCACCAGGGAAGGAAGTGGAAGTGAAGGAAGATCGAAGCGACCAATGTCACCCAAATCCTGATCCATAAAACTCAAGCGGGGCATCTCCAGGGCCTCCAATCAGGCAAACAATCTGGTGCATTGCAAGAAGGAGAATCGAGCATGCAACACAGCCGCCACCTGATTCCTGAGATCAGCAGACAGGAAATGAGTAAATTGAAGCACAAATGGGAAAGAAGTCCTGCAAGACTCGGGTCGTAGGTGTCACCGACTAAACAGGCAGCATGACGGAGGCAGTTTGGATGATCGTCACCCTGAGGCAGGAGCGATGAGCAACCTACAACTTTGCACAAGGCGAGAGTGGATTCTGAAGAAGTATTCATGGTACCACCGAGCCCATGGGTTTTCCAGGGCCTGTAGGGTAAATGAGCCCCATGGGAAGCCCAGGCACTGGGGCCAGCTAAGCCAGTAGAATCCCTGTCTAGTAGCAGGCAAACTGACTACCAGTAGCAGCCGTGTACCCTCGGGAGTAACAGAGGAGGACCACCAACACTACCTAGGCTAGCCTAATAAGAGGCTAGGCAGCCCTCCACTGTGTACAAAGGATAAAAACACAAGAAATGGAAACTAATAGCCCCCAAAGAAGCACAACAAGCAAACTGGCAGCCAGAGAGAAGCATTGGTCACTGCGTTGTAGTAAGGCAGGCTGCACCAACCGCAGTGTGCCCACACCCAGCAAATAACACTCTCCCACCCTGGGCAAGATGGAAAGCCCAAGAGCAAAGACAACCTCAAGCAATGAAGTCTTCAACAGGGAGTGATTCCCAAATGCCCCCTGGGAAGATAGCCCTGAAACACAAGAGCAGTTCTTACGGAGCACCTAAAAAAGTTGATCCTAGGTGAATGCTGCTTTGTGTACAAGAAGAAACCTGGCCAACACCCAAACACACCGTTGCTACAGCCACACACGGCAAAATCCAGAACAGGAACTTGAGGCCAGAGGTGACCGCAGCACATCTGTTCAAGAACTGGAGTGGTAAGCAGCCGTCTTAGGTGCTCTCCCCCTTAAGCACCGCCACTTAAGCTAACAAGTGGAGGTGCTAGTCGCATGAAGGGTTGCTTGTTTGGTTTACTTTCAACGGGAGTTATTTTGATCTTCTTGGATGTATATTGTACAGGTTAACCAAAAAGTGGTCTGTTTTGATTCACCTACCTGTCTGGGTCGTTTCCCCCAGCCTATGGGAATTAGGACATACTTTAAATGTAAAGTGTTCATAGGCCATTGCTCCCTGCACCTCTCTGATGGAACCAGATTCTGTCTTGTGGTTCCTGGTAGGCATAAGAACTCCTGTGACTGATGACCCCAAACTAATATAGCACATATCAGTTCGGATAGTCTCGGGAAGCCGACGGGGCTCCCCCACAGAAAACAAAAATAAAAGACATTGATACCTGGTTGATGGGTTTCTGGGAATTTTTCTACTCCAGCAGCCTGGTCCGAGGCCAGGCTTGACTTGTGAGAGTTTGGTCCACTAGGCTGTTGCTTGCAGCAACCCGCAGGCACACACATCCACCACAGCCCCGTTGGTCTGGCACTCCTTGGAAAAAATGATCTAGTTTTCTCTTGAAGATGTCCACGGTTGTTCGGGCATTGAAATAAATGTTGAAATGTCTTTGTGGCAACTCTCGCCTCAGGCCCGGTTCGGGGCTACCTTCCTGAGGGCGACTGCTCGATGAATGCTCGTGAATTGTGATGTCATCATGAGACTTTCAGGCTTCTCTACGGCCAAAATAAGTCATACAGTTTGTTTCTTCAATGCAGATTTCTGCCGGAAACGTTTTGCGTAATAGTGGCTTTAGGCATTGTATGTACTAGCTCTATCTATAAATCCATCAACTTTCATTTTTCACCTTGTATGTATGTACTTTGCCTGTATAAATATTTGAGAGCTTTTAAATTCTTTAGATGAGATGGTAGAGGTACTTGCTGCCCCCTTGCTCAGGTTTGTCCCTAGATTCTTTCAAGCAGTTGCTTGTTTTGTTGGTAGTTTTCTCTTGGTATTCAATAGATCTTTAATTCACAGTCTCCGTGGTGTAGTGGTAAGGCACTCGCCTGGCGTTCCGCAAGTGCTATGTCATGGGTTCGTATCCTGGCCGGGGAGGATTTACTGGGCGCAATTCCTTAACTGTAGCCTTTGTTTAACGCAACAGTAAAATGTGTACTTGGATGAAAAAACGATTCTTCGCGGCAGGGGATCGTATTCCAGGGACCTTACTCTGATACTGGCTCCTGGTAGCCAAGGGTTGGTCTTAGCATTTTTCCTAAGGCATAGCTTGACTATTGTTTAGTTATGGGAGCTATTGCAGGGTGCCTCAAAGAAGTAGGTAGGGGGAGGTGAGGGGGGGGGGTGAATGACTGCTGCATAGAATTATGGAGCCCTTTGTTTTAAAGACAGGATGCTCACAGAATAACTACCAACCATTTCTCACCTGCATCTGAAATATTAAACACATTAGTTTAACCATTTGCTAATTGCTACCATTCAGTTCCCATTTGTACTATGGCTAGACTCTTAGCTTCAGGCATAAGCTCCATTTCTCCAAGATGTAAGTCAGTATATCAAAACAATAAACACTGCTCATCAAAACAGTAATGTAAATGGTTTGACTGGAAATGGTCATCAGTTGTTTCAGCTGAATGGGTTAATAAAGGATGCAGTATCTGAATATGTATTGCTAAAAATCGTATTTTCATATGCGATAAAACCCACGGGAGCCGTGATGAGGATTTTAACCTATGTACTGTACTGGGTATTTCCAGATGCACACTCTAGACGACTACGCCACGTCACGGTCAAAGGAACGTTGTGGATTCCTGTGGATTTTCTCGTTGATATGTCATGGTAATGTGATTTGTGTGTGTCTTTCTTCACAAGTGTTAACGTTAAACGTACATGACATGTTTACAGGACCTCCATCAGGCGATGGGTATCTTTGTCATTGGAGAGAATGCTGGTTTGCATGTAGCACAAAGGAGGAGCGTTACCGCCATGTCTACTTTCATGCTTTCCATGCCAAGGTCAAGAGCATTGGTGCAGTTCTGATGGAAGAAAGACACAAAGAGGTAGAGTAACATGATCTCTTGTGAATACAGTATATGATTTTTATTAATTAATCTAAGTATAGAAACATTTTAATATTGTTATATTTCTGGGGGAAGCCCCTTCGGTTCCCCGGAGCTATCTGGGCTGATATGAATGTATTAGACCCCTGGCATCAAAGCGCATGCAGTTCTTAAGCCTACTGGGGACCATGAGCCAGAACCTGGCCCTTTCAGAGAGGCATGAGGAGCAATGGCCTAGAGGAACCCCAAGTGATTGGAAGCATTCTATGTCTGCCATCGACCGGTCAGCACCCAGAAAGGTAGGCACTCCACATCAAACCCTATCTGCTTAAAATATTGCTACTGAAAGTCAAACTGTTTGACAGAATTCCCCCAAATGAAAAACGAGCATAACGTCACAACTGTCACCGTGCTGCTATCTGCACAGCTCCCCCCTCCCTGGGATTGGGAAGAGGAAGGCCAAAACCCTCATGCTGGCTATCCACACTCCCAGTTCTGTGGCTGATGGGAGACCCGGCAATCGTGTGACTCTGGCTCCAGACGTTTTCCAGTGCTGTACCTTGTGGTGTGGTCCTGCCCGTTGGTGGTATATAAGACAGGAGTAATTTCACCAGTACTCGGGCTGCATGCGCTTAGGGTTACCTTCCCTAGGTGTCCTGTAAGTACTGCCCTTGTGGCTTGGGGTTCCCTTTTGGCATTTGGTGTTATTGACCCTTATCTCTTTGTATTCTTAGTGGTCCTCCGCTAGGTCTCCATGTGTGTACACATCACGGGGGTTCGGTAATTAGTAGTTCGCTTGGTAGTTTGGGGCGCTGGTTAGAAGTACCTTGCCTGGGCTTCCCTTAGCAGAGGTTCTAAGGGTCCTGAAAAACCCCATGTTACGGCCTGCTTGAGTCAGTAACCGGGGTCTTTCTGTTAACGTGTCATATAGTCTCTTCTTCTCTGATCCTACTTCAAGTCGGTGGCAAGTTCTCAAGAATTGGCGGTAGCAAGTAACAGTACAAGGAATAAATGGGGGGGGGGGGGGGGATAAACAATATTCAATTACACCTTCACCAATATATTATCTACAGAAGTATAACTACACACATGTACACTATCGCTTTCACACAGGCCACTCAATAGATCTGCAGTGTTCATCAAATCCTGGTGAGTCCACTATCTTAAAGTACACGTCGTTCACGCTCAATGGTAATCACCGGCGAGTTCACCTTTCTCAACATGGGCCAGTCCAAACACCGTATCGTCACAATGTCCCAATACCTTACATCCGCTCTGCAAAAACACACTGGCAGAGGGCTTTAGCAACACGCTGACAGGGGGTCTCAAATAATTACGTACATGGGTAGCTAACACCCGGCAGAAGTCTCTAGCAACACACTAGCAGCACTTCTCAGTAGACGAACACTACTGTCATCTCGCAACTCCTCTTGGCCAAATCCCAGGTACGTCGGTCCATACAATGCTACACAAGTCAAACCGCTAACACACTGCTACTACCGACGGTGGCCACTTTGTCTTCTCACAGGATTAAATCAGGAGTTTTGGACTGCCCAAAGTGAACTGCCCTCCTCAGTGCAATCACCTCCTCATCTGTGAACATAAACGTCATTAGCTACACAGTATATTGGGTGACCTTAGGATATCACCCTTCCACCTGGGAACTGAAATTGTAATTGCATGCACAACTTAGATGGCGTTGGTATCATTACGCCACCCATCAGAGGTCATCATCGCCCTCGCCTCCTGAGGCATGAAATGGGAGCCTTTTACCGACGCCACACCACCGCCAACAGATGTCGTCTGCATCTCACCTAATATCTGGGAGTTGGAGTGCAGGTCCATAGATGGCGCCGAAATTGCCACTCCACACTCCAGCAACGGTGTAGATACAATAACACCCCACTTGGGCTCGGTGGTTTGATGGATGCATCCCCTAGGTTTCATCTCAATGTGTGCGAGTATAGTCAGTTTTGGGGTATAATTCAGGGTTAAGCCTATATATTCTCTAGATAACGCAACTCCCGCCAAAATTAGGCAGTACCAATTCCCCCTGCCCTATTGTATGGAAAGGAAAAAACTGCTGTATCTCATAAATATATAGTAGCTTAACGAATATTTACCTCGTAAGGCTAAGTGTGCTAGAGTTACTGGTAATTCTTTCTGCAGCCATGTATACCTCTTGCCTCTGCTAAACTATTGCCCAAAATTCTTTTCTTGATATCACTCGTAGGCTACACAAATAAATATGCATTATGCAGCAGAAACAAAGGTATTACAAAACTTATTACAGAAATACAGTACTGAAAATATATAATGATAATATCAATATCAGTTTTCCCTCACACGAATCCATAGTTCAACAACTAGCCGCTTGGTATTGGTGGCGCCACTGGTACGCCGATTAGCTGTTGTAAATGGAGAGTTTGCAGGACTATGTTTTCTTCTACTGTAATGTAGTAACTTCATTTACATAAATAAAACAAAGAAATATATACTAAATTGTAATAAAAATAAAAATTCATAAGATGAAATTAAACTTTTATTACTAAAACATGCTACCATAACTCGTCTGGTAATTTTAATTCAACCCTAGGCAGCGGTCATTGTCATACGTTGATTCACAGGGTAATGCAGTCATCTCGTATAACGATGTAAACAATTATTGTCTGGGTTTTACACGTATGATGCAAGTAAGGATATAGTTAGTCTGTGGATGAAATGGAATTTACCCTGACCCTCGAAAAATATCTTGCTCTCGTTAGTTACTAGTAAATTCTGTTACTCGTGAGCTACTGCGAAAGGTGAATGTGGTTATCGTTGTATGATTATCATCTGTGGGGTGTGCATTGGTGGCTTGCGCCTTATGTTTCAATCTATACTCTCGCCCATATGGTGCTAAATAGGCCATATTTCATTGACCAGAGCCCAACACCATTGAATATTATGCTCATATCCTTTTTACTACTTTATACTGGTTATAATGGAGTATATTATTATGTCTTGATACTTTTAATACACTATTAATATCTCCTTTGAACCTTGAGGTGGCAAGCTAGACACTCTACTAGAAAACCTTAAGAGTCCCAGAACCCAAGATGAATAGGAAAGTGCTAGTACGTATTCATGAGGTTCAAGGACACCATCCAGAAATTTGGCAGCAAGACCAGGCAAACCTAGGGGTTGTCTTAACAGCATTATGGGCCCCTGGGCACACCAGTGTGCTGGAGCCCCTACAACAACCATTCACAGGAATAAAAAGTAAATGGTCGATAACATTAAACATATATTTATTTTAGTGGCCCTTCAACAAAACTGGTGTTAAACATTAGTTGCTGCTCTACTGCATGGTTTTTAATCAACATGATATAACATTTGAACAATACACAAGGCTTGAAAAAAAACCCAATAATACTCAGTAAGCTACACAGATTAGATGACACAATATGAAATTACAAACATTTTATTAAAACAAGTATTTGTGGCATTACTTTTCAGAGAATTGCTTTTTTATTGGATTGGTGACAATGGTCTTCAGGATGTCATTTTCCATGCACACGAGTGAAAGCCAGTTCAAACGATGCTGCCTCATTGTGTTACGAAGCAGATTTTTTTTATAAGTTTCAGTCTTGAAAAAGAACGTTCTGTACAGTTGATCACCATCATGCACATAACCACTGAGTGCAATTTCAACATTTGGGAATACAGATTTAAAATTGTCTGAAATTATTTTTCTCTGCAGTGCAGGGAGTCTCAGTTTTCATCAAGAGCCATGTAGTGCTTGAGATGCTCACGTTCATTTAAAAGGTCATCATAATTCAGGTCTTTGATACATATTAGCCAGATGTTTACACTTTTCTTTATGCATCAGAAGCAATAGTTTACATTGCTTCTGACAGGAAGGAAGAGAAGGAGCAAACTTAGACCAGGTGGAATTTACCTTCTCCATAACCAGATTCCTAAACACCAGAGGGGCTAACTCCAGGAAATCCAAACCACAAAAGTGGAAAAAACAAGCTCACAAAGTGGCAGCTACTTGAAAATCCTCCTGTCCCAAGATACGTTATGATAAGATTGACCCAGTTAGCAGAAATTTCAGAGGTCGCTGGGATGAAGGATTTATCAACGCCAAAAGGCAGCATAGCAGAAACAGACAAAATGATTGTTGACAAGCAGCATAGCCAACAAGCACATTTCAAACTTGTATGTTCTGAGAGAGGGCTCTATAAATCGGTCTGTGATGAGCCACACCACTGCTCACAGGGATTTACCAGAGTCTGAAGTAGCTAACCAAGTGGGACACCCAAGACTAGGGATGTCTGCCAGAAGAACAAGCACCAAACACAGCCTAGGTGCATAAGTTGAAGTCACGAAAAGAGAGAGAATGTTTGGCGCAGGGTTTTTGAGGTTTTCTAGGTAGTATTCTACTTTCGACATCTTCAGCAGGGTCTCCTTCCAGAAAGCTAATGCGGCTTCCGCGCAGAACACGGAACTGTTAACATATTTGCTGCACGCCAGCCCCAAGAAAAATGCCAAGAACTACATAGCAACCTCTTTGCAACCTTTTTCAAAAAGATCAAGACCTTCAATACCGTCAGCAGAGATGGCTTGTGGAAAATAATGGAGAAGTTTGGCTGTCCTGGCAGGTTCACCACGATTGTCTGGTAGTTCCATGGTAGCATGATGATGAAGTACTAGATAACGGTGTGAAGCAAGGCTGCGTTCCTGCCTCAAAACTCTTCAGTATGGTATTCTTTGTCATTCATACTGATGCTTTCTGTGATTGTCAGGATAGAATATCCATCAGATATAGGACTGACTGTGGGCTGTTTAACCTCAGGCTGTTACAAAGGTGAAGGAAACTGTCATAAGAGACTTTCTGTTCGCTGATTGTGCCCTCAATGCAAGCACAGAGCATATGATGCAGTCCGAAATTGACTGCTTCTAACAAGCTTGCAACAACTTCAGCTTCATCAGCACCAGAAAAGACCGAACTTATGTACCAACCCACACCCAGAATACCCTACCAGGAACTACACTTCATGGTTAAGGGGCAGAACCTACAGGTAGTCGACAACTTAAGCTATCTTAGCACCATTCTCTCGAGCAGTGAACATAGATGCAGTAGTCAACAACAGGATTGCCAAGGCCAGCACTGCCTTTGGAAGATTTTGTGAGAATGACTGGGCGCGGAGGGGCCACACTCTTGCCATCAAACTGATGGTCTACCATGCAGTGGTACTCGCTATCTTTCTCTACGCCAGCAAGACCTGGACTGTCTACAGTACACACATTCCAAACAGCTCAATCACTTTCACTTGAGCTATCTCTGCAGACTCCTCCGCATCAGGTGGCAGGACAAAATCCCAGACACAGAGGTTCTGGAAAGGGCCAATATTCCCAGCGTCTACACCATCCTACAGAAAACTTGGCCCAGATGCACAGGCCATATTGTCGGAATGCCGATTGCCAATACTGCTGCTATATGGAGAATTATGTCAGGTCATGTGTTCAGTTGGGGGGGGTGGGGGGCAGAAGAAAAACTATTCAAGATCTGCCTCAAGGTGACCCTCAATAATCTGAACATCAGCCCCAACACTTAGGAGTCACTTGCTCAGGACCGTCCAATTTGGTGAAATAATGTCACCACAGGGGACCAGGCAGCAGAGAATGCACGGCCTGCAGAGGCTTGGAGGAAACGTGCTGCATGCAAAACTAGAGCAACCTCCACCTCTACAGCAGCACCCATCAACAAATGTCCCATGTGTGGGCGAGCCTTCTGGACTCGTATTGGTCTTATCAGTCATCTTCTGACACAGCCATCGAACTTCCAAGTGATATTGAAGTCATGGTCATTTTTGACTCAGGAGGACGAACATCATCAACTGGTTTCTTTTTGGCCCATTTGTTTGGTGGCCAGCTGTTACTTAGGGGCGTTCAACTTTATTTTGAAATGAATTGTTGCCGAGTTCTTTGGCTGCTTGTGCTTTGCTTTCTGTGACACTTGCAATTGTCTGTATTGCTTTGCTTACTTTATGGTTGTTTTCTCGGTGAGGGGGGAGAACAATCCCCTGCTCCCTGTGCCTCTGTGAGGGAGGTGAGGGGGGTAGGGGACTGGTTCTGGCTATGGTATCCAGAAGGCCATTCAGAACTTTTAAGGCTGATCTAAGTTTGATGTGACTCAGTAGTGGGGAGCTACCTCAGTGTGCTAGCTTTAGGGAGCCATCAAACCCATCTAGGTAGAGGCATTTCATTACATTCAGTGCTGGTTGTATGGTTCAGCTAATATTTTCTGTTAATGATATTAAGTATATGCTAGTAAATCAATTACTGTACTGGTAGGCTGAAGTTTGTTTCCATTGTACAGCCACATGCCCACCAGCTTGCAAGTATAGTACTCTAGTGGTTCACAAATATTATGACAAATAGGGGTGATAATTAAACAAAAATTTTAAATAAATTGTATACCTATATATAGGGAGCCGGTCGGCCGAGCGGACAGCACACTGGACTTGTGATCCTGTGGTCCTGGGTTTGATCCCAGGCTCCGGCGAGAAACATTGGGCAGAGTTTCTTTCACCCTATGCCCCTGTTACCTAGCAGTAAAAATAGGTACCTGGGTGTTAGTCAGCTGTTACGGGCTGCTTCCTGGGGGTGAAGGCCTGGTCAAGGACCGGGCCGCGGGGACACTAAAAAGCCCCGAAATCATCTCAAGATAACCTCAAGATAACCTTTCTATCTGTTAAGGAATTTACTTTCATTTATTTTGGTTATAATTCATTCCATCCCTTCCTCTACATGGCAAGCAGTTTCTTGCTGGGTTCCTAGTTCCTGTGGGTATTGTACTGTACAAAGTATTGAGCAATAATAGGTGATCTTTCTACATTGTAGATGTTTGGCACTGAGAAAGTTTTGAAAAAAATCATTTTTTCATTGTTAGGTATACATGTGCATTAAACTTGTGTAATATTTTTTTCAGTGCATTTTGGATTCTAGTGGTCGTAACATGGTACCCGAGATTCCGGAGCCATTTCAGTGCATGTGGGAGGATTGCGTATTAAGATTTGTCTCGGCGCAAGATTTCTATTGGCATGTTCTAGGCCATGTACGATGCACGGATCCTACTACCAGTACGAAGGCATTTGTGTGTAGCTGGGAAGGTGAGAAACTGTGGTTTAGCATGATATTGTATCTGCTCTGTATGTACGCTACAGTATTTAGACTTTTTTAGTATTAATACAGTGCAGAAGAAGCAGGAATATGTGAAAAGGTCAAAGAATAAGACAAAAAAAAAAAACAGGACATGGTAAACAGGAAAGTAAAGAAACGATAACAAGAGAACCATTGTCAAAAGAAATACAATAAGTAAAGAGGCTGTGATGGCATTTTTAACTGTAATATTTTATATCGGTGATTTAAGAAATTTAAAAAATGGTATTTTCTGAGGAATAATGTTAAGACTATTTCTAAAATTTGAAGTAAGCATGCTTCTCGCTGGGTTTGAGGTAGTAGTGAAGGTATGTGGCATGGTGTCTCAATAGAATTTTCCTGTACTACTTGTGACGAGTTAATTTATTTTGAATTTTTGTTGCAGGGTGTACGGCAACCTTTCGCCATAAAATACGACTTGGTGATCATACTCGCAGTCACACCCAGGAGAAAATTGTAGGCTGCCCTAATTGTGGTGGGATTTATGCTTCCAACACCAAATTCTTTGATCATTGCATTCGCCAACTGCCACTTGATTGTAAGTTGGCTGAACTGTTTAACAGTACTGTAGTGTAACTCTGGAACAATACTCAAAATATTCCATGTTAATTGTTGATTGATACATAATTGAGTAAATTTTGAGCAAGTAGCAATATTTAAAATATGGTTCTTTTAACCAACCCTTCCTCCTGTTTAGATAGTACGTATTATGACGATCGTCAATAGTCACGCATTCGTACGTACTTAGCCTTTAGGTAGTAGTAGTACACTTTAGATTAGGTTAGTTTAGTTTAGTTTGTCTTTGCAACACAAGTAAAAAATAGTTTTCCAGTTTGTCCAACTTAATGGTGCCGGTTTCTACTTTATAATTTCGTTGTACGTCGTATATATATATATATACACACTATGGTCCTCATCATTACTATAAGTACTCCCAAAACAAGAGGATGGCTGTTTTTAACAGATGAAAATGCATGGTTTGCACCTTTGGTATAAGAGGACTTAGCTCTTCAGACAAATTTAGTGTTGGAGATAGTGAAGGAGATAGATGATTAGTGCTTACCCAGTTGTCTATGGGGAGCAGCACCTAGCTTCAAGAATCGTCGTACCTCATAGCAATAGTACATGGTCTATTTATCCCTCTGGCCTCGCGGCTGAGTAGACAGCGCTCGGGATTTGTAGTCCTAAGGTTCTGGGTTCGATCCCCAGTGGAAGCAGAAACAAATGGGCAGACACGGAGAAATCACAATAGCGTGATGCATCAAATGAACAAATCCACAAGGGCTGTGATGAGGGTTCGAACCTACGTCCAAGTGGATCCCAGACGCACCTTAATTGACTGCCACGACATAGTAAAAGAATTACAACTGGGAGTTCAACTGACCTTGCACAGATCCTGCAGTCTCTCCAAGACACAAACCAGGGTTTGTGATAAACCTGTGATGAGTCAGGTCGACTGATCACAAACCATATGATCAGTTGACCCATACGCATATCAACAAAGTTGCTAGTCAAGGCAAAGGTCATAAGTAGAGTCCATTTTCCGGTGAAATTTACGTTGTAACTCGTAAAATTCGTAAGTAGGAGCAGTCGTAATTCAAGGTGCCACTGTACTTTGTCGTGCGGCGCTTTGAAACGTCTCCAGTTTTGTACTCCACCATGTTACCACCTTCCTTGCCCTTTGAACTAGGATTTTGCAGTAGACCTGTTTATAATTAGTGGCATGGCAATAACAAATTTACATCTATTTTAAATAGTGACAGCTCCTTAAGCAAATAGGCAATTGTTTTCAACGGATTCATTGGCTTGTTCTTATGAGAGGGTTTACTTGTATTATGGATGGTTGACTGGTATTTTGTAGTTAAATAATTTGTCACATGCTGATTGTAATTATATAAATTGAAGTGTTTTAACCACTTGTGCAGGTATTTGCATAGGAATCACAATTCAGAATATTGAATAAAGACAGAATAATTTTTTTTTGTTTATTATGGACCATGTATGCTTTTGAAGTTTTTAAATCATTATATTTTATTATGTTTCCAGCACAACAATTCCAGTGTTCTCTTTGCTCAAGAAGGTATGCAAATGAAAGATTGCTACGGGACCACGTGCGACACCACATCAATCTCTATAAGTGTGGAGAGTGTGATATGTCATGCCCCAACAAGTCGGCACTTGCAGCACATACCCGGTATCGCCATGCTAAAGAAAAGCCCTTTAAGTGCACTCAGTGTGGTCGTGGGTAAGAACATGCGACGTTCATTTTTCACATTTTAGATTTCAAGTTTATATCGTCAACAAATGATCCCATTCAAGAGGCTTAACCAGTAACACTGACAATCTGTCCTCAGTCTTTGTTCATCCATCCAGCGGTCAACCCCAAAGATGCATTCATGAATCTTAACATGCAGTTCAATTCATAATAGAAATTTTCTCAAATATAAATTAATATTGTACTTATATATTAGCAAATTGTGCACATTTAGGCATTGATTAGGATAAATTAGGTGTTCAGGTTCTGTTGATTATTTGTAGTACGTGGGTGAAGCATTTACTGCATTGTGGTTCAAACAAAATTCATCATCAAAACATTGTTCGAGAAGTGTTCAAACATCATCAGTTGCAAGTCATTTGTAAATCTTTTTTCATTCATAAATGGGGTTTGGTGGGTGCATGGAATCACTTTTGGTATTTGTTTATGAGGACAGGCTGCATCACAGTTACTATGAAGCAAGAGAATGTTTCAAATTCAAAATTCATTGCAGACATACCTTGTTTTAGCACCGGCTGGTGTGCAATTTGCTTGTTACTAACACCGTGTTTGTTTTCAGGTTTATTTCTGGGGGAGCCCCTACGGCTCCCTGGAGTTATCAAGGCTGAAATGTATATCATTAGACTTGTGCATCAGTCAGTGTGAATGGAGATCTAGACACTAACGGGGACCACGAGTCAGAATCTGGCTCCCTCAGAGAGGCACAAGGAGCAATGGCTTATAGAAATGCACATGTGATTTGGAGCATTCTATGTCTACTATCGACTGGGCCAGGCACCAAAAAAGGTAAGCACCCCACAACAAACCCCTATTCTGGTTAAAACTACGAAAATAGACAAACGAGTGGACAGAACTCCCCAAATGAAAACGAGCAAACGAACATGATATCACACGAGCCGTGCCGCATGTTTGCGCTGTCCCCCCTCCCCAGGAGAGGGAAAGGGGGGAACTGCCCTGTCCTACCTGCAGGCTTCGTCTCAGTGGCAGTATGAAGTTTCCTGGTGGTCCTTCTGTTTCTTTGTCTCATCATTGTTCTTCACTTTCTGGTCAGGTTGTTTTGTTCTTTCTCTCATGGCTGTTTCAGGACCTTCATCTTATGCCGAATACTGTTGCCTCGTTTTGTGCGGCGTTGGGGGAGCCGCTGGAGCTTGCTTTCGGTATTGATGTTACTTCTGCACCGTTTTGCAAGCTGTCTTGGGCGCTGTTTCACCTCCGGCCTGCTCATGCATTGCCTGAGCTGTCCTGGTCTTTGGACAGAGTATTCTCTTATCTGTCTTCTCAGTTTGTTGTGGCCCCTTCGGTTCAGGATTGTTTTTCCAAAGCTCTTTTCTTGTTTGTGTTGGTCTCTGGGGGTCGGGTTGGGGAATTTCATGAAAATCAGAGGTAGACCCACGGTGACTTGTGGAAGGGAACCCCAACCCCTTTATGGCGGTACATACAGGGCACTCAGGGAAGGTGGTTATTTATCTTGAGGTTATCTTGAGATGATTTCGGGGCTTTTTTTAGTGTCCCCGCGGCCCGGTCCTCGACCAGGCCTCCACCCCCAGGAAGCAGCCCGTGACAGCTGACTAACACCCAGGTACCTATTTTACTGCTAGGTAACAGGGGCATAGGGTGAAAGAAACTCTGCCCATTGTTTCTCGCCAGCGCCTGGGATCGAAACCAGGACCACAGGATCACAAGTCCCGCGTGCTGTCCGCTCGGCCGACTGGTGACCCTAAGCACATGCAGGTCGTGTACCTGTGAATATTACTCCCAGCTCGCACACCACCTAAGAGAAGTACTGAACCCAGGCACAGCACAATAAGAATCTGGAGCCATAATGACCAAGCCTTATCCCATTAGCTGAGGAGCTGAAAGTTGGGTTGCCGGCGCAGGGATCTGGGAAGAACCCCCCCCCCTTTCCCCCTCCCGAGGGAAGGGAGGGGAATTGCGCAGACATGCGGCGCGGCTCTTGTGACTTCATGCTTGTTTGCTCGTTTTCAATTGGGGGAGTTCTGTCCACTCGTTTGTCTATTTTCATTGTTTTTAACCATAATAGGGGTATATTTTGTGGCTCTTGCCTTTCTGGGTGCCTGTCCCAGTCGATGGCATATATAGAATGCTCCAAAATCACATGTGCATTCTATGGACCATTGCTCCCTGTGCCTCTCTGAGGGGGGCCAGGTTCTGGCTTATGGTCCCTGATAGGCCTAGAACTCCACCCACATCAACTGATGTCAAAGTTAGTGTTATCCATATCAACCTGGATAGCTCCGGTGAGCCGCAGGGGCTCCCCCGCAGAAAAAAAATTCATTCAGGATTTAGTAACCAAGATGCTGATATTATCAAACATTGTGCATAGAGTTAGTGATAGGGGTGTTATATTGTAGGCATTATGTCGAGTCGGCTGGCATTGTTGGTTGACTATAGCGTGTTGATGCTGTGCTGTGTGGGGCCAATCAGACCAGTTTAGTGGTTTGTCATGATGTACAAAACTGTAGATAGTTGTGTGTTTGTTTATATGCATATATACACTGCATATACACATACAAATAGTGCATATGCATTGCAGTAACAGCAAAAGCTCTGTTCAAAGCCCGAGAATATAATATCGTCACTAACATTTTACCTAAATGCATTAGAGTATAGTGATGTTTTACACATTTTATTATGTAAATTTATCAGGTTCCATAATATATGCATGGAAAATACGGGAGGGCCAGGTCCCAAATTTACACAGTAAAATAACTAAATTTCAGATATAGAACAGAAGTGTCAGGCGAGTGAATGATATTGAAGGAAATGCAGAACGGAAACAGTGAAAAACAGAGGTGCCATAGGCACAGAGAATACTGTATGAACATTAGAGGTCTACGGTTGTTGAACATCTTCCCAGCGAGTGTAAGAAATATTGCCGGAACAAAAGTGGACCTCTTAAAGAGAAAATTGGATAGTTTTCTTCTAGAAGTGCCAGACCAACCAGTCTGTAGTGGCCTGTGGGATGCTCCAAGCACCAGCCTGTTGGACCAAGCTCTTATAAGTCAAGCCTGGCTCTGGGTTGGGCTAGGGAATTAAAACAACTTCCAGAATCCCATCCAGGTACAATACAGGTACACTGTATTGTTATCAGAATGCTGCTGCTGATAGCAACACTGTGCCTATAATTTGCAATGTGTGTTGTATATTGTGATGCATTTTGCGTCGTCTGCTGGTAGCGTGCTGACCATGGATTTCATTTTCACACCCACCAGATTGGCTTAGTGGTCCATATTCGTGCATGAAAATGTACAGTTATAAATGAGGGGTGTATACAATGTAACACCACCTGTAAGCAAAATAGAATGTTATATTACTGTCAGCAAATACTCTAGATGCATCTTAGTGACATGAATATACAGTATTACCTAATTACCATCGCTGTACTCAAAATTATGGTGTGCATATTAGTGATTCAATTATTATGTTCATAAAACAATAAACAAATAGTTTTGCTGTTGTTACACTATATACACAGGTTATATGTAAGTATTTGCATGTTTTGTACACCATAACGAACTACTAAGTTGGTCTTGTGAGTCAAAAAAGCAACGAGGAGTGACCGCCAAACACCAGCGAGCCACTCACTGCCACTCCCTCCCTCAACACCACCTCACTCACCCTCATTCACCTCCTACAATACTCTTTCTGTATTTATTCACTATACACAGACGTTATATATACGTATTTACATGTTTTGTTCACCATAACTGTACATCTAAGCTTGTATGGTGAGTAAAGGCCACAAAGACGTAGCTACTTGCACAGTCAGCTGATCGGCGGCCGCCCTCAAGGCCAAACGCACTAATATTTGTCCTTCAACAATACTGTTTGTGGTATTATTATGCTATATACACATTATATATAAGTATCTACCTGTTTTATTCACCATACCTGAACAAATAAGCTGGTATGGTGACCAAAGACTATTGTGGTCACCAGTAAACAACATGATAAGTCGTGCAGACGACGCCACCACCCTCACCAAAATGGCGGCTCCCAACCTACTCCTCTTGCTGTTTATACCCTATATACACACGTTATATATAAGTATCTACATTTGTGTTCATCATATCGAACCACTAAGCTGGTATGGTGAGTGCAGTCAATAAATGGTGGCCACACACAGTCAGAAGACGACGCCACAACCCTCCCTCCCACAGCCTTACTCCTCCCTCCATGGAGCACAGCGCTAAATATCAGCACAATCCTGCTATTATCTGAATCCTGGTCAGTTTTATCACAGTCAGGGGGCTTCAGTAATACTCTCACTGCTAAATAATAGCAGTATCATAGATATTATGGTATTTGTAGGCGATGCTGTGGTCACAAGCTGAACAGCGGTGCTGTGAGCTCGTGCTGCGTGCGCCAGCCTTGGTGGCTTGCTCAATACTGACGCTGTAACACCCAAGAATGTTGGCCTGGATTTTTTTTCTAGGTGGCATCTGGCAACTATCGGTCGTGGCTGTACTATAGCTGCCCCTATCCCAGGTGGGGAGTTTAAATTATAGCGCTAGACACGAAATCATATATAAATGATGTGGGCGGTTTCGGTTTTGTCACTGATATCATTTATATATGATATGCGCGGTTTGAGGGTTAAGGATTGTGATGTTCCACATAATTTATTGCATAAATTTCTCAAAAGATGCACTATTGAATTACTGTTAAAAAAAAAAAAAAGCAGAGAAAAACTAATCAGAAATATTGAAGTAAATATGTAAAAAATATATTTGGGGCAACACACAGCTGGCTTGGGGTGACAACACTGGAGCATGTGCTCGATGAGTGTACGTGAATCATGAGGTCGTCGCGAGACTTTCAGGCTTCACCACAGTCAAAGTAAGTTGCATACAATTTTTATCATTTTTCCCATGACTAGGCAAGTGCATTTTAACAATATTATGGACCATTGCTCCCTGTGCCTCTCTGAGGGGGGCCAGGTTCTGGCTTATGGTCCCTGATAGGCCTAGAACTCCACCCACATCAACTGATGTCAAAGTTAGTGTTATCCATATCAACCTGGATAGCTCCGGTGAGCCGCAGGGGCTCCCCCGCAGAAAAAAAATTCATTCAGGATTTAGTAACCAAGATGCTGATATTATCAAACATTGTGCATAGAGTTAGTGATAGGGGTGTTATATTGTAGGCATTATGTCGAGTCGGCTGGCATTGTTGGTTGACTATAGCGTGTTGATGCTGTGCTGTGTGGGGCCAATCAGACCAGTTTAGTGGTTTGTCATGATGTACAAAACTGTAGATAGTTGTGTGTTTGTTTATATGCATATATACACTGCATATACACATACAAATAGTGCATATGCATTGCAGTAACAGCAAAAGCTCTGTTCAAAGCCCGAGAATATAATATCGTCACTAACATTTTACCTAAATGCATTAGAGTATAGTGATGTTTTACACATTTTATTATGTAAATTTATCAGGTTCCATAATATATGCATGGAAAATACGGGAGGGCCAGGTCCCAAATTTACACAGTAAAATAACTAAATTTCAGATATAGAACAGAAGTGTCAGGCGAGTGAATGATATTGAAGGAAATGCAGAACGGAAACAGTGAAAAACAGAGGTGCCATAGGCACAGAGAATACTGTATGAACATTAGAGGTCTACGGTTGTTGAACATCTTCCCAGCGAGTGTAAGAAATATTGCCGGAACAAAAGTGGACCTCTTAAAGAGAAAATTGGATAGTTTTCTTCTAGAAGTGCCAGACCAACCAGTCTGTAGTGGCCTGTGGGATGCTCCAAGCACCAGCCTGTTGGACCAAGCTCTTATAAGTCAAGCCTGGCTCTGGGTTGGGCTAGGGAATTAAAACAACTTCCAGAATCCCATCCAGGTACAATACAGGTACACTGTATTGTTATCAGAATGCTGCTGCTGATAGCAACACTGTGCCTATAATTTGCAATGTGTGTTGTATATTGTGATGCATTTTGCGTCGTCTGCTGGTAGGGTGCTGACCATGGATTTCATTTTCACACCCACCAGATTGGCTTAGTGGTCCATATTCGTGCATGAAAATGTACAGTTATAAATGAGGGGTGTATACAATGTAACACCACCAAAAATAGAATGTTATATTACTGTCAGCAAATACTCTAGATGCATCTTAGTGACATGAATATACAGTATTTAAGGATTCTGATGTTCCACATATTTTATTGCATAAATTTCTCAAAAGATACACTATTGAATAACATACTGAAAAAAATGCAGAGTAAAACTAATCAGAAATATTGAAGTAAATATGTAAAAAATATATTTGGGGCAACACACAGCTGGCCTGGGGTGACAACCCTGGGGCGACAACACTGGAGCATATGCTCGATGAGTGTACGTGAATCGTGTGGTCGTCGCGTGGCTTTCAGGCTTCACCACAGCCAAAGTAAGTCGCATACAATTTTTGTTATCATTTTTCCCATGACTAGGCGAGTGCATTTTAACAATATTAGACGAAAAGGTGTTTTAATTTATTTGTTTTTATGCGCACCTGATTCTTGCATGATATAATTAGTGGCACAGCCCAGGGGTTTGAAGATAGGTTCTAATTACTGAATTAAGGAAGAAACTAAAACAAAAGCAGAAACAACATATAAAATACTGTCAAAGCACACTATTGAAAGAAAAAAATGCATTGGATGGTCCCTGGTATGCTTACAATGACTTGCAAGGGCGCTGTGTCAATCGAATTGAGTAGAGCTATCCAGGTAGCTAGCAACAAGGAACCCCTAAGGACCAACCAGAAAGGAGTTTTTTTTTCAGCAACTGGCAATTTTTCTGTGTATTTTTTATGTGTGAACCTTACACACAGTTTTCCCTATATTATAGAATATGTTGAGCATATCCTTGAAGAATTAGGTAGCCTTTGTTTATTTGCATGATAAGATTGGTGTCAAGACATTTTGCTGCACGCCATCTTCCTTGTACACAATATCATTGGATAAATTTTGTATTTCCACAGAAGAGGCTTTCACTAAAGTCTCTATTGTCAATACTATCTAAAGTCTGTTTCATTTTCTAGAATGGTATTGCTTTTCAGCTTTACGCTTATTGCGGATTTGACTCGCCATCTTACTGTTCATTCCGAAGAGCCAGCCTATGTTTGCCCCTACAACGAATGTGATTATAAATGCCGCTCATCAACTACTCTGAATAGGCACATTAAAATGGTGAGAAGTATTTGTGTTTATTTTTGCTTATGGTCTTTGTTGTGTTTAGTTGTATTTGTTATCTGCGACAGACTCATGCTGAAATTGTTTATATTTGGGTCTGAGTATCCATGAACGTTGGGGACATTACACATGCCAAGCATTCTAGATTTGATTATGTACTGAATTCATAGCTGGAAAGGTTGGGGGGAGGGGGAGAATCATTAAATATAAATGTGAAAATTGGTGTTGTCTTGAAAGGCTCCATTGGTGACATCCCTATTGTCACCAAGATCACCTTAGCCGTCTCATGGCTAAGTGGTCATCGTTTGTGATTCACAATTCAGGGACCTGGGTTTGATTACCAGCCAATACAGAAACTATTGGATAGAGTATCTCACCTGACACCTCTGTTCATCTAGCAGTAAATAGGTACAAGGGAGTTGTAGCTGTTGTGGGCTGCATCCTGGGTATGTGTGTGTAATTATCCAAGTTTAATGACTAAAGTGTAGTTACAGGATACGAGCTACTCCTGTGGAGTCCCGTCTTCTCAGCACTGTCATATTTAACCCTTAGACAGGGGGTTCAATGAATCATCATTCATTGATTCATGGGGTGATGCAGTTATCATCATATGGCAATTTAAACAATTACTGTCTGTTTTACATGTGCTTGCCTAGTTGTGCTTGCAGGGGTTGTGCTTTGCTCTTTGGTCCTGCATCTTGACTGTCAATCAACTGGTAATTACCCAAGTGAAGTTACAGGATGAGAGCTATGCTTGTGGTGTCCCATCTTTACAGTACTGCCATATAATGCTTTGAAACTACTGTCGGTTTTGACCTCCACCACCACTTCCCTCAACTTCTTTCAACTGTCTACCACTCTGTTTGCAAAAGAAAACTCTTAACTTTTTTGGCACCTTTGTTTCCTTAGCTTGAATCTGTGATCTCTTTTTCTTGAAGTTCCAGGTTTCTGGAATTCCTCTTTGTCAATTTGGTTGATTTGTTGTTATTATTTTGCAAGTGGTAATATTACCACTTTTTCTTATAGATTTGGCATATTTAACCCCCTCTAGTCCCTCTTTGTAACTCTTGTTTTTCAGTTCTGGAAGCCATTTTGTAGTTTGACTTTGCACCTTTTCCAGTTTATTGATGTGCTGCTTGAGATATGGGCACCATACAACTGTTGGATGTTCCAATTTTTGTCTCGCAAAAGTCATGAACAGTTTTAGTATTTCACCATCCATGTACTGTAGTTAAAAGCAATTTTCAAGTTGGAAAGTGCAGCATATGCTCCTCCCACAATGTTCTGTGTGTTCCTCTGGTGACAGTCTACTATCCAGAACCACCCATAGATCGCTCTTTGATAAAGTTCATAAAGTCCTTTCCACATAATTTGAAGGTTGTGTGGGGGGTCTTTTCCTATTCCACATTCCATAACATGGCATTTATTCACAGTGAATTCTATTTGCCACATGGTGCTCCTAGCACTTATTTTATCCAGATCAATTTGAAAGGCATGACAATCATCTAAGGTTCCTATATTCCTGATGCTGCTAGTAGCTTAGCATCATTAGCAAACGTGTTTCATTTAATTCTGTATTCCTTCTGGTAAATTGTTTATGTAGATGTTGAACATTACTGGTGCAAGAATTGAACAATGTGGTACCCCCGCTAGTAACACTCCTCCAGTCAGATACATTACCTCTAATTACCGCTCTTATCTTTCTGTCGGAAAATTTGTCCTCCATGTCAGCAGTCTCCTGCATGTTCCAATTTTCAAAACAACCTTTCGTGTGGGACTCTGTTAAAAACCTTATTTAGGTTCAAATAGACACAGCCCAACCATCTCTTTCCTGTAGAATCTTGGTATGAGGTTTCTTGCTGATCTGTTCTCCACTTCCTTTCTCTTTGTTGGTGCTCTTCCGTTTCTGAGGAAGTGGATCATTTGTTCCTTTCTTGTTCGTTTCCTGATCTGTACCTCATGCCGAATAATGTCACTTCTTATTGTGCAGTGCTGGCGGAGCCACTGCTACTTGTGTTCAGCATCAATGCATCCTTGGCACCATTTTTGATGCTTTCTCGAGCATTGTTAAATATCTCGCCTGCACATGTGACACTTCAGCCTGCTTAGTCACTTGACCGTATTCTCACTTTTCTTTCCTTTTTCTTATTTTTGGATGTCCCATTCAGTCTGTGATTCATTTTCCAAGGCTTTGTGTTTGGTATCTCTTGCTTCTAGCTGTCAAGTCAGGGAGCTTGATGCTCTCCTCAGGAGGCATGGTTTTTGTTCTTTTGGTTTTGGTAGGCATTTTTGTACATTTGTAGCCCGCTCCTCCTTTTCTGGCTTTGAATGAGTCAGTTGGCTTCTGGAAGGGTCCTTTGGTTATTGACTGGGTTACACCATGTGTTGTGTGGTGGTGGTGTTGGCTCTACACCACTACCTTTGTGTCACCAACTCTGCTTCAGTGGATACTTTGTGGGTTGATAGTGGTACCCTGTTCCAGTTTGTGTTTAAGTCTAGCCAGGATGCAGTCTTCCATCGTAGCCACGATGTTAGGAAGTATGCCGCTTTGACGGCTGTTTGCTAAAATATCCTGGGTCGATATTTGGGCTCGGGGGTGAGGGAAAGGGGGGGGGGGGTTGGAGGTCTGACGGCTTTCTGATGGTCTGGTATTTGGAGAATGTTCACTGGGCCTCGATGCCCCTGTGCAGCTTTCGGTTCTTTCTCTCGCTGGGAGTCTCCATTTTGTCCTGATTCCTGCCGTTCTCCCAACTCACTGGTAAGTTCCCTTGTGTTCTTCCTTTGCCATGGCTATTTAGCTTTTGGAAACCACAAAAGACCCCCCTCCCCTCCAGAAAATCAGTGTTGATTGTAATGAAATCCCAATTTCTGGGTGACCTCTAGTGGCTTCCTGATTCTTATCTCCCTTCCCGGTTTCGTCATGTAGGTTTTGTTTGTGCATCTGCTCCAGGACTGACTGCTCGGACCCCTGGGGGTGGTGAGCCCCTTTTCCCCCTACCCCCCAAATAAGCAGGATAAGGTGGGATGAATGAGCTTATGCTAGTTTTGAGAAATTTGGTTACTGTATTTATATGGTTGGTAGTACATTATGCATTTTTTTGAGGCTTTGGCCACTTGAATCTAGCAGTGGGTTGAAAAGAGGTGTGTTTTGCCTCGGCGACTTCTGGATGCCCTCCCCGGTGAGGTGGCAAATGTCAGTTCTCCCTGTGCCTCTTGTGAAGCGGGCCAGGATCTGGCTCTGGTGCCCGGTAAGCCTAAAAACTCCACAGCTGATGCGATCTGGAAGATGGGAACCATCTAGGTGTACATCTTCAGGGAGCCACCGGGACTTGGCCAGAAATAGAGTATGAGTATTTATGACTCGTATGGTCGCTTCAGTAAGATTTTGCCCCACATGTTTAACAACTTCTTCTGCTCTGTTGAATCTAAGCTCAAATTTTAATGGGTTTGTAACTGTGCACTGTGTTAGATAATGGAACAGTACTGACATTTCCACAGGCAGATTAATTTGGGAATATTTGAAACCTTGTATATATTCCATTACTGCAGATAAATATACTGTAATATGAATTTTGTTTACCTATTGTAGCTCAATGTATTTGGAATATTACAGGTTCATAATGGATTAAGAAAAGATCACTATGCATGTCACATGTGCAACTTGAAGTTCAAAATGGGAGAGTTGCTGACAAAGCACCTGATTAAAGAGCATGGTTTTCTCTCCCCTGCAGCACATACTCGGTTCAGGTAAGACAGTTTTCACCAGTCCTATAATATTTTTTTCTGTGGGGAGCCCCTTCGGCTCCCTGGAGCTATCGGACTGATATACGCTATATTAGTCTGGGGCATCAGTGGAGTTCTGCCTACTGGGGACCCTCAGAGAGGTGAAGGGAGCAATGACCCTAGGAAACCTCCCCCCCCTTTGTATTTAGGGGTATTCCATCTGCTGTCGACTGGAGTTAGGAACCCAGAAAGGTGGGCATCTCAAAATAAACCCCACATAAAAGGAAATTTAAAAAACCCAAGACCGAACAGAGAAACAGAACTCCCCTAAAGAAAACCAGGGAAATGAGCAAGCAAGCAATCATCATTCGCCGTCGCACTGCTCGTCCATGCAGCCTGCAGCCTTCCCCTATCCGGGGAAGGGGAGGGGAGAGCCCCGGACCCTCACGTTGGCTACTCGCACCTCAGTTCGTAGGCTGAAGCGCTCTGAGGTGGCTGTCAACTCTGGCCTTAGTTTCCTGCTGAATTTTGTGCACCTGGGGTGTTTTCCGGCTGTTTGTGGGGCGGTGACCAGGAGTAACATAGTGTACTGTACTGGGACTGCATGGGCTTAGGGCTGCCGTCCCTAAGCGTCCTATAAGTACTACCCTTGGGTTCTAGGCTTGCCTTCCCAAAGGTCATCACTTCCATTAGGGTTCCTGCTGCTCAGCATTTACCCCCGCCTTTGGGGTCAGCTGCGATTTCGTGGCCTTTGTTTGGCTCTGGGGTAGTAAGTGTTTTTATTGTTGCTGGTTGGGACACATTGGTGCTGCGCAGCACGCATATTAGAGGCAGCCATGTTTCTGTTCCTCCTATTGTCGTTGTGCTTTTGCGCAGTTTTTCTTTTTTGTTTCCTGCATGGAGGTGGTCTGCCTGGTTTGACTATTCAGTCTACTTAAGATATTGTTGGTGGCCCTCCTCTAGGCCCCTATGTTTGTACACTTCACAGGGGTTCAGTTTTTAGCCTGTTTCCCTCTTTGTTGTTCCCTTGGGCTCGCCAGGTTTTGCAGCACCAGTGCCTAGGCTTCCCGCAGACAAAACCCCCTGTGGTCCCTGGAAAACCCCATCGGGGCTTAGTTGACCACTGGATGCATCCTCCGAGTCCCATCTCACATTGTGAGAGTTTGCAGGTGGTTCATTGCCTTTGTCTCGGTGACGATCGTCGGTTTTGCCTGTCATGCTGCTTGTAGGGTTGCTGACACCTTCAACCCGGGGCCGTGTGGGTTTTATACCCGCTTGTTCTCCAGTTACCCTTTCTTCTTTGGATGATCCTTGGGGTCAAGCGGTTCACGATGCGGAGCCTTCTCACCTCCGCGTTATGAGGGGTCTTGGTGGGCGGCTGCCATGTGTAATGCTTCATGAGACAGTTCCGTTGTTTTGAAGCCTCATGCTTCAGTTGCCATCTTCACTAATTATGCTGGTTGCTCTTTCCTCTAACTTAAGTTTCATTTTTTCCTCTCCCCCCTCTTCTCCTTTTATTGTCTTCTTCGCTGACCTTTTGCCAGTCTTGATGATTGTTTCAGACATCTTCTGTTTTCACGACCGGGTGTTTGGAGAGGCACACTCTTTCTTACCCGTAGAACTGTGATACTTGATGTTGCGAGCAAGGGGGACACTTTTATTGTCAATCCTTGCCTTCGTTGCTGAACCTGATCTCGACGGACTGACGGTTCTTATGGTGGTGATTGCGGGGCATATACTCACGATGCACCCCCTGGGGGGGGGGCCCATCTTGTCAGGTGTCCTATCCTCTAATTGTGGCTCTATGGTCGGTATGGGGGCTTATTCGTGAATGAAACTCTTACCTACTCATTATTATGCCGATAATTGACCCTCTTTTCACTTCCCAGATTTGTGGGGTGGGCGACCAAGCCCCGGAGTTAGACTGTGTTGGAAGACCGGGCTCTATAGCCTCCGCTGCAATGGGCCCTGACCCCCTGTTCCTTCTCGGATTCTCCTGACTGTCTCTCTCTGCTTCCCCCCCCCCCCAATCCCTCTGGGGCAGGATTGAGCCCCAAGCCCCCAGTGGCGACGACCTCATCACCTGGTGTGTCTCAGTCTCTAGTTGTCACAACAGCGCCTTTTACCCCCTCTCTTACTGGGGATGCTCAACCTCATCACCTTTCACTCGCCTGCACTCAATTCCTTCCCAATCTCCTTCTTTCCAGGCTTTGTTTGGTCCTGCCACATGGACTAAAGATTAAGACATGATTAAGATCAAGTAATTTGATCTTAGTCATGTTGACCCTACTTGTCCTGATTTATTTCTCCATAAACCCCTTGTTGATCTGGTGGATACTTTGGTCACGTTTAACTCCACCGCTCGGCCGACGGGAGCCGGTCGGCCAAGCGGACAGCACGCTGGACTTGTGATCCGGTCGGCCAAGCGGACAGCACGCTGGACTTGTGATCCGGTCGGCCGAGCGGACAGCACGCTGGACTTGTGATCCGGTCGGCCGAGCGGACAGCACGCTGGACTTGTGATCCGGTCGGCCGAGCGGACAGCACGCTGGACTTGTGATCCTGTGGTCCCGGGGTCGATCCCGGGCGCCGGCGAGAAACAATGGGCAGAGTTTCTTTCACCCTATGCCCCTGTTACCTAGCAGTAAAATAGATACCTGGGTGTTAGTCAGCTGTCACGGGCTGCTTCCTGGGGGTGGAGGCCTGGTCGAGGACCGGGCCACGGGGACACTAAAAGCCCCGAAATCATCTCAAGATAACCTCAAGATAACCTGTACAGTACTGGTACCCGTGTTGTTGCCGCCCATTCTCAGGATGTGGCTGGCTGCTTTGCTTCGTTGTCCTGCATTGGGGAGACCACTGTTCAGATCTCCAAAAAGGCCTAGTTGAAAGCCTGTATTGGCACAATTCTTCTCCCACACCATGTTGCGACTGATGACCGGGCACTTAGACTGCCACGAGGATATTAAGTATATCCTTGAGATTCAAGGCCATTCTGTCCTCCAGGTAGATACCTTCACGCGACCCCCTCGTGGTCGTCGCTATCGGCCTCTTCACATTGTGAAGGTCACGTTTGATGGTGGGTAGGATGGAAAGTGGCCTTACAACCGAGTGGACAGCGCTTCGGATTTGTAGTCCTGAGGTTTCGGGTTCGATCCCCGGTGGAGGCGGAAATAAATGGGCAGAATTTCTTTCACCCTAATGCACCTTTTCACATAGCAGTAAATAGGTACCTAGGAGTTAGATAGCTGCTATGGGCTGCTTCCTGGGGGTGTGTGTAACAAAAAGGAGGCCTGGTCGAGGACTGGGCTGTGGGGACGCCAAGCCCCCTAAATCATTTCGAGATAACCTCAAGATAGATCCCTTCCCTCTTCAGTCATTCTTGCTGGTGCCAGATGCTCCGTTCAGGAGTATATCCCCTTTCCTTGCCTCTGCAGCAGGTGCTGGAGATTTGGGCATGGTCCGTGCAGGTGCACAAGTGATTTGTCTCTGCCCCTTGTATGGAACATCAGTTCATTCTGAGACAGTGCCCTTCTTCCCAAACTCTCGGCATCAATTGCGGTGACGCCCACCCTGCCACTCCCGCGCATGTGTGCAATACAAATTTGAGGAAGCCATCCTCAATTTAAAGCATCATGATCACTTGTCTTTTCCTGAGGTTAGGCACCAGGTTTGCCATCTTCCATCTTTCTTTGGTATGTCTTATGCTAGTGTGTTGCATTCCTTCTTCTCGCCCTCTCCTGCTTTCTCAGTTTCGCACCCGTTTCAGGGTCTTGGACCCCGACACCTTCATCACCTCTTATCTGCTCCATTTGCTCCTTTGCGTTCTGGGCCTGGTTCTTTGTCTGGTGTTTCCTTCCTTCCTTTCCTTCCCTGTCTTCCTTGTCTCCTGTGCCCTCCTTCCCTTCTCGCCCCACACCTTCTTCTTAGCCCTCCCTTCTGTCTCTTGGTCTTCCTCGCCACCTGTCTGTTCAGGCCATTGTCCATCCTCCTCCCAGAGTTCATCATATTACCTGTTCCAGTTCTTTTTCTCCTGTTGAAACTGTCGAGGCAGTCGCCCAGTATATTGCAGACATACAATAGCCTGTCTGAGATCCTGTCTCTCTCCTTCAGAAGCATAAGCCTGGCTCCTCTCCTTCCTGCCCGGCGGGTACGAAGGCTTTAATGTATTCCTCACCCTCCGACTCTGTCACTATCCCAGCCTCCCTTCCCTTTTCAGTAGCAGGGTCTCCTCCTGTTTCCTTGGTCCTTGATCCTCTCTTGGATGCTGCCTTTTCTCCGGTGCCCTTACTTTCTTTCCTGCCCCTCAATTCCCTTGACCGTACCTCTGTTGCCTCCCGCTCCGGATTCTGTCCGTTCGCCTCTAGTCTTTCCTCCTGCTCCCTTGTCTCGGTTATCTTTGCTAGATTTACCTTTGTCCTGTCTTCCTGATTTCACTGATCCTCATCTTGTTTTTCCTTAGTCTACTATGTTCTACTTTGCCCTTGTTTCTCCCTTGTTCTCTCTTTTGTTTGTCTGTGTTCTTCAATGGAATATTCGTGGTTTTTATGCCAACTTCCATGAACTCCTCCTGATCACGCAGTGTTTCCAGCTTTGTGTTTGTCTCCAGGAGTCAATGCTTGGCACTCGTCCTGGTCGCTTCCGTGGTTTTTCCTTTCTCATTTTCCATCCAACTCTTGCTGGTGCCCATGCCTCTACTGCTCTCTTGATCCATCTTGCCTGGGCATACCCTTAGTGAAAATGGTCTAAGGGTCCTGGGAAAACCCTGCGTGGGTGCAAGGGGTTCAATGAATGCGATCCCTGGGTCTCCTCTCACCTTGTGCGAGTTTGGGGGTCTTTCTGTCCCCTTGCTTCAGGGCAATGCTCATTGTTTTTACCTCCGTCGTGCTGCCTGTTGGGTCGGTGACACCTTCGATTTGGAGTCCTGCGAGCAAACTCCATCTGGACCAACTGCTTTGTTCTTACTTAGCTCCATGAGCATTTTTTCCACTTCATCTCTAGACACCTCTATGTGCTCTATGTTGTTCTCTGGAATTCTTATTGTGTCTGGTTCCCTGAAGATTTCATTTTGTACAAACACACTTTGGAACTTTTCGTTTAATGTTTCACACATTTCCTTTTCATTTTCCGTGAATCTATTTCCCATTTTCAACCTCTGAATATTATCCTTTACCTGCAATTTGTTGTTTATGAATTTATAGAATAGACCTGGTTCTGTTTTACATTTGTCTGCAATCCCTTTTTCAAAATATCTTTCTGCCTCTCTCCTCACTGTCGTGCAGTTGTTTCTCGCATCTTTGTATCGCTGGTATGTTTGGGGGTTTGGCCTCTTCCTGTATTGATTCCATTTTTGTGTCTTCTGGTCTCTGGCCCTCTCGCAATTTCTGTTGAACCAATCCTGTTTCGTAGTTCTGCATCTCTGTTTTGGTATAAATTTTTTTGTGCCTTTATCATATATTTCACAAAACTTGACATAAATACATATTCACTTCCTTCCCTAGTAACAAGTCTGTCCAATTATACTCACTAAAATTTTTTCTAAGGTCGCCATAATGTCCTCTCCTGAAGTCAGGTTTTTCAACTGCTTCAACCTTCTTATTTTCTTCCAGATTATAACACATTGCATACTTTATTCCCAAAAAGACATGGTAACTTTTACCCAAGGGAGGAAGGTACTGAATGTCAAATATCTCTTCCTCCTTCCTGGTAAATATCAAATCTAGCATGGAGGGAACGTCCCCTTCTCTCATCCTCGTAGCTTGTTTAACATGTTGATACAAGAATGTTTCCAGGATGAGGTCTACAAATCTACAGGTCCAAAAATGTTTTGTTTTAGCTTCATATGCTTCCCAGTCTATGGATTTCAAGTTGAAGTCGCCGACTATCAACAGTCGTGATCTATCGTTACCCGCTCTCGCTATGATCTCTCTCATTATTGTTATCAGACCTTCTCGTTTACTATCTAGCTCCTCCTTTGACCATGTGCTGCTTGGCGGTGGACTATATGCATTTATGATCATTAGTTTATCATCCGGAAGATTTTGAACTCGGTGTGGATAACACGGCTAAAAAAAAACTTGAGAATTTGAAGAACTATACAATCAAGGAAGCCATCTATAACTAGGCCAAGGTGTGGAGTGAAGTAAAGGAATCGACTTTGAAAAATTCCTGGAAACTCCTCATGTCTACGGTCAGAAATGAGGAGGATGCAGAAATGGATTTTGAAGGATTTACAGATGAAATCCATGGAATGTTTAGAAATGCCGGCAAAAACTTAGACAGGATGTGGTTGATTGGCTTGAAAAAGATGCCAATGACCCAGGATATGGTGTGATGAGTGAAGACGAGATTCTCCAGTCTATTACTGGTGAGGTCGACGTAGAGATAGAGGATGAAGAAGGCAGTGAAGAACCAACACCAAAAACCACAAAATACAGTGTACTCATGACCTATGTTGACGGATTAATAATTTTTTTATCCAATTGTGCTTATCCAGAGGTTGGAAACATGTATCAGTACCTGAGGTGAACAAAAGAGCTGATCATACAACTGGCCAGTGAACACAGAAAGCAAGCAACACTTGATTCTTATATGGTACGAAAATCAAACCAAGCGCCTTCAACAAGTGAGGCGGCACACGCAACCCAAGCGCCTTCAACAAGTGAGGCGTCACAGGCAAGCCCAATGCCTTCAACCAGTGAGGCTTCTGCAGCTGGCAGTGAAAACTAACTATGCCTAATGAACTGTACAGTAATTTTAAGTGTTAATTTTAGTGTTGTGTTAGTATAGGTTATGTAAATTGTCAAGAATTTTAACTTCAAGATGTGGGGCATCAATTAAGATCACGAACAACAACAAGGTAAGTTGAGGTTTCTAGTTGAATATTTAATAATTATATGTGGCAAGGCAATTCAAATTATGTTTTGTAGTATAAAAAAGTTGGAAATGGTTAGTTTTGGACTCGTTGGTGAAAAAGTACCATTATCCGGAACATGTGATTATCCGGCTGAGGGGTCCTTCCCATATAGTTCGGATGATCGAGTGGAGACAGTATGTACATTAATTAAAGAAATTGACTGTGGAGATATAGAATATTTACACTTGCTGGTAAAACTTTTCCTGAGTATTTCTATTCATGGGACTAGTTTATTATAGTAAACCATTTGGAGTCGAGAAGTGTGTGTGTGTGTTATTTTATTTATCTTTTTCCTTGCCTGAGCAGATACAAGCAGGATGATGATGGCTTTTATAGACTTCAAACTGTTCGTTATGAGACCATTGAACAAACGCAAGAAATGCTAAATGAGGAAGGTGAAGATAATTTGCAAGAGAAAGAAGAGGAGCCTCCCCATCCATTGCCACCGCCACAAAATAGCAAAAGTAGTTGGCATCCACACAAGAGTGCAAGGCGGGAATCCACATGTGATGTAAGTAGAGCAGTCTCAAAGGCTATATACACTAATGTTTTCTATTCATTATTAGTTGCAGATTAAGTTAAGTGACTAATTTCAAGCATAGAAATATTCATAAATTACTTAAGTAGTGGTTAACACTGTGCACACCCCCACTAGAATGTATGTAGTCGTTCTAGTTTTCTTAACTCAATTTCCATGCTACGTTATTCAGTTTGGCATCAAATTGTTCGCAATATAATTCTCTAAAGGGATATATCCATATAAGGTCATAATGCCTGGCGTGCCACCCGCACCAAATCCAAAAATCGGTCGAGAGTTACCCGTGAGCGCACAACTGCACTAAAATGTGTGTACTCTTTCCAGTTTTGTCAAAACAACTTTTGTGCCACGTTGTTAATTTTGGTATCAAATTGTTCACAATCTAAAGATGCACATTTTAAAAATAGTCCCATAATAATCAAACAATAAATAGAATTTTAACAAATATTTTAATTTTGGACGCAACATGCATCTTTGTCGGACATCCGTAGAGATATTCACGGACGCAATTTTCATCCCCGCCCGCCAGAATTTTTAAGCAGTTAGAAATGAAGCATATTAATCAGGCAAAGATTTTTTTTGGGAAATGTCATTAACACTATCACACTCCGTTGCCGTCATTAACTCTCAAACCGCGCATATCATATATAAATGATATCAGTGACAAAACCGAAACCGCGCACATCATTTATATATGATTTTGTGTCTAGCGCTATAATTTAAACTCCCCGCCTGGGATAGGGGCAGCTATAATACAGCCACGACCGATAGTTGCCAGACGCCTAGAAAAAAAATCCAGGCCAACATTCTTGGGTGTGAGAGCGTCAGTATTGAGCAAGCCACCAAGGCTGGCGCACGCAGCACGAGCTCACAGCACCGCTGTTCAGCTTGTGACCACAGCATCGCCTACAAATACCATAATATATATGATACTGCTATTATTTTGCAGTGAGAGTATTACTGAAGCCCCCTGACTGTGATAAAACTGACCAGGATTCTGATAAGAGCAGGATTGTGGTGATATTTAGCGCTGTGCTCCATGGAGGGAGGCGTAAGGCTGTGCGAGGGAGGGTTGTGGCGTCGTCTTCTGACTGTGTGTGGCCACCATTTATTGACTGCACTCACCATACCAGCTTAGTAGTTCGATATGGTGAACACAAATGTAGATACTTATATATAACGTGTGTATATAGGGTATAAACAGCAAGAGGAGTAGGTTGGGAGCCGCCATTTTGGTGAGGGCGGTGGCGTCGTCTGCACGACTTATCATGTTGTTTACTGGTAACCACAATAGTCTTTGGGCACCATACCAGCTTATTTGTTCAGGTATGGTGAATAAAACAGGTAGATACTTATATATAATATGTGTATATAGCGTAATAACACCACAAACAGTATTGTTGAAGGACAAATATTAGTGCGTCTGGCCTTGAGGGCGGCCGCTGATCAGCTGACTGTGTGAGTAGCTACGTCTTTGTGGCCTTTACTCACCATACAAGCTTAGATGTACAGTTATGGTGAACAAAACATGTAAATACGTATATATAACGTCTGTGTATAGTGAATAAATACAGAAAGAGTATTGTAGGAGGTGAGTGAGGAGGTGTTGAGGGAGGGAGTGGCAGTGAGTGGCTCGCTGGTGTTTGGCGGTCACTCCTCGTTGCTTTTTGACTCACAAGACCAACTTAGTAGTTCGTTATGGTGTACAAAACATGCAAATACTTATATATAACCTAACACTATCACACTCCGTTGCCTCCCCCTGTCGTCACTCATTTTTCTCTTGAGTCGTCTCGGGTGACTCGGTCTCGAGTCACTCATTAAAATATTTGTTAAAAATTTAAATTTTATCCGATCAATCTGGGAGTGGTTTCAAAATGAGCGCCTTTAGATTGCGCACAATTTGATACCAAAATGAAAGACGTAACACGAAAATTGATGTCAGAACACTGGAAAGATATAAATAATTTTGTGGTGATGAACGTCCAAAAGTGTCCAAAAGTTAAAATATTTGTTAAAATTCCATTTATTGTTCTATTATTATGGGACTAGTTTTAAAATACATGCCTTTTATATTGCGAACAATTTGATACCAAAATGAAAGACGTGACTTGAAAATTGATCCAGTGTCAGTATCAGAACACTGGAAAGATAAAAAGTACGTTTGTGGTCCAAATTTTTTAATATTTGCTAAAATTTCGTTTCTTTTATTATTATGGGACTAGTTTTAAAAAATGCGCCTTTATATTGCGAACAATTTGATACCAAAATGAATCACGTAACACGAAAATTTATCAAACTGAATGAGTATATACATTAGTCTGCAGATGTGCCAATTGGTGCTCATTCATGGGTAACTTGGCCGACTTTAGGCTTTGCTGTGGGAAGTCACGCCGGGCTTTTAGACCTTGTATGCATATACCCCTGTAGAAAATTCTATTGCGAACATAATGATATCAAAACAAACGACGTACAATGAGAAATAAGGTGAGGAAACTAAAATGAGTATACACATTTTACCGATTTTGCACGCACTCGGGTAACTTTGCCAACTTTAAGCTTTGCTGTGGGGAGTTACAGTGGGCTTTTGGATCTTATATGCATATACCCCTGTAAGGAATTCTATTTCGAATACAATGATACCAAAACGAATGACATAGCACGAGAATTAAGGTGGGAAAACTGAATTGAGTATACACATTTCGGTGTCGCTGCACACTCACCCACACCGAAAAATTCTTTTCTAGTATGTTGTTAATTAAAATGCAGTCTCTGATAATGGGAAACTAAAATAAAATCTTGGATGGGATGTACTTTAGCCATGATGGAGTTGAGAAATTGAGCAAATAATGGGCGCTGAGTGAGAAAGTGCTAGTTTGGAGTAATCTCGGCAAGATAGCTTTTGGGATCCACGGGAGATCCTCCCAGAAAGAGGCATTTAATTACATTCAGTGCCGGGTCTTTGGGCACTACAACATAGCATTTTTGCTATTACCACATTGTATATACAGTGGTACCTCAGAATACGAGTGTCCCTGAATACGAGTTTTTCGGAATACGCGCAGGATTTGCTCGGAAAATGTGCCTCGGAAGGTAAGGGTTACCTCGGAACATGAGTTCGTTGATACGTGTACAGCCCGACCTAGCACGTGGTGGTATGGCGATCGTCGTCCCTCCGCCCCTCAGTTTACCAGTGCCTCGCGCCCAGTGACTATCCCATGTCAATTCTTCACCCAGATTTTTGGTGTTTTGTTGGATTTTTGGTCATTTGACCATAAAAGTTGTTATTATATATCTTACCATGGGTCCCAAGAAAGCCAGTGGTAAAGATCAAGGCAAGAAAGCCCATGTGAGGATGACAATAGAGGAGAAACAAGAGATCATTCGGAAGCATGAAAATGGTTCACGTGTTATTGAACTTTGTAAGCAGTACAACAAAGCCACGTCAACAATATGCACTATACTTAGCAAGAAAAAGTACATTATGAGTGCTAAAGTGGCAAAAGGCGTAAGAACAATCACGAAACAAAGACCACAAATACTTGAAGTGGAAAAGTTATTAATTTGGATACACGACAAGGAGTTAAAGGGTGATAGTGTTTCGGAGGCCATCATTTGTGAGAAAGCCAGGGTATTGCACGAAGACCTTGTAAAGAAAACACCTGGAACGAGTGATGCAGATACAGTACGAAAGAGTTTAAGGCAAGCAGGGGCTGGTTTGAAAAATTTAGAAAAAGTGGTATTCATAGTGTTGTGAGGCATGGGGAGGCAGCCAGCTCAGACAAACCAGCCGCTGAACGGTTTATTGAAGAATTTAGAGAGTTTGCAGAGGCTGAGGGATACCTACCGCAACAAGTGTTTAATTGTGATGAAACAGGACTGTTTTGGAAAAGATTGCCTAAGAGGACATACATTACCAAGGAGGAAAAATCCTTGCCCGGACACAAGTCTATGAAAGATAGGTTTACGCTTGTGCTATGTTCAAATGCGAGTGGTGATTTGAAAATTAAACCCTTGCTAGTGTATCATTCTGAAAATCCAAGAGTTTTTAAACATTATAAAGTGCAGAAAACCCAAATGTGTGTGATGTGGAAGGCTAATAAAAAGGCATGGGTGACTAGGATTTTTTTTTTTTTTTTGGAGTGGGTGAATGAAGTGCTGTGCCCTGCCATAGAAAAATATCTACAGGAGAAACATTTGCCACTCAAGGCCCTGCTTCTCCTCGACAATGCTCCTGCTTATCCTCCAGGATTGGAAGATGAATTGATGCACAGATACAGTAAATTTCTCACAATAAAGTTCCTTCCTCCTAACACCACTCCTCTAATTCAGCCTATGGACCAGAAAATCATAGTGAATTTTAAGAAACTGTATGAAAGGGCACTTTTCCGGAAATGTTTTGAAGTGACTGAAGCCACAAACCTCTCTCAAAGAGTTCTGGAAAGACCATTTTAACATTTGTAGTTCTTTAAAACTCATTGACAAAGCCTGGCAAGAAGTGACTCAAAGAACCCTGATCTCTGGCTGGAGAAAATTGTGGCCTGAATGTGTGACAAAACTAGACTTTGAGGGGTTTGAGCATGTAAATGATGCACCTATTGTTGAGGAAATTGTTACTCTGGGCTGGTAAATGGGCTTGGAATTGGATGGTGGTGATGTGGAGGAGTTGGTGGAAGAACACAACGAAGAACTGACCACCAAAGAACTCCAAGCCCTTCAAAAGGAACAGCAAGACGACCCAGCTGATGATGTTTCTCCAGTGGAGGAGGATGAGGCAGTAGCGAATGTCCCTTTTGCATAAATTAAGGTGTGTCAGATGTGGAAAGAGATGCAAACTTTTATTGAAAAAGACTCGCCCAGAGAAAGCTGTAGTAGGCCGTTGCCTTAATCTTTTCAATGACAATGTGATGCCTTGCTACAGAGACAGCTTGCGAAGAAGGGAAAAACAAGCTTCCATGGACAAATTTGTTGAGAAAATCAAGCAGTGAGCCACAACCAGGACCTAGTGGTATGCAGGCAAAACATGCCAGGGAGTGTACACCAGAAAGGTCCTCGCTGCCTGATGTTACAATGGAAGGGGACTCCCCTTCCAAACAGTAACACCTCTCCTCCACCCTCCTCCTCACCATCTTCCATACGCCTACAGCATTCAACAACAAGGGTAAGTAATAATGAACATAGTTTTGTAGGTTTATTTAGATGAATTAGGTATAAAATTTAGTTTGAAGTGGGGTTTTTGGGGTAGTCAGGAACGGATTAATTCATTTCCCATTATTTCTTATGGGGATATTGGCTTCGGAATACGAGTTTTCGGAATACAAGCTGTCTCCAGGAGCGGATTAAACTCTTAAACCGAGGTACCACTGTACATTATATACCATATAACTGTCTACATGATCATGTATCATTACAAACCACTAAGCAGAGTGGGTGAGTGTAATGATCTCATGACCTGATCCATGCTCTGCCTAACCCTACACATTTTGCATCAAACTGTAAGTGTCTCAACAAGTATATTCAATAAACATTGAATATATATATATATTATTCATTTATTTAATGTATTTTCTGTTTTTTTTTCTAAGTGCAATTGGGCTGTCAATAATAGTATTTATTAATATTACAGAGCATATGAACAAATCCACAAGGGTTTGGTCATATGCTTTCATTTGGTTCATTCATATGTTTGTAAAGGAGGGCTCGAACCTATGCGCTAGATGTTCCTAGATGCGCTCTAATCAACTGTACCACGATATGGTAAAAGAATTGCAACCTGGAGTGTTACTGCTACCATGAGGATCTGGAGGCTTCCACTGAATGTAGGATGAAGAATGAATCTTTGTATAATTTGTGTGCAATAACACCATGGTCACATGTGTCGAAAGCTTTTGCGAAATTGAAATCTGATGTATTACATCAGCGTTTCATTTGTCTTCCATGGCATCTAAGGCCATGCCATTGTGAGAGACTGAAGAACACTGTTCTGTATCCATATTGCCCAGGGCGTTGTAGACATTGTGATTCCATGTGCTTTGTGATCTTATTAACACTCAAAGATTATGATGTGCAATGTTAGAGCTATTGGTCTGTAGTTTTTTGCGTTGGTTTTACTACCTCTTTAGTGAAGTGGTGCGATCTCTGCTGTTTTAAGAATGTCAGAGATAATGCCATTTTCTAGGTTTTGTCTCTAAAAGATGTTTAAGACTAGTTTTTGTGATAGTGGTTTTTATGTAATTCATGATGAATATAAAATTTCAGGAATCTGGGTCTGGTGCAGAGTGCATGGGCAAACTGTCTATGGGTACTACAGAATCGAGTGGGGTTAGGGTAACATCTGATATGTGGTTCCATGGTGGTGACAAGTTTATAAATAATTTGTTTATATCATCAATCTGTAATGTGTTCAGGGGTTCAGTGAAAATTGAAGCATACTGTAACCTCAGTATTTCACTCATTTCTTTCCTGTTCATCTGATAATGTTTTATCACCCTTGCACGAGAGTCCAGTGCTGGATATAGATTTTGTTCAAGATTTTTCATAGTAGAAAAAAGTATTTTGGATTCCTCTCTATTTGACTTATGGCCTTTTCGCTCTCTCTGCCTCATCTGGATTTTATGATTCTTGCAACTTTAGCTCGGTTGTTTCTATTTCTCTACATAGCCTTCTTTGTTGTTCTTGGAATAGAGTTGAGCATTTAAGAAGTTTTGCTGTTCGTTTTCATTGCCTGTAGAGGGAACACCATTCTCATTCCAGTTGGCACCTTTTTCCTTGAAAGAGAAAAATTAAAAATTTTGGAGTGCCCACAATATTTTTCCAAGATGGTGTCTGTTTACTAGAGGCTTGAGGAAAAAGGGTATGAACCCTGTACCTGTGGGAGATTTAAATCTTACATGGTATGTTAAATCTTGCATTATATTTGTGTAAAATATGTAGGCCTAGATAAATGTAATAGGCTAGTGTAGTAAGTGTTTAATCATTGGCTTTCTTCACTTTCAGGAGGAGTGGGAAAAGCAAGATTTAAACCAATTGTTGAAGCTGAAGACTCAAAAAAGTGTTAAAACGGTTGAATATCAAGAAATTATTCTCCCCTCAGAGTTTTAACAAATAATTATGTGCACACTGGGTATCTAAATGTCTAATGTGTGCATTTTAAGTGCACTTGTGAATTATTAAAACTACTAACAGCCAGATAAATTAAGCTGAAGTTTAATTTGAACTGGTCGACAGACCTACTCCATTAATGTTTCTGTTTCGTAGTAGCTACCTCAAAATTATTAAATTTTTTAAAGGTGACAAATTTGATTTGTTTTTTGAGGTAGGCCCTAATCAAATAAACTGTACAATTCTTGATTACTTTTATAAACCAAAAATGGAAGGGGGGGGGGGAATAAAATGCGTATCCAAAGCTACATCGAGATATTGTATGGAGCATGTGTATAGGTGGGGGAGGAAGTGTAGATACAGTATTGGCTACCTTATCTTGTGTTGATTTAAAGCATGTACCTTAAATGGCCACTCCATTATTGTCAGACATATTCTTCAGCTATATTTTCTTAAACGTGTGGATAACTAGATTGTTCATGGTGAATGATTGCCTCCCTTAATGCTCTCTCCTCGAGCTTGCAGATAATGCGAGGTTAAACTGATACGGTAGTGTTCTGCTGAGCTCATTCTGCAGAATTGAGCTCATTGGCAGCACTAAGGATGCCAATACAAGAAAATAAGCGCATAAGGCGAACAACATCGAAGGTATTCGACTCACCATGGATTCTATCAAGGGACAAGCGACCGCGAGGGACAGTCGGGAAGCAATTGACGCATGCACGTCCTGGAAGGACATTCAACAAGGATATGCACGACTGTAAGGAGCAGGACGGCGCTCCATTAAGTGCCCATGAGTTAAACGTGTATGGCTAACACTAACATCGCCAGAACCGTTTCCCGCCGCCAGTTACGGTGGTAGGAGGAAGGCTATGGGGGATACATTACCCTTAAGAACATGCAGTTTGTTACCAGTAACAGAAAACCAGTGATGTTGCCAACGGGCACGGGCTGAGGAATTAATAATAGGATAGAAGTCTAATTAAGGACCACTTTTGCGGGAAATGGGACGGATGCGGATAGCCTCCTTAGCGGCAGAATTCGCATGCTCGTATAAGGACACTAGGTACTAGGTGAGTACACCAATATCGTTGGGAACCCAGCAAAACTCGACTGTCTTAAATCTGCTGGAGATAAACAGCCAATATTGAATTTCGACTACCACAGGATGGACAGGATTAAAGGACTCGAGAGCCATGAGGGAACTGCGAGAATCAACTACAACAAAAGAAGAATTATGGCGAGAAAGCAGTTTACGAGGAACACGCAAAATTGCATAAAGTTCTGCCGTGGAGATACAGAAGTCTGGAGGCAGGCGACATATATAGGCGTGGTCAGGAAATACAACGGAGTAGCCTTCACCGTCAGCAGACTTACACACATCTGTGAAGACGGAGATGGAACGAGAGTGTAACGAAAAGTGAGCAAGGAAAAGGCGCTTTAGAACTGTGGGAGGGGTAAAAGCTTTAGTCATGCAGGTCAAGGTTCTACAAAACTTAAGAAGAGGGACCCTCCATTGGGGTAAGGATGGAATGACACGAGGAGAAACATTGATAAAACGACCCGAGAGAGAACCTTGCAAACGAGACAACCGTACAGAAAGGGAAAGGTGGTGAAAGGGAACAGGGCCCACAGGAGGGGTTACCTGGTTGATTACCTGGTTGATGGGGTTCTGGGAGTTCTTCTACTCCCCAAGCCCGGCCCGAGGCCAGACTTGACTTGTGAGAGTTTGGTCCACCAGGCTGTTGCTTGGAGTGGCCCGCAGGCCCACATACCCACCACAGCCCGGTTGGTCCAGCACTCCTTGGAGGAATAAATCTAGTTTCCTCTTGAAAATGTCCATGGTCGTTCCGGCAATATTTCTTATGCTTGCTGGGAGGACGTTGAACAATCGCGGACCTCTGATGTCTATACAGTGTTCTCTGATTGTGCCTATGGCACCTCTGCTCTTCACTGGTTCTATTCTACATTTTCTTCCATATCGTTTACTCCAGTACGTTGTTATTTTACTGTGTAGATTTGGTACTTGGCCCTCCAGTATCTTCCAGGTGTATATTATTTGATATCTCTCTCGTCTTCTTTTTAGTGAGTACATTTGGAGGGCTTTGAGACGATCCCAATAATTTAGGTGCTTTATTGCGTCTATGCGTGCCGTATATGTTCTTTGTATTCCCTCTATTTCAGCAATCTCTCCTGCTCTGAAGGGGGAAGTGAGTACTGAGCAGTACTCAAGACGGGACAACACAAGTGACTTGAAGAGTACAACCATTGTGATGGGATCCCTGGATTTGAAAGTTCTCGTAATCCATCCTATCATTTTTCTGGCTGTCGCAATATTTGCTTGGTTATGCTCCTTAAACGTTAGGTCGTCAGACATTATTATTCCCAAATCCTTTACATGCTGTTTTCCTACTATGGGTACATTTGATTGTGTTTTGTACTCTGTATTATGTTTAAGGTCCTCATTTTTACCGTACCTGAGTACCTGGAATTTATCACTGTTAATCATCATGTTATTTTCTGATGCCCAGTCGAAAACTTTATTAATATCAGCTTGAAGTTATTCAATGTCCTCAGCCGAGGTAATTTTCATACTGATTTTTGTGTCATCTGCAAAGGATGATACGAAGCTGTGACTTGTATTTTTGTCTATATCTGATATGAGAATAAGGAAAAGCAGCGGTGCAAGGACTGTACCCTGAGGTACAGAGCTTTTCACTGCACTTGGACTAGATTTTATATGGTTGACAGTTACTCGCCGAGTCCTGTTTGACAGAAAACTGAGTATCCAGCGTCCTACTTTACCGGTTATTCCCATTGACTTCATTTTGTGTGCTATCACGCCATGGTCACATTTATCGAAAGCCTTTGCGAAGTCCGTGTATATCACATCAGCATTCTGTTTCTCTTCTAATGCCTCAGTGACTTTGTCGTAGTCCTCAAGTAGCTGTGAGAGGCACGATCTTCCCGCTCGAAATCCATGTTGGCCTGGGTTGTGAAGGTCATTGGTCTCCATGAAATTGGTGACCTGACTCCTAATCACTCTCTCAAATACTTTTATGGTGTGTGATGTCAGTGCAACTGGTCTATAATTTTTTGCCAATGCTTTGCTCCCTCCCTTGTGTAGAGGGGCTATGTCTGCTACTTTAAGTGCATCTGGTATCTCCCCCGTGTCCAAGCTCTTCCTCCACACTATACTGAGTGGCTGTGCTACCGGCACTTTGCATTTCTTTATAAATATTGAATTTCAGGAGTCTGGATCTGGGGCCGAGTACATGGGCATGTTTTCAATTTCTTTTTCAAAATTTAGTGCGCTCGTGTTTATATAAGTTATATTTACAGGGGTTTGAATATCCCGCATAAAGAAATTGTCTGGATCTTCCACCTTCATGTTGTTTATTGGAGTGCTAAACATGTCCTCATACTGCTTTTTTAGGATTTCACTAATTTCTTTGTCATCCTCCGTGTATGAACCTTCACTTGTACGAATAGGTCCAATACTGGCAGTGGTTTTTGCTTTTGATTGGGGTAATGATCTAAGTACGAAATACGCGAGAGTGATGGTGTTGTAGGGACCGCACAAAGTAGCGAAGACAGTAGCGATCAAGGCAATCGTGTAGAGACAGAATGCCGGTTTCGACATACAGGTTAGAGCCAGAGCTCAACCCTCGCAAGCACAACTAGGTGTGTAAAGAAGACCATTGAGGGCAACCAGGAAAAAGAGTAGTGCTCAAAACACTACCTTGGGGCGCACCTTCATATTCCCGAAAAGAGGCAGAGAGTGCCTCGACTCCTACCAAGCCGTACTCGAAAGGAACGACGAGAAAGAATCGAAGCTCTAGAGGAAGATTACCACGAAAGCCAAAAAAACTGTGCAGGGACAGAATATGGTATCTCCATCGGGTGTCCTACGACTTTTCCAGGTTAAGAAGGGCAGCAACCACGAAGGTCTTCGCAGCAAAGGCAGTACGAATATAGACCTCCAAGTTTATGAGGCAACCTTGAGAGCATAAGAAATATTGCCGGAACAACCGTGGACATCTTCAAGAGAAAACTAGACTGTTTTCTAAAAGAAGTTCCGGACCAACCGGGCTGTGGTGGGTATGTGGGCCTGTGGGCCGCTCCAAGCAACAGCCTGGTGGACCAAACTCTCACAAGTCAAGCCTGGCCTCGTGCCGGGCTTGGGGAGTAGCCCGGAACTCCCAGAACCCCATCAAGCAGGTATCAAGCAGGTAACCCGTCCTCACACTAGGCTGTTAAAAGCAGCGGCCGTGCTCCCCAGACGCATTCATCAATTTTAACCGTGTATTAAAAATTGGTTTGTTCTTATATATAAATTAATATTATTATACATACAAATTCTATGTATAGTTACCCATAGGTGTTTAGGGTCTGTTTGCGATTATTTGTATTTGAAGTACGTGCGTGAAGCAATTATAGAATTGTGGTTCGAACAGAGAACATGAGCGAAGCACTTGTTCTGGAAGTGTTCGGACGTCATCAGTTGTACAGCCCGCCCTCCAATCAAAGACCCAAAAGTGATTCCATGCACCCGCCAAACCCCCTGTTTATGAAAGAAAAAGGTTTACACACGACTCACAACTGATTTCGTTCGAAAACTTCCTGAACAAATGCTTCACTGACGAATTTTGTTCGAACCACAACGCCATAAAGGCTTCACCCACGTACTACAAATACAAATAATCGCCAAGTAAGTAATTATCAAAAGAAGGCACCAAACCGGGGAGGCTATGTAGCACCATCAAAGTGCGAAATAATCAGAGGGCGCTAAATATCACCAAGAATGCCAATAGGAGAACAAAAACGCCTAAGGCGAACGATATCAAAAGTATCCGATTCACCTAGAATTCTATCGAGGTACAAGTGACCGCGAGGGACGGTCGGAAAGCAAGACACACGCTCGTCCTGGAAGTCGGGACATTCAACAAGGATATGCACAACTGTAAGAGGGACAACGCAATTTGGACAATAAGGAGCAGGGCGGCGCTCCATTAAGTGACCGTGGGTTAAGAGAGTATGGCCAACCCGCAGCCTTGCCAAAGCAGTTTCCCACTGCCGGTTACTGTGGTAGGAGGAAGGCCACGGGGACACACTACGTTTGAGAGTACGTAGCTTGTTACTAACTACAGAGGACCAACAACCCTGCCAACGGGCAAGGATGGAGGAATGAATAACAGGATAAAAGTCAGAATAAGGAACACCTCTACGGCAGATGGGACAAGAAC